GAAGTGCCTGAGCCAGATGATGTTTTTCCTCTGTTTTTCCAGGAGATACTGGGTGCAACTGGCATCTCTGGCAGCTGCAGGAAGATTCTTACTGTAATCCTCTACTGACTCCACTGAGCATATGGTAACATGTAATGTATAGCACCTGTATTAGGTTCTCATGAAAGAAGAGCACGAGAGGGTGCCTTGTGAATGCTTTACTTGATAGCATTTGCCACAAAAGTTAGTTCATCTTATTTGAGAGTGACTCCTGTGCAGTTTTGGCAGGATGACACTACAGGAGAGGCCAGACTCTTCTTGTTGTTACTAGTCATATTATGATGGCTGTCACTCACATTTACCTGCCTTGTCCAAGTCACTTCTAAAACTTCTCTGCTAACTAAAGCTTTGGCAGGTTGCACCTAGAGTTTTCCTATTTCATCAGTCAACTTGCCTGGCTCCAGGTCTTTTGAAATTGCTGCTCAAACATAATTTAGCATCCATATGCCAGACTGATCAGTCCCAAAGCATAAATTACAAGCAACTGAAGTTCAGGTTAGGGATGCAAATATGACCAACTTCTGACTCATTAATTCTATCCCACTGATGCATTAATTTCAAACCAATAATTAAATTCAGTGATGATAAGATAGACTAAACAAAGATAAATGAAGGATGAGGATGGTTTTCCAGACTTCATCCAGCATGTCAGCTTAGAATCATAGAACAGTTAGATTTGGAAAGGGCCTTAAGATCATCTACTTTCAACTCCCCTGCCATGGGTAGGGACACCTCCCACTAAACCATGCCACCCAAGGCTCTGTCCAACCTGGCCTTGAACACTGCCGGGGATGGAGCATTCACAACTTCCCTGGGCAACCCATTCCAGTGCCTCACCACCCTTACAGTAATGAACTTCTTCCTTATATCTAACCTGAACTTCTGCTGTTTAAGTTTAAACCCATTACCCCTTGCCCTATCACTACAGACCCTGATGAAGAGTCCCTCCCCAGCACCCTGTAGGCCCCCTTCAGATACTGGAAGGCTGCTAAAAAAAAATAAAATAAATAAAAACATGTCCACATTGCATCTGTTATGCAGTACAAAACACCAGGAAACAAGTGAATTGTATGTTCCTGTGATTGCTTCATGTAGTTCTGTGTTCAGTATAAGAAAATAAGCATAAACTAGGGTGGTCTCATAGAGGTGAAACTTAGAGCTCTTGTCTGTGCTAAAATTAGTCCTTGAGTGAAGTTTCATATGAATACCAGGAAGTCTCAGATCCCTCTTCTTACTTATGGAGTTTTTTACAAAGTATTGTTTTCTTGTTCCTGTCATGCTTAGCTCCTTAGCTGCTTCCTCTTACTGAAGGAGGATATAAAAGACACAATCGTATCACTGCAGTTTACTCTGTGACTGTGGGCAGGCAGTGTCTGCAGGAGATACTGACACAGGGCAGCAGGTTGCAGCAGGTGAGGAGCTGCCCCATCACACTCAAATCCCTCAGCTTCTGGGCTACTACAAACAAGATTTTCTATAGGATGTGTTTTATGGGCATCTGTTGGCCATTCTGACATTGCCATTATGATCCATGTATTTATCAGCTCCATACTTCGTGCCTTTTCTTCCATTCATCTGTGGAGCTTCCAGGTAGCCTTGTTTCTAAAGCAAGTATTTAGAAAACACAATTTTTTTTTTTTTTTAAACTATAAATACTGATTGGATTTCAAATCTTAAAAAAAAACCACAAAACAAACCCAAAACTGAACAAAAAAAACCACCAAAAACAACAACCAACTTTTTTTGAAATCCACTTAGTGACTTCTCAGTACTAGGAAAGAGAAACTGAGAAATAAAACTGAAGAAGGGGGCCTACAAGCATGCTGGAGAGGGACTTTTCATCAGGGACTGTAGCAATAGGACAAGGGGCAATGGGTTCAGACTAAAACAGGGGAAGCTCAGGATACATAAAAGGAAGGAATTCTTTACTGTGAGGGTGGTGAGGCACTGGCATAGGCTGCCCGAAGAAGTTGTGAATGCTGCATCCCTGGCAGTGTTCAAGGTCAGGTTGGACAGAGCCTTGGGTGACATGGTCTAGTGTGGGGCATCCCTGCACATGTCAGGGGTTTGGAACTAGATGATCTTGGGGTCTCTTCCAAGCCAAACCATTCTATGTTTCTATAAGAACCTTTTCTGTACACACTGACCAATGCACTGGGAGGGAGATCTTTTTAAAACTCTTCTGGGTAGGATGAAAGATATTGTAAAATATCAGAATTTCTGGCCAAGAGAGAGAAGGATTTTTCTGCTTGCATATCAGCCTTTTACCAAAACTAGAGAGGGGGACAGAGAATCGGTTCCATTTTAAGTAGTACTGTCAGTGAGAGGGTGAAAAGGTCTGAGTTGGAAAGAAAATTTAAAGTTGCTGATTCTTTGAAAATCTCTGATCATGGGTCAGATTTCTAAGGTCTCTTGACACCATACCAGCAAAACAGTGCCAGAGTAATTGAGAAAGATCTGGCTCCTGCTGCGCTCTGGACTGTCTTAATCTGTGTCTAGTCTGACCTTTTTTACGTGTACTGTGACAGCATCTCATGCATGTCAGCATGAGGAATAATGTCCTTGAAGACTGCTTGGAAGAAAGGCACATATTGTAGCAGCAGGCAGAAGAAGATTCCTTCTTTTTAATCTACGCAAACCAAAACTGTCTCACCCAGCATGCTCTCAGAAAATGCGCTCAAGTTTAATTCACTATGATTTACAGCCTGTCAGCCGCCTACTCATTGCCTTTTCTGAGTGCTGAGCTTCCTCTGCTACCCTTAAATCAGGATGAATGCTGTGGTATCATCTTCAGAAAACAGTCTGTTGAGGCATCAGACATTTTCCTTGCAGGTGCAGAATGTGTCTCCATGCTGAGCTGAGCCAGTTCTTTGATAAGACCTTTGCAGATAATTCAGTATAACTTCACATTTTACTGAAAAATAAGGATTTTCTGGTTTAGGAAAACAAATCCATTTCTTGGTGCAGATCACCAGTGCTTTTGCTCTTCGTCTTGTAACAGTTTCTTCAAGGAAAATCTTTTAAAAGGGACCTTTTAGCCTCTCCTGGAGATTACACCCTTGTAGGGGTCCTGCCTTCATCTGTAGATTTAATGGCTTAATAATCATTAGACCCTCCTATTATACAGTAACAAATAGGAATACAATACTTTTATCAATATTTGGCACAATTAATTTTTTTTTAATGTGAAACTAAATATTGATGCTGTCAAGTGACTACAGTTTAGGGGCATAAATTACAAATACTCCCGTGAGCCTCGCTCAAATTTGCATTCATATACAGTAACCATCTAATGTCTTTCTGTTCCTGTAAGCCATATGATTTGATTGCCAGATTACATGATTCTGTATTGTGCTTAGATGTTTTTACTGTTATTACCAATACTATCTTTTATTCTTACTGTAAATGGTAACAAAAAGTTAACTGCTTCCTTACCCTATAAAAGGAATGAAGTCCCATTTACAGAATGTCTCTAAACAGAAAATATCTCTGGAAAAAAAGATATACTGAATAAATAATTCATAACATGATGGGTAAGTAGAAAAAAAAAGGCCTTTTGATGTATTTTGCTACTCAAAATACAACCGGAGATTTAAAATAAAGTAACTGGCTATTATAATGGAGAACAAAATCTGCTTTAAAGAAGAACCACTGCAGGGGAGTCAGCTCTCTGTGCATTTTTACCCATTTTGCGCTTTTGTAGGTAACAACTTGTGAAATTGAGGAATCTGTCCCCTTGATTTTCCTAATTCGTTTCTTTCTCTTCCTTCCACCCTCCTGGTTTTCCATTAGCTTATTTCTTGGCTTATTTTCTAAATGAAATGTCAACCCACCCACCCAAAGGACACCCTAACATTTCAAGGATTTCAGATTACAGCAAAGCCCATCTGTAACATAAACAGCAAATAAATTCTTAAAGGCCTTGGAATTAAAGTCTCCCAGCTCAAAGCTTTCATTAAAAACTTGAAACTTTCAGTGCATTATGCTTCAGATTTCCACATAAGAATATACAATAAAAATATATCCTGAAAGCATCCCTGAGGAAATCAGCATGTGCATTTTCTCTTTTTCCCCATAAAACTGGAGGATCTTAATCAACTGAACAGTAAACATGAAGTCATCATTTCTTGCTAGGTACTGAGGAAATGCTGCATGAAACCACCTGGGAGGGCTCGGACAGCCTGTGTGGAGGAGCGGGCCGGTAACCCTGTGTCCCCGTTGAGGCGGGGGCAGGGGGCAGAACCCGGGCTGCAGGGCGGCCTGGCCTCGCTCAGGTGGTGTTGGGACGCAGCAAAGTGCTTTCTGCTCAAACCAAACCGCTGGGTCAGGTGTGCGCTGGTTTTTGCACGTGGAGGAGTCGATCCGGGGCTGATCTGAGGTGAAATGATTCAGGTGTGGCTCTTGCCAAGTGCCCCGGTGGAAGGGGCTGCTGGCCGCGGGCAAGCCCTGGAGCAGACGTGGGCTTGTCGGGAGGAGGCAAAGCCCCTGGGAGTGGCCTGCCTTGACCGCGGTTTGGACCGAAGGCAGCACACCCCCGACGAGTACTTTATTTCCCATACGAGCCCTTTATTTGTTTCTAACGCACAAGTGCCGGCTGCGCGTGTCCAGTGCTAAAGGACGGGTGCTCGTGCTCCCTCTCCCCTCATCGGCGACTGGACTACCGCACCCGGGGGGCGGCGGGCAGCTGCGGGGCAGGAGCACCGTCACGATCGCAGCGCCGCTCCTCGGAACGCCGCCGTTATGTGGCGGTGAAACGCGGGGTGCAGCTCTGCCGCCACGTAAGCGGGACGCTACCCCCGATCTTTATTTCTAAGTCCTGGGGCCAGTCTCCCTCTTCCCGCCGGGGGCCAGGCGCCGCCATCGCTCCCCTCCGGTGCGGGCCTAGCGAGGCCTTGCCGGCCGTTACGGCGCCGACGCCGTGTGCCGCTAGGGCGGGGCGTGCGCCGCTTCCCGCCTTTCGCGTCACCTCCCTCAGCGGGCGCCGGCACCCGCGTCCTCCCCGCGACACAGCATGGCCGGGGCGGCTCCGGGGCCGCCGGTGAAGGTGCTGGCCGCCCAGCTGCGGGGCGCGGTGCGGGGTGCTGGTGGGACGTGGCAGTTGGGCCGGGCGGAGGCGGGCCGGGCACCGCTGTGCCTGCGGGCCGTGTGGATGCAGGGCACCGTGCTGGAGGTGGAGCGCGGCGGCGTCCGCGGCGGCTCGGCCCGGCTGCGTGATGACAGCGGCCCCTTCACCGTGCTCGGGGTGGAGGAGGTGCCCAAGGGGCGGCCCTGCCTCAGCGCAGGTACCGGGAGGCGGGCGCGGTACACAGCCCCTGCGGGGCCTCTTTCCCTTGCATCGTGGGCCGTCGCTTGCGGCTCCTCCTGGCTCGTGTGCGCAGGGATGCAGCTGCTCCCCTTGTCCGAAAGCGGGAGGCTTGCAGGCAGCGGGTGTGTGTCGAATACGTGCCTGGGGCGCGCAAAGCTAGCGCAGCTGCACAGGCATCATTTCACATACACCAGCCTTCCTACAAGAGGCACCCTGAAAAAGCTGTGCTGCTATAGCAGTCAGAAGGAGCAGCGTGTGTTGCCGCAGGGGAGCGTGTTTCTGGCTGTCAGTACAAAGACACGGCCTTCCCCTGCGAGTTCCAGTGAAGATAGGGCCTGTTTTCAGTTCTTCACAGTTAAAGCCAACGGTGGATCAAACTGGGATGTTGCAGAGAAGAGCTGTGAGTCTAGGAGCAAGGACAGTATTTACTTGTTTATTTACTTGTTTCTTCTCTTCACCAGCACTGCTAATTCAAGTGAACAAGTGCTGGACTGCAGCATTGCAGGAGTTGTGGTACAAAACAGTCTTGTTGCTTAATGTTCAGTCTTCTGAATTGCCCTCCCTCCACTTGCATGGTAGAAAGAGGAATCGTGCTGGTTTTGACTCCTAGTGGATGTGAAAATGTAGCAAACTACTGTAAAACAGCTGTACAGATCATGTAGCCTTTTTCAGACTCAGATCCAAGCAATCTTAGTTCCCTGAGTTTTCTTGCAAGTATTGGCAGCTTTAATTCAAACTGTTTAACTACTTGTTTTAAATTCCTTAGCTTTTTGAATTAAAATAGAGGCTAATTAGATTTCACACTTTCTTGTTTTTTTAGGGAAGTATGTAATGGTGATGGGTGTGGTGCGGTCCTGCAGTCCTGAGCCTGTGCTTCGAGCCATAAAGATGACAGATCTTTCTGAAAACCCCGTGCACAAGGATATGTGGAGCCTCGAAGTGGAGGATTTGCACAGAGTCATCCCCTAGATATTTTTTCTTCTGCCAAAAAAAAAACGGAAATGTACTTTTTTTCTCCCCCCCCCCCCCCCCCCCCCCCCGCTGCAGAGCATTGAGCCATTCTGTGTATTTGCAGCTTCAGATAATTGCCAGTTACTCTCCTGGAGTAAACCAAGGTGAGAAAGTCAGGCTTGGAGTTAAGTGGAGGGATCAGTGCGTATCTGATAATAATCAGTGTACGTCTCTTTCACAGTCTCTTTTTATACCAACAGAAACACTTGATGTGCTAAGATGTCTGTGCTATTAAAATTACTACAGTTCTACATATATTAGTTGCTGTTTCTAGGCCCATGTTTAGATAGTTGTTCCTGTAGTGGTGTATTCTTGGCAGCAGCGGCTGAACAGAACTCATGTTACCAGGTGAATTCAATACATGAAATGAAGGCAAAATGCATTTCAGTCCATCTAGGTTGGGGTTGGCAAGAGCATCTTCACCTGTTTTCTCTTTCAGTAATAACATGTCAGCAAATTCTACTTGTAAGACAGATGTCTTTTTCTAAGTGTAAAAGCAGAGTCTTGTAGCTAAACGCCACTCTGGTTTCTGTGTTTCTGAAAGTGGTACAGTGATAACCCCTGTGTTCCAGCGAAGCGAGATTAGCTGAAAAGATGTGATGCAGGATTCCTTGGAATAGGTTCTCAAGATGCAAATAACTTCTACTACCTCATGAAACAAGCTTGCTAAGCCTAAGTGTATTTTTCTCTTTAAAGGTTTCCTTTCTTGTTTCAAGCTATGTTATTTTTAGTTGTTTACATTATTCTTAAATATATTTTAATCTTTCTTTCCTCCTGTGGAAAAAAACCTCAAACTCAAACAAACCAAACCCCATATAAATGATGAAATCTGATAAAGGAAAACCTTTCAAAATCAGAGCTATGGCTACTCTTTTATCTTCCCTCATCTATAGAGAATTTGAGTTCTAAAGAAAGCATTGCATTATCTATGTGATACAGCTTTGTAGTTTGGGACTCTGTTGTCCAGCAGTAGTTATGTTAATTAGGAATGCATACAGGAAGGGAAGATGTGCTCTAATTGTACTCTGAAAAATAGAAGATGAAAATCCAGTGGTGGTTAACTAAATTTTAAGACTGGAGGATTATGTTTTCAAAGTGCCTGGAAATGAAATACTCTTTTCAGTAGATCTTTAAATGAGACCTTTACAGATGAAGGACTAGCTTTCAGAGTCAATTCCAGCCTTGAGATCAGTATTCCAAATCAGGCCACATTAGAGGCACTTGCATAATGGACATCCTGAGCTCCAAGACCCTGCTGATAAAATGCCAAAACACACATACATACAGAATTTTGGCAGTCTGGGTTTATTTATTGTTTTTAATGCTGGGGAAAAAAAAAAAAAACAAACAACAAACAAAACACTTGTGGAATGATGTAGCCTTTCAGGAATGATCCATGCGGTCAGGATACCGACTGGCAATTTTTTACCTAGCAATAGATACTTTTCCATCTGAATGCTGCTTTTGCCAGGAACCTGAAGCTCATTGCATGTAAATTCACCTTGCCGTGCTTTCCAACTAGGCAGTGAAACCCTGAAAATAAAGAGCTAAAAGGTCTGCTGCGTCCTTGCTGGTGTAAGTAAATCTGTGGCAATATTAAATATGGCTTGTAGCCCTGTTGGTGTGTGCAGAGTATAGTGGTTGTCAGGAGAAAAACTACTGTCAGTCCGTCTGGCAGTGATGCATATTCACTGCGTGCATCTGAAAAGTTGCATTTCTGTAGGAGTGGGTTGTATGTACATAGGGCTGGAATGGATTTGTAAAGGATTTCTTTGCATTTTTCACCACTCTGCCATTCAGAGGCTCATGAGTCAAAGCATCTGGGGTTTCTTTGCTTGCCAGCAGTCAGTACCAAGCACAATAAGATCTAGATCCCTTCACTGCTTGACTTTTGGTGTTTCTGTACCTTGTCTGGATCTGTACTGCATGCTTGACCTCACTAAACACACAAACTGGCTCTACTCCACCTGGAAAGTTTTTCATGTTTCATCAGCACAAAGCTATACATGTTTGCTTGACAGTTAATGGGAAGGAGAACTGTTGTTGAACTGAAGTACTGCTTCAGAAAGGCCTGCAATTACATTAGTGAATTTAAAGGGTTATCGTTAGTTTAAAGGTTTTAAAGGGTTCTAAAGCCAACACTGGATGCTTTTGTGACAGTTCTTGGCAAAAAGGGCTTTCCTAGGAATTCAAAGCAAAAGGCAGTCTTCAGAAAGTTGAATGCTGAGTTTGTAAACAAAAGACTTCTAGTGATTGCTGATGCTTCTTATGGCTGTTGGTAGCTTCAAGTACCACCCAGGGCGGAGTGCCTCATCTCTGGGTTTCCAGAGTTTGGCACTGTAGTGCTCTACTGAGCAGTGTGAATTCTCCCTTTTCCACATCTTAACTGCAGCAGGCAGAGTGTGTATGTGGCTATCAGTATGAAGACTTACACTATCTTCCCCTGTTAAGTCCCAGTAAGGATAGGGCCTGGTTTCAGATCTCTTCAGAGTCTGTTAGTCCTGCTCTGTATAAACAGTGCTTTGCCCAGACTTCTGTTGCTGGTATGATGCACTGTTTATGGTTGGTGTGGTAGGTGGGTGTCAGGGACCACGTTTAGAACCTCAGGGCACGAGGGGCTGTGGTTTCTGTTGCCTGAAGTGCTGGCTTTGTTGCTGCTCAGTGTGCACCAACCTGCACCCCATGCTGACAAGGCTTCTGCTGCCCTTCATGGGCATCAGGTGTGAGTTGGAGGGTCAGTGCGAGTGCTTGCCTTGCTCATCAGTATCTGTATACAAACCATGCAGTCGCATGACCTGGGAACAGCTCAGAGACATCTATCAATGTGCTGAACACCATGGCTGTAGCTCAGTATGTTCACTGGTGGTTAAATGGCTTCTCTATATGCAGCTTCTAGGGGACCCCTTGTCTGCACCTACCCCAGGTGTTGCAGTTGACAGCTAATACAGTTTAAACAGTTTCTTTTCTGTATTGCTGAATCCCTGACTGCACTGCCCTTAGTCGAAAAGTAAAGCTCTTCTAGATCTTTTGTTCTACTTGTTGACATTGTATTTTGTTCCTGTGGCTGTCATCTCAGTATTTTTTCAAAGGTGTTTGGTGTGTTCAGCATGCATTAAGTGACTGGGGAGAAGATGATGAGGTTTTTAATTAAGTGGTGTAAATACTTTTTAACTTTCAGAAAGATTGCACACAATTTTGGATTCATTATAAAACGTCTCTCTAAGTAAGCAGTTATAAAATCATTACACAGGAGGGCCTCATTTCTACCATGTTTTTACAGCAGCATCTCCTACCACTTGTAGGAATTTTTCCTGACCCGTGTTAGAATCATGTTTTACTTGCATTTGTGTAAAACTACAGTGTCACCGTTGAGGAAGCGATTGCAGTTGAAAGTAGCACAGACAGGGTACCTGAGGGCATCTGCTACTTTGTCTCTGAACTGCTGGAGGCATTTAAACCCAGCTGGTTCCAACTCTGTAGAACAGTACAACTTACTCTGAATAATCAGTAAAAACAAACTCTTGCATAAAAATAAGCAAGTCAAAAGTTTATTAACAATTATTTCAATGGCTGCATATTATGCAAAGACATCTGAAGGATTCTGAAGCATTACAATTTACTAAGGAATAATTGTGTTTCTGGTATTGTGTGGAGAAAATGTAATACATTTTTTTTTTAATCAACAGATCTACACTACAGAAAGTAATTTAACAGGTGGGACACTCACACATCGATCTGTAGCACCTTAAGACAACTCTGTGGACAGGATAGGTATTGGTCACCCCTTCCAACATGTAAACTGGTTTCTGAGAAGGGGGTTGGTTCTCAAGACACAAAGGGAGACTGTGAAACTGATGAACAGATACCAAGAAGGCTGGTTCTCATTTAACAATGTACAAAGTAATAAGGGAAAAATCAACCAGCACAGAAATGAGAAAATCATTAAAGGCTTTCAGTTATTTATTTAACCATCTTACTTCTTGCTTAGCCTTCTTGGGTGCTGGGGCACTTCCCTCGAAAAAGGGCACTTCCTCCAGAATTTACTGGGTAGCTGAGTTATAGTTCTGGAGAAAAAGGAAGTCAGCATTTCTGCCCAGCTCAAAGCTGACATACTGCCCTCACAGAGGAGCCCACTTGTACCAGTCTGTGCTGGCAGAGACCTTTTGTCATCTTTACACATATTCCTGCTGTGGTTCAAGGCTTGTCAAGAGGCACCTTTGCTATTGAATGGGAAATTTACTTTTTTATTCAAGTACCTGATAATCTTATGTCCAATTTCTTCTTGTCACTGTACTGAAATCATTCCTCTTACCCCAGGTGTTTCTGGGTGAAAAGCTTGCTCTCTAGACTATATATGCTTCATTATACTCATGGTCCTAACACAAATTCATTCCCGCTTTTACTGGTCTCCCTACTATTGCTTCTAGCTTCTCTACCTTAATCGGTTGTTTTATTTTGGGTGCCAAAAAGGTTCTTCCATCTTCAGGGCTGGTATATGCCATTCAGAACTGGCTCAAGCTGAAATGAAAAGGAGATGAAATCCAGTTAAAGAGTTAGTGGTTACTTGAAGGATGGGAAGAAACAAGTCACATTTAATACAAGCTGTTACTATGCTGAATTACAAGAAATCTATGAAGGGGAAAAATAGCATCAAATATATTTATGACATTATAAAGAAGCTGTGGGGAAAAGTACCCTAGCAGTTTAGATACTGGTTTAGCTACACTAAACTGAAATAAAGATGTTCTTTCTTTATGTTTGATGATAAATTCACCTTTAGGAGGAAAAGAGCAGCATTACTGCTAAAGTTTATGGGCTTTGGCTAGTTCAGCTATGCCGATCTTTGACAAGACAGGCTTTCTAGAAAGCAGTAGCTGTTTGTGACCAAAATGTTCTCTTCTGCTCTCCTGACCTTGGCCAGCTGTCAGTTACAATGCGTAACCAGCCTGGCCATTGCAAATGCTTTCGCAGTATCAGACCTAATGCTCCACCGCTGCGGTATGTGCTGTGGCACTTCCTTCTCTTTACTGTGTTTACATATTTGAAGACTTAAATCATGTCCCTCCGCAGCCCTTCATTTTGCACCCACAGAGAGACCTCTGGACTTCTATCAACTATTTCACAACTAGATCATGGTGTCCAAAACTGGACACATAAAACAAGCTAAATAGAGAAGAAGTATTTCTTTGGTACATTTATTCATGTGTACATCCCCAGTGCACGCTGCTTGTTTAATAGTATGTTCTTGTTGCTGTCTGAGCTTGTGATTACTGCAGTTTCAATCCCTTTTCTCAGAAACGGGGCAATGTAAACCAGAGGACTTCAAGTCTTTTGGCTACTGAGTCATTCTAAACCTCTGGTTCCAACTGAATATTCAGGCTCAGATTTAACAGAATTTTTAATTCAATGTTGAGTTTTTATAAATAATTGGAGCTAAAACCACTTACTGCCTATAAGATACCACCCAGAAATTTCATGGTCACCTACTGCTTACACACTGACCTGAATACATAAGGCAGATAAGGACAAGTGGAGTTACTACTGCATAGGTAAGTCTATGCTTGTGAGGTACTAATGTACATACTGGCTGTTCTTATTCTAGGTTTTTAATTTATTGCTAACAGAATCATCTACAACTATGTGATAGTTATTCCTTCCCTTACTGGGTGACAATTCAACAAATGCTTGCAAATATATATATATATATTTTAAGCATATCACAACTGTTTGTAGTCAAGGAACTCTTTTGAGGTAGTAGTGAGTTTACAAAGGCAAATGCGTAACATTTTATTGCATATATTAAAAACTCCACCCTGTTTCTCATTACTAAGCCACATCAGGAGATGCAGCATGGAAGTTAGTGCTTCATTTCAAGCAAAAGCGTAACCGGCTTTTCTGCATGATTCAGTTATTTACTTAAGAGTGAACATTTCCATTGCAGTCCTGCAAAAATGTGATTACATCTGAAGTTATTACTTGGGCAGGTGAATCAGTAATTAGTATGACAGTAATTTGTAAGTGTGTTTCCTTTCATGTGCTCATTGAGTGAAAAGATACAAGCACGTAGCAAATTTCAGAGCAGCTCTGTCCTTTTTTTTGGTCTAAACTAAGAAGTAACAGAATGCAGATGAATAAAAAAGTAAGTTTTGACTGTCTCAAGACAGGAAGATGTGAATGGCCTGTATCACTCAAGGGGTACAATTTATCATAGTTTAGTTATTATTTATGTAGCAATTTGTAGTCAGTAAATAGCAGAACTCAAAGAAGGTAGTTATGTATGGAGACAGCACTTAATAAAAAAATGTGTAGGCAAGATGTAGAGTGCAGATCAGTGACTATATGTAATACATAAAACACCCAACAGACATCCATCCTGAAGCCGTAAGGTGTCTCACACAGGTTACTGTGGTGCTCTAGCAAAGACAGGGTTTTGTCCCTTGGGGACTGACACTCCACAGTAGCCAAATTGGACTGGAGTACAGTAACACATACTGAAAATGGCAACTATCGAGCTGCAGTGTGCAGCAGCTGTGGTAGCTCTGAGGAAAATGAGGGAAATAAATTTTACTACTAACAGGTATGTTGGGGCTGGAGACTTACATAGGACTTCTCTTTACACAAGAATAATAATTTTCTTAAAATGCTGTACTTCCCAAGTAATACAGGTGCATTCCTTTAGAGAGTAAGTTTCCTAGTCTGGTTTCTGCATCAATGTAAGGATCCATAACTAACTTAGATAGTAACACCAGAAATGGGCAAGGTTAGTAATGCCAAAAATTTCAAGCTAGTACTAGTGCTCTTTTCAGCGTTCTGTGTATTTTCAAACAGATTCCTGGAAGATGTTACCCAGGTGACAGCTGCATTAAATACAAGTACTGATAATCTTAAAATCCTGGGTTAAGTTTAAAGATAGATCAATTTAATTGAAAAGTACAAAACCAGGTCACTGAGTATGTTCAGGGTCTCTATATGTTGTATTATTGTTAATAGGGGTCCAAATGCATTATTCAGACAGAAAATTGAAACAAAACCAGTATCTGAGCAGTGGAACAGCTGGGGACAGTCACACCGTACTTGGCCAGTGTTCCGCCTCCTGCATGGAGTGAGGAGGCAATAATAAGCAAGGCAGTGGGAGCAGGCATTGATGGGCTGTGGTGCACTTCTGAGAGAGCAGCAAGAAGGAGGAGGTAGACAAGAAGCAAGAGGAATAATTCCAGAAATAAGTTCGTTTTTGCTCAAATCCACAGTCAGATTCACTGGTGTTTTTTTTCCTCTCATGTGCTCTTGAATAACAGACATGTAAGTGTTGGAGCAATGCAGCCAGCATGTTCTGGATGAAAGGAAATGAAACTTACCACTGAGGAGGAATTTCTACAGGGACAAAGTTTTGGTTGCACAAGTGAACAAAAGCTGCTGCTAATCTGCAGGCAGCCTTCACCTCATGTGATCCACAGGAGTCGTAAGTGCACATGCTGTAGAATGGTGCAGGGTCTACCTTTAACACAAAGCAGTTGTTAGAGGAAGTGCTGTGCAGGACACACACACATCTCTTCTGGAGATGGCACTCTGGGCACACACCTCCAGGCAAACTGAAAGGGAAGTTTGATTTGTGTCATCCCTCCCCCCAGTCTTGATAGGGACTATTGCAAACCTTTAGTCTCTTCCCAGTATCAAGTGGTTGACCTGTACCGCCAATTCCAGACCTGTATGCTAGAGCACTGCAAAGCCACGCCACTACCTCATGGATGTCAATGTATGCTATGGTGACATAATACCTTTTTTTTGCTTTCTGTCTGAATTGTTCTGATTATTTCTAAAGGTTATCTGTAACTAAATTCCTATATCCTTGCAATAATTATGTGTACCCCTACCTGGTGTGCAGGTAGCCTTTGGTGGCCAGAGTTATACTTACAACTCTGAAGCAGTTCCGAAGAAGTGAACGTGGTTCCTCAAAAAACACTTTACAGACTTTTTGCTTATTTGGACACAGCTCCGCTTTCTTCTGTACAAGCCTGCATGTGTTCACCTGGAGAAACAGAATCACTTGAGTTGTTTGTTTGTTTTTTAAACATCAGTGTGCTGGGATTTCTTCACATTTCCAATGGGAGATGGTTTGGAGGAAGACAGGGGCAGCTCAGTTCTCTGGTTAACATTTACTGTTCATCAACATTGAGAAGTACCTTGCACTCTTGATAAACAAAACTGTATGTCTCAAATATTACAGACTATGGACACTGGTTCATTTTCTGTTGATTTTATTATTCACTGAAGGATTTTGGTGTGGCTGCTGACACAGTGAGTATCTGACCAGTTTCTGACCAGTTGTCTGACAGGTCAGAGTTGTGCTTTTACTAGACTTTGAGTGAAAAAATTGTCAGATGCTTGCTGGATTATTCACAGGTAATAACAAGGCAGCTTAAAACCCACTCCCAAACCCAAATGGGACTTCCCTACAATTACAAGCATTTTTGGATGATAAAAATGTGAATGCATTTTTATTGTATGTGATTCAGGTAAGGCCCCTTAGCACACCACTCAACAGCTGATGATACCAAATATTAACAGAACTAGTCATGAGCAGCATTTGCTTACATTTCTTAGGTTTTGTTTTGACTGAACACTGGGTTTAGTACTCTGTATGGATCAGCAACTTACTGTTTGCTTTTAATCAGTAATTTCCCAGCAAATCTTTTAAGATTTTAGAAGCTTTTTCAGCAGGTGTGAAGTAATTTTAGTTACTAAGAAAAATTAACTCCCAGTTTAATCTCTCAGATAACTCATCCTGCAGCAGTCGGACACTTGCAGTCTCCTTATTAACCTGACTTTGTACAGCGGCTGCTCTGGTAGCACTTTTGTTAACGTGTAAGGTCAGTGCATGTTACAAAGCCCCTGGGAGCGAGCTGACAGTCTGTGCTCAGAGCTGGGTGCTAGGTGGCTCCAGCAGTGTGGGGTGACTGCTGCTATTCCAGGCTTTGATGCCTAACCAGATGTAACATGACTGTGTTTCACTTTCTGTATCATGTATAGTTGTGCTAAAGCTTCTGGTCAGGATGGGTTTTTGCAAGCTCCATTTTACCAGCACAGATGAACTGCCCATTTAGACTGGATATTTCCACAGTGTCATTTCATCCTTCTGCTTCAGAAAAGTTTCTGAAACTCTGCAGGAACTCCTGACTTGGTACATTTGTATTTCTGGCCATTGCTTTGATGCTGTATGATAGCAGTACAGTATTGGCAAGTCAGTCCATTCATTTTTTTTTTTTTCTGAGCAGAATACGACTACAGACAGCCCAGAGGTCAGCCAGAGACATCTACAAATCCTGGGCAGTACACAGAAATGTCCGAATCAATAGTGTGAGCACAGCCATTATACCACTTAGAGAAGGACATACGTGACTTCCCAGCTTGTTTACGACAGTGTCTTATGTGTTGCTTTTAATTGATTATTGGGTTTAGTTAATTGTCTCTGGTAGTTTTGCATTAGATGGTTGCATTTTCATGAATATATTAAAGTTAATATTTGTAGCAATTAAGAAAATTATGCCAAGTCTGTCATGTCATGATCCCACCCCATTATTAACAAACACATGAGCAGTATCTTGGCAAGGAAAGTACAAACACTCAAAGCAAAACTCTTCTTTACAGTAAAATCCTAACGGAAAGCTGAAAATAGTAGTTTCTGTGCCCAGAGCGCAGACATCTGGTGAGAGAAGGTACAGGGAAATGCCACAGAATCATAGTAGTAAAAAGATGCTGGTTTCTTTTTTTTTTTTTTTTTGTAATGGATTCTAAAAATGAGGCTTGAAGGATTTAGAGGATCCTGTCAATGTGGCTTGAGAGCACATGAAGGCTACTTTGTTAGGTCAGTGGTATTCATAAATAGCCATGTATACCTGCACATCAGTGTCTTCTAGTAACAGAGGCAGCCTCTATTTTTTCCTTACTACTTGAACCAAAAATGCTCAACACCCATATACAAGGAATCCTTGCACTGTTTTAGCAACTTTGCAATCGTTACCCTGGTTAAACTCAGGAAAACAAATTACACACAGTATGCTCTGTTTTTACTATCTAGCTTTATTTCATCTAAGCAAAACCAGCATGTGGGATGTTGGCATTTGTGCTCCAGCACCGCTGGTAAGCTGCACTGGCAGCAGCCCTTCCCTCATTACCTGCCAGCTCTGTGTGAACTCCTGCAAGTTGTCAGTGATGGAACCATTAGGAAGGATCCATTCATTTCCAGCTTCATTGTCATTGGTACCAAAAAGCCCAGCTGAAATGCCTGGAATGAAATTGGAGTCAATCAGTAGTTGTCACAAGTAGGTGTAGGAACAATTTAGAAGCTGTGCCAGGGCTCTGATTATTCTGCAGTAGAGCTCAGCTGTAATGCAGAAGAGGGAACACATGCTCAGGCACCCCTTATGGATTTTCCTCCAATTGCACTGCCATCTTGTTTGTTACCTCTTATTTTGTTTCTCATGACCGGATCAAGGCATCGTATGCATTCTCTGCTAATCTCAGGGGTCTGAGTTCTAGAATAGTGCGAGGCAATGGGATAGAAATGTATTCCAAGTATACTGAAAACCTCCCTCTTTCATGCTCTTGCATGTTTGATTCTCAGACAGGGCCTGGGCCTGCGCTGGCTGCATTCCATCTTCCCCCTATTTCTGTCTGCTTTAGTGAGCACTTTCTGTTCTTAGTGGCATGATACATGCTGTGCTTTACTTGATAATAACTGGGAATGCTTAGGGCCATTTCCAGGGTGTATATACACAAGGAGGGGGAAAAAGAAGTGAAAGACAACCCATGTGCTGGTACTAAAGGTGGTGATGTTCAGAGAGAAAAAAAAAAAAAATGACTAACACTGGCAAAGCTCTGGGATTGATACTCACCATGATGCCAGCCAGCCAGAGTGACAGTGCAGAGATCATACTGGAAGTCACAAGAGACAGAAACTCCTTTCTGATTGGACACTTCTATTTTATTGCTTTCTCTCCTTGAATTAATGGTATTCTTTTCAAGGGACTGATCCAGTGCTTGGCAGTTTTCTTCCATAAAGGAGAAGTTGTATGTCTTGGATACCTGTTTCAACATGAAAACACAATTTCCAGTTCATCACAGGGCAGGGTCAGTGCCTGGCAAGCTCAGCCTGGTTTTGCAGGTGGGGTGGGGTCAGCTTTGCTCAGCCCAGAGCTGGGGAATAAGAATGGGGTTGAGTTAAACTTTTCAAGAGTAGGAAAGCACAACTCCTGCCAGGTACACTGAAGCTGGGGCCCAGTCTGCTCTCCAGCCCTTTGTAACTGTCGATGAAGTAAGAAGAAAGCTGAAAAGTTCAGTGATCCTCTCTTATTTAAGTACCCAGAAAGCAAAGAGGCAACCCTGGAGTTAAAACTGGTTTTGTTCAGGGGAATTATTTCCTGATTAAAAAGCGGTTGCTTTCTAGCACTTACATCTGCCAGCTGCTCTGATCTGTGTCTTGAGCATTAATATTTTGAAGACTTTATTTTTGTTGGTTGGTTTATGATAATCTCTGGTCTAGAATGTTTGACTTCCTCCTCCTACCTTCAGTCTTGGGGAGATGCTGATCACGGTCTGGTTCATCTCCACATACAGGGATCTTGAGTTACCAGTTTCCTCATTTAGTATTACAGTGAATGTATTGTGAGCAAAATCCTTTGCAAGAAGTACACTGCACTTTGATGCCAAATCATAAATTTTGCCATCAAAAGTCATAAGATGCTTGGTCCCCATTAACATAGCATGATCTAGAGAACGACATTTCAGAAGCAGCATCAGTGAATTTTCCACAGAACTGTAAGTACTGTGCTACTACCTGCATACTCCAACACAAAGAGCTTCTGGCTGGCCATCTCTTAAGATAATTTCTCAAGCTATTATTACTTTTTCATTAGTTACAAGTTACTCTGCAACAAAAATTTCTCCTGAAAGGAACCAATCTAATAACTTCTTTTTCATTATAGATCCACTCAAGTGTCCTAAAGCTTTGAGAAACATGAATTAGGATTCAAAGCTCATCTTGATCTACAGTCATGTTACTTGATAGCTCTATTTGTGAGTCTGTCCCTGTTCCCCTCCCCATACACAGTATACATTCCTATGCAGAAAACAGCAAGACTATTTTAACTGTCTCAAAACAAGTACCCAACCAGAGCACCAGAGTAGCAGCCCAGGAAAGCCAGCTGGTATATCACTCAGATGATGTGGTCACTAGAACCTATTTTGAGTGCCCTCCATTGAGTCTGCCTGCTGGAAGGAAGCCAATAGAAGTGGCTCTTTCTGGAAAAGCCATTATCTAAGGGACAGCTGGGACTGTTAATGCAGTCTTTCAGCATTTAGCAATGCTTTTTCAGGTAATGCTGTCTCTCAAGTTTTGGTAGAGCTGAGCTTTTTCATACTAGAGCCAACAGAAGTGATGTCAAGTCTGGACACAGCCTCCACGGCAAGACCCAGGGCCAGCAGGTATGGCAGGCACTGAACCATGTCAACTCACAAGAGGATATTGATAAGGCAGATAAATGCCACCTGCTAACTGCTGGTCTCAAGAGGAAGAAGTGTAGAGTTGCAAAATTAGCATGAATATTAAGTAAAGGAGTGTTTACCGCATGTCGGCTTTACCCAGAGTTGCTGTTACGTGTACAATTACTGGTTTACAAGAAAGTCTATATATCAAGTTCATAGGAAAAGTAATAATTAGCAGCCATGTCTATATAAACTGCTATTCCAAATATGTTTTGTAGGATTTGGAACTAAATGGACATATATTCAAGTACAAACCAAAGCAGCACTTTGAAAGGGCTTACATTCGAAGGGACTCTCCAGCATCCTCCGTTTGAATCTATAATACTCTGCAACTATGTTGATATTGTAGAGGTCTTGGAGAGGCCTCATTAGCTTTTCTTCAATGAGATAATGAGTGATATTTCCCAGATCCAGAGATCCAGCTTTAGGAAGTACTGGCAGTTTTACTGCCACTGAACAGTTCCTGCAGAATACAAACAAAACAGTGTATGCTCTTAGCTGCTAAGCTGATGAAATGCAGTTGCCTTATTATTAGAAATGTGGAAGTGAAATATTCGTAAGAACTGCAGTCTGGTTACAATGGCAAAACCAAAGATACACCGTGCCAGATAAGGCAGTTATCATAGCTACTGCCATTCTGTTTACTGCTGAGTCACTTCTTCTGAAGTACAGCCCATCCTGGTAGCCAACAAAAAAACACATTATGGTGTGATGCCGTATGCCCAAAGAAGAGCCAGGTAGTCCCCAGCCCCCAGCATACACACTGCTATGAAGACCACCTGTGCACACAGCCATTTACAGTGGTACCCAGCAGCAGGGATCCTGCAAAACCACCACTTACCTGGCTGAGAAACTGTACAGGTTGAGTAAGGGCTTCCGGATCTTGCTCACAGCTCTAGAAAACAGGGCCTCTGCCCACCTGAGCATCTGCTGTGTAGTCTATTGGAGAGCCAGAAAGGGAGATTACAAAACCGGCTTCAGGGCAGGGTCAGTACTGGACAATAAGTTTTAAATCAGTGGTCAGTGAAATAGCAATTTAGTCTCTCTTGCATTTGTCACCTGCCTGGCATATTGTCATTTAGAGGTTAATATCCAGAGGACAGATACTAGTCATTACTGCAACAAATAATGGGCAGAAATAAAAATTTCCTAAAATAACATTATTTAAAGTATACCAATACTTCATTAAGTTAATGTGCTTCAGTAGCGGGTTTGTATCTTTGTTAATATAAACTGCTGTCATGATATACCCTTCATGCTCTTCAACTAGACGAGCCCAAACTTTTTGTACATTACTTGTTGGAATCGCAGTCCCTTCCTTTTATGGTAGAACAGCAAAAGCTACATGCATGAAAGATTACCAGTGCTGTGATTTCAACCAAAACTAATACAACACCCTCTCCTCTAGCTGGAAAAGTACTGCTTTCAAAGCAGGACAAGTATTTCAGGAACAAGCACAAGCCTGTTGTGTAGCAAGATAACCACACTGTATTTCAGGAACAAGCACAAGCCTATTATGTAGCATGATAACCACACTATCTCTATAAACGAAAACATGTAACTATTTGAGTATACCCAAAATTCAAAGCTGAGACCTGAATTTGTAGGCCTTGTCTTTCAAGCCATTAAAAATGGAGAACTGACTTGTACCAACCATGTCCAAGCCCGCTTTCACAGCCTTCAGTGCCACCTGAATTGGTTCCATTAGCCACACATCTTTTACTATCTTGGGTAAAAAAGCCTGGATTTTCTTCATGTACTCCTCTGTCTTCTCTTGCCAAACTTCATCCAGTGGTTTCAAGGTTACATCGTAGTAGGCATCCTTCAAAGTTGCTAGTGGGTCTGTAGCAAAAGCATGAGATGATGAAGCATTACTTAGGGAGTATGTTACAAAGGAGCTGTTTGTTTCAGAGTGTGTTTCTTTCCCCACAGCTTCCGGCATGGTGAAGTAGGGACACAGAAGAATGGCACAGGCAGCTTGGGTTTCATGGCAGGCACCTCTCACAGCTGTGTGTGTGGACACAGTGTTAAAAAACGCCCTGAAACACGCATTTAGCTGTAACCCTAATCCACTCATACGCCCTACAAATACACTGCTGCTTTCCAAAATAAATGTAACGCATGCTTTGCAATATGCCGCCATCAGAATCATACAGATCAACCTGCATCTGCTGGAGGAAAAACTGAGCAGTTTGGTCACAACTGCTTCCACATATGGTGTATCAGCTAAATCTCACTTTGGAGTGGAAAGCATCTAGAGGTAAGTGGAGTGAGGTTTTAATCTTGTGAGAACTGAGGGTTCTCTCTGCCCATTACAGCTGACCGTATTTCTTCATAGTGGGAAGTGTCAGGCTATAGACCAGCCCAACAGTGAATTAGCGGCTGCTGGATAGACTTAGAAAAAACAGTTCAAGTGAAATCAGATTAGTACAAGCATCCAAAACTGAAGGATGGGTATGAGCTGCCCTTTAGGAGGAAATGCTTGCAGGGAACTGTTAGCAGAAAGGCTTCAGATTAGGAATCAGGGCTCTGTTCTCATTTGACTGATCCAGACTCCTGTGTCCAAGAGAATGCTTTTTTAATTATTTCATTACAACAGTGCTCACAGTGAGCTTACTTACAGCTTATTGCATCAAGGCTCCCACTCTGTAAACTAAAAGCCAAGGTTGGCACTTTTTGTTAGATCAAAATAGAAACATTTGTGCTGTTCAGCATCTTTTATACTCAAGTTTGTTTTGCCCTGCATTGACATTGTCCTTACTCTCCTTGCTTTGCATTGTTTTGCTTACTTTGCAATTCATTCTGCATTTGCTGGACAATGTCTTGAATTTTATCCAGGTAAAGTGGGAGTTTGCTTCTCAGTATATGCCCAATTCCACTTTGCTTCCACACCTGGGCGACAGCTCTACCCACACTGTGGAGTAATCCTGCTACCTTTTGCAAGGCTATGGAGGGCCAGCCAGCTGTTTCTGACAGCAAATCAACTTGCTGCACCTAAAAAAGAAGAAATATCACATTACATTGTGATCACAAGCAAAGTTTTGACTTCATTCCAAGGCAATTCTGAAGCCCATGGTGGTGGCGCAGAGATACAGGATCTTTAGCATGAAAAACACTTTCAGTCTATGTGTGAATTGCACAGGAGGGACCATTTAAATGTTTAAGCAAAACAAAACAACTGCAAGTAGCATCATTTTTAATAATACTGCAGGGACATTTCATGGTGCTTTCCCAGATGATGTACAGACACTTACTGAGCTCCTGAATCTCCACATGTATCCCTCAATCTTCTTTATCTTCTCCACCAGTTTGGCTTTCAGAAGGCTCCCAATTTCATTAAGTTTGTACTGTGAAAATATGAATAAAACCCTTGAATTTATGATTTAGAATTGCTTGTGCTGAGTCCAAGTCAAAGTTTGTACTAGTTTAAATGTCAGCAAAGATCCACATTGGCCTTCCATTTCTCAGGGGAAACAGCTTCTGGTTACAATGGGTTAGAAATGGGAACAGAAGAGTGTAAGGATGAAAAGCCAAAAAGCCTCCTCCAAGCAGAGTATGTGAAACCCTATTAGGAGTAAAAGCACATTCAGGAATTGTAATCTTAGTTTTATAACCAACATGCTGAAGCAGGGCTATAAGGATGCTGGGGAAGGACTCTTCGTTAGGGACTGTAAGTAACAGGACAAGGGGTAACGGGTTAAAACTTAAACAGCAGAAGTTCAGGTTAGATATAAGGAAGAAGTTCTTTAAGGGTGGTGAGGCACTGGAATGGGTTGCCCAGGGAGGTTGTGAATGCTCCATCCCCAGCAGTGTTCAAGGCCAGGTTGGACAGAGCCCTGTGTGGCATGGTTTAGTGGGAGGTGTCCCTGCCCATGGCAGGGGAGTTGAAAATAGATGATCTTAAGGTCCTTTCCAACCCTAACTATTCTATGATTCTATGCTGAGCAGCCCTGGCACATTACTACTGCTCTTGCTTTACTTACTTACCCTCTTCAAAGGATAGATACACCCTTTAGGAGAGGGTCCCATATTTTCTGTGCTTTCTAGGTATGGCTGAACTTTTTAATTCTCACCATGGTATATTTTCACACCAAAGTGAAAAATAATGTTACTATGAGCTTAAAAATTGCATAATTCCCCTACCTGCCTGGTTACTCACTGAAACTCATACCTGAAGCCTACCTGGATGATGCGCCATCAAAGTGAAAAGATGAAACAATATTCTGGACAAACCACACTGCAGTAAACTGCTGTTGAAGGGTCTCACCTCAGTCTTAAGAACTGGATCCCCACAACCATGAGCCAGAAAACTCAAGCTTCCATTAACAGCTGCTAGAGTCATTTGTCCCATGTTTTCTTGCCTTTCACCGTTAATGTTGAGATAGGTATTAACAGTAGCCATCTGTTGCCCATCAGTACAAGCACTGACTTCCATTCCTTCTTCTAAATCCCCTTAGAGAATGAAAAGCAAGAGCTTAATTCACAGGAACAACACTGACAGATACTGTTTCAAAGGCAGCTTTGTAATTACTTAGGTGATCAATCAGTGTCTGAGAGTGTTACGTGTTTATGGGAAAAAAAAACCCAAGAGGAGATAAACAGGAAAAATTGTCAACATTGGATTTTTCTCTTCTGAGGGGTTTGTGAATGATTTACAAAGACAGATTTGCCACTCCAAATACAGCACTGGATAAATATAATCTAAATAAATACAAACAGTTCTCTCAGTCAGAGTGATTTACAGGCTTTTTTCTACTTCAGTCTTACACTGTCCCTTGTTGACGATGTTTCAGAATAGCTCAGACCATAAAATGAAAGTGTGCCAGTCACTTATCCACCCATCACACACAGAAGTTCTTTCTGCCCAAGTACTGATGAGCATAAACAGAAGTGTTTGGCAAAGCACACACAGAATCTGGGTTGGGAGACTCGACTTGAATAATTTCTACAAAATTTCTACTTCAGTGATTCACAGACTAATGGTATTAATCTCAAATTCATCACAGCACTTACAAGTGAGGCCATACACCTGAGAGAAATTCTACTGCAGAAGTGGGGAAGGGCAAATCCGTAACTGAAACTAGGACTGGGACTGTTAGCAACATAAGTTCAAGACAACTGTTATACCACCATATTGACTGGTTTGCACATAGATCTAATGTACTTGAAAAGTGGATAAGTCACAACAGAAAGCACTTGCAGTAGGTCTAACTTTACTCATCTACACTTAGGCACAGTCTGAGCCAATAGCCCTGTTTCCTCTCTGTTGTCAGTCAAAACTGACTGCTGCTGAGAGTCAGCTGCAGAGGGTGACTGCACGCACCCTGTTGCATGCCTCTGGAGGTGCCTTCCTTTGTCCTTTCATTGAAACTGGAATGCAATGATTATCTTAAATGATGCACAACTGTAAGATGGCTAAATCAAGAAGAAATTAATCCTATATTTGATCACCATCAATTACAATCCTTCCCTGGCTAACAGTCATAAAAATGTTTCCCAAACTGACCCTTGTATAACTGCTCTGAAGCTTCAGCTTTTCTATATCTGATAGACCACAGACTGAATTGTCATAAAACTGAGCTAGCTTGGTGCTAGAGAGACACAGCCTTTCTTCCTGCTTCTTCACACTAGTGAGAGCTGTGAATCACAGAATATCTCAAGTTGAAACAGACCCATAAGGATCAAGAACAACTACCTGCCTAAAACTAAATCTTATGACTAAAAGTATCATCCATGAATGTACGTACCTTTCAAATACCCCACGTAGCACTGGAAACATTCCTTTCCTTTAGAAGCAGCTATTTTTACTTTCTCTTTCTGATCAACAATCCCCTCCACCAGGATTTGACTCTGCACAGATGAGGAAGCAGCAGTTCCTGTCAGGCCTAGCCAAATATCTTCAAAGGCTCTTAACTGTAGCCATAAAGGAAAAACATGTATTCAAAGCCACCACACAGAATTAATGCATGTTCAGGGATGATGCTCAAGTATCAATGCTGCCCACAGATGGGTAAGTGGTGAGGGAAGTATTTCCCAACAGGAAACAAACAGGAGTTATACTCTCAAGTAAGACACAAGTATTAGGATGATGGGCTCAAGAGCTGAATGACCAGACCCCACAAGACTTGTGGACAATATTTTAATGGTACAATGAAAGAAACATACTGTAACAGTCAACTCCCTAATGTGGACCATTTAATCTAAAACAGAATACAGAAAGCCCAATCAGAGCGGCTTATACTTCTTTCATCTCCTTTCTAAACAGAGAGGGAAAAATAACTGATTATTTGTCTTAGCCTGCTACTGATTAAATCATTATCATTTTGTTAAGGGATGGCCTATTGTCTCAGTTAATTATGACTAACTGCCTACATTCCTTCTAATGAAGAGTTTGGATGCAGCTGACCACATTACTCTTCTGCTTCACTCTGCTGCCATCATCAGCTTCTCCACCTTATTCACTACACAGCAAATTGAAGGCAAATACAAAATATAGGGGAGAGAAAAAGGAAGAGATTTGCCTCAGGATGAGCATCATATTAGTTGTTCTGTGCCTTTCTTAAGGCCAGTTCTTTTTTCTGGCAAATGATGCTTAGTGCCTTATCAAACGAGTCAGTCATGCTATAATAACACACAGCCTCTTAAAACTTTTATATACCTTATATACTCCAGTTGATAACACTTACTGTATTTGTCACTGAGCTCTGCAGATAATTAATGCTGGTGCTTTCCCTTCTCTCTTGATCGTACTGCATGCACATTGCATAACTGATCCTTTGACACCAGAACTAAAGAAACCAGGAGTATTTTATGTTGCCTGTACTTGTCTGCTGTTTTACAGTCACTGCCTGCACCTGATCAGTTTGGATGCTAGGTGGCAGTAGGCCTTTAAAAAAAACAAAACTCAAATCCCAGTGGCACTATACTAAAATAAAAACTCACTTCAATTTCCAAAGAATAGTTCTTCACATCAGCTGTACTCTGATTTTTTAAGGATATTCCAATCAACCCCTCATCTCTCCCATGATCAGCAAGGTGGAACCTGCTCTCTGACTGCAAAATGATGTCATCTTTGTTGAGCTGGTGCTTTCCAGAGAAAGCAATTACCTAGGTACAAACAAAAAAAAGTGTTAAAGCTTACTTCTTCCAAAGAAATGGGCTCTGCATAGAATAGTAAGAAGCTGTACAATGTCAGCATTCAAACAGTGAAGTGATGAACAAGACTTGTCCTTTCAGAAACCAGCACGTCTTCCTCCTCACTCAGCATTGTCTTACTTCAGTACCCCTTCAGTTTCCGTGGTGTAACAAAACATGGTCAGTGATTACAGCCTAGGACAAGATGAACAGCTATAACTATCTTTCATTAAAACACGTTTATTGGTTTTTTTTTGTCTTATGCTTCTCAGCTACTCTAGCTGACATTTTGCTGCGTGCCTTTGAAGGGAAGGATCCATAAGAACACAGAGGCTTTTGCAGTGAAATGCATACACATATTTGGCATTATAAACAAGCTCTAACAGAGTTCTGGAAAAAGCTTTCACTGTCTGCTGATACCTATTGCTAACAGACTGTGACCTTCTCTGATTGATAGTGAATGAGGAAAAAACTGGGATGCATTTCAGCATCTGGGAACTGAAAAGAGACCACATTCATTACAAAGTCCAAGTTTTGTGTTTGCTGTGATTATTTCTCACAAATCTGGGGTTCAATGTGCACCTAAGGAAGACCACAGGTGTGTCTTTGGTTTATGTGTGCAATATAAAAATAAATGACAGCTACAAGGTTACACTAAGGTTCAAAAATCCATCACTGCCAGCAGAGCAGCCATAAAAAACAGTAACCTTTTACCTACAGGGGAAGGAAAGCACTTTTACTCTGCTCTAGTTTCCTTTTTTAGAGCCAGTTTTGATATTCTTCAGAAATATGAAATTAAAAGACCTTTGAGAGAGGAAGGAGAAAGAAAGAACATGGAGGAAGTGGGAATATTTAGAGTGGGAATTGTAACAGGACCTAAAGAATATACTACAGTGGCAATCAGAATCTTTCTGCCTCAGGCCATCAAAAGATACTTTCTATTTATGGTTTGTTAAGTTACAGAAGTATGGCAATTTTCATATAAAGTTACAGCTGAGGAAAACGGACTCTCAAATGAGTAATTACATTTAAAGTGAAGTACGTTCAGTGAGTTTACGTGAGACTTACATGTGTAAGGTCACAGAACTCAAAGCTCATATCATAGTCCAGGCTAGACAAGTAGTTTGTTTCCACTTTACCCAGAATCTTCTGTTTGGTGCATGAGGTCAGGAATATATTCTCCAGAACAGCTTCTAACTGAAACTTATTAGGATACAAGAACTGATTTCTCTGCAATGAACCAAGAAAACAAAGTTAGAACATGACAAAAGAATCTTAAAAGACTCCTCTATGCCCACTCATCCCAGCTCTCAACGTCATCCCTTCCCTGTGCTGGCTTTTTTTATTCTAGTAGCTTCAGGGTTTTAACCTAACATTTCCAAAAAGTCACATTTCCACTTGACAATGTTTTGGCCAGTCATCACAGTTACTGGTTCTTATCCTACAGAATTAACTCAACAGTTTTGCAAATTTAGGGCCTCTAAATTTTAGGTCTCAAGTTTGCAAGAACTCATTCTTTCTTATTTATGCTACATTTACCTTTCTTCCTATACTGAAATATATGTAGAAGGTAAAATGGAACAATTGTATGCCACAGAAAGTGGTACCCCACAGATGCTTTCCTAAAATCCACTCAAAAGTACATATAAAAACTAAATAAGTTCCTATCTATTACTGTCCTGGGTTCAGCAGCAGCAGTCATTTTTCTCCTTCTTGGTAGCTGGTGCAGTGCAGTGTTTTGACTTTCAGCTCGGGAACAGAGCTGATAGAGATGTTTTGTTTTGGCCAAGGACTTTGTGAGCCTCATGCTCTGCCAGGGAGGAGGGGAAGCCAGGAGGAAGCAGAGACAGGACACCTGACCCAAACTGACCAAAGGGTATTCCATACCACAGCACGTCATGCCCCGGAGGTAACTGGGAGTTAGCCGGAAGGGCTGGGAGACTGCAGGGTTGGAGGAGGTATCGGTCAGAGCTTGGTCGGGCTGGGGGGGCGAGTTATCGGTCGGCTGGTGGTGAGATGATGTATTCTCTTCCCTTGTTATTTCCTTTATCATTGTTATTATTGGTGGTAGCAGTAGTGATTTGTGTTATACCTTAGTTACTAAACTGGTCTTATCTCAACCCGTGGGAGTTGCATTCTTTTCGATTCTCCTCTCCGTCCCTCCGAGAGCAGGGGGAGGGCAAGAAAAGGGGGGGAAGTGAGCGAACGAATTACCTGACTGGGTTTAAACCACCACAATTACAAACAGCTTCCCTAAAAATGGTGAGTTAACAGATACAACTGCCTTCTCTTACCTCAAAAGTTAAGTTGTGTTTGAATTTTTTGTTATCCCAGCTCAGATCTAGATATTCATTAAACAATGCTGATCTTTGCTCTAGAGAACCACACGCATGCAGGTGTTCCATATGTAATAGTCTCTGAAGCTGGAAGAGGGGGAAAAATTAAGACATGTATATTAGTAATATTAAAAAAAATGTGTTCGGTATATCCCACATGAGTGTGTTTTCTGGGCAAAAATACACCCATGTGAGAACTCTGTAGTGGTCTATATCAATAAAAGACTTCTACAGTTTTTAGCAAGAAATCCAAGGGGATGATGATTCTGTCCTGAGGGAAAGCTGCATCCCAAATAAAAACATACCTGGCAACATGAAACAGAATTATTCAAAGGTTTTGTTTTTCTTCCTCTGAGAGAGGAAAAGAAAAGGCTAACTTTAAGTAGAAGGTTTTTCATACGAAAACAAGTGCAAAAACCCCAGATTCTGTGGGATTCAAACCAAGAAATTTAGCTACAGCCATCCCTTCTTAGACTCATTCTCCTACCTGACCTGAAGAGAGTATCATACAGCCACCCCAGGCAGTGCTGTCCATCTTTGATTTATCCTCCAGGGTCAGCTGGATGTTAGCAGGCTGCCCACCATTCCCTGTCAACTGCAGCTGAAACCAGAAGAGAAGGACTGTCCAGAGAAGCAAGACTAGAACTAGAAGAGCCTGCAGGGTAGTCTATCAGAATGATCTTTCCCCAGTGGAGAAGAAAAGAAACATGATTAAAACTGCAATAGAACAATGTTAAACCTCCACCGAACTCCACGTGGTCTGGAAGCTCAGGGCCTTAGACAAAAACACAGGAAAACTGTTTTTACAACTGAGGAAACAGCAGTCTTTTTGTTATCTTCTCTGGAAGCTGTTTGGTCTACCATGCATAGCAATTAATGACACCAGTAGAATAATGACACTGCAAGAGAACTTATTCCTCTGAATACGATGCTTGAGCCCTGTTGACTGAAAACAACCAGAGACCACTCTGTGGCACCACTATTGAGTACCAAAGATGAACCAACAGAACACTACACAGTTTGCACAACTTATTATTGAGCAGAAAGTCTTTAGCCTCAGCAACAGGAGTGTCCTGTCCCCCACAGAGCATTTTCAGAAAGAAAATATTCTGTAGTCTTTTATTTTGTAGGATGATTTGTTGAGTTGTTCTTTTCCCCCACAAATGCTTTGCAAGCACACCTCAAAAATGTATTTCAAAGCCTTTCTAGTCACACACAACCCTTTCTCATGATCTCACCTGCTGGTTGTACTTTCTGCCTCTTCTGTCTGACAGGGAATGGACCTCCAGCTGCTTCAAAGTGTAATTAAATGGATGGGCAATACTAGCTCTGCAGTTTGTACGGTCTCTTCCAAACTTCAGAGAAGATGACACTGATATCTGATCCAGATCAACAGATATAAAAGGAACTTGTGAAATGGAACACCTCTCACATACTATCCTCAAGCACACACCCAGTAAAATTTCTCTGCACCTTTTCCTCAGATGAATTACCTGTGCAACCAAGTCCTTTTTGAAGTAGTGAGGCACATTAATGTTTAAATAAGGACATTTTGCTACTTGAATTCCCTACATGACACAGCTGAAAGTAAAACTATTCTCTGTATTTTACTAAAATCATGAATCATGCTTAAGTTTGATAAGGCTTAAATTTGGTCTCATGTTTAGGCCCTGTAGGCTCCACTGCCTGTGTGTTAGACACAGCCTGAGAAGCTGAAGCACAAGAAAAAACATCTGCAGAATCAGGAGCTAAATTCTGTAACGTTGCTGGGAGCAAAATATTTTTGTGGCAATTTAAATAGTGGTGGCATTTAAATAGTTGTGGTAATATAAGCATTAGTACAAAAATACATTCTATACAACTTCTAAAGTAAATTTTGGAATTTTAGCACTTTTAAAGGAAATAAGAAATTCTAATTCTTTTTGCAGGCAAATGTATGTTTCCGTAGAGTAACATCTTTTACACACTGTCTTTTATCTGTCATTTATTCAGAAAACAATGTAACACTCAGGAAAGATGCTGCCATTTCAGATGCACGTATAAAGATAGCATAGTTAGTTGCAAGTCAGTGAGCTTCCCTGTCTAACCACGTTTGGAAATCAACCAAAATTCTCCTAGTTCTCTTTTTTTTTGCTATTTATGTTTTTTAGAAAACAATGATGACTTTAATATATAGCATTTAATATAGCATGGCCTGAAAATGCTTTCAACAAGAGTATCAATCACCTGCTCATCTTTCATAGTCATAGCCTTTTATATATCCAAGAAAGATAGTTTGCCTCCTACTGGAATACCCTTGCCTTGCTTAATGCCTATTTTACAGAAAGAAAACAAAAAAAAAGAAGCATCTGATATTGCTGTAATCCTCCTGACGTTTATTTGCTCTGGGCTGTTGTACCTGGTCCTTCTCATTCCAGATGACAGTAAGATCATCCTGGTGACTATGTGCCGAATGTTTCATATGTAAGTTGACCCTGGCATGCCATGGGAAAGGAATGGAGAGGGGATGGAAAAGTTCCACTACAAGGGAAAAAAACAAGTAAGTTTTCACCACCACAAATCATGACCATTGATTTTCTGATAAAGGGATAGGACATATTCTCCCACAGGTAGCAGGGCAACAGTTGGTTCCCAGAGAAAACATGGTCTTTGCTCATACACACATGCACACATCCAACAGCCCCAGCGTAGTGTGCTGATTTCTGAGGAATATGAAGAAACTTAAGGGAAAACAAGAGTCCTCTATTTAGCAAAACAGTAATTACCTGCAGTAATCCAAAGATTATTGCAAAGATACCTACTATTTCCAGCAAGAGCAGCCAGGAAAGTAATCTTTATGAATCTGAGACGATCTTACACAGCAAGAGGAACAGCTTACAACTCAAACACTGACTACAATTATTTTCTCTATTTTCAGATAACACAGCCTCAACATAAGGGTTTAGCCAGCATGACCAGTGTTCCCTGCAGTACCAAGTGCAGCAGAGCAACAGAATTCACTACAGTTTCTGAAAAAAGCCTCAGAAATAGGTGACAAGTAATAACAAAACATAAAATTGTATTCTGAAGCTGCAAAAACATACAAAGGAAAAAGAAAACAGAAAACCAAACAGAAGTGCTTTGGCTAGAATAAAAGTAGCTGCAATACTTTAACTCTCTTCCCTGTTTACAAACTGTATCTAGTCCAAAACTAGTTCCTAGGTTTCCTTTGCTTTTCATGAAATATTCGAAGTATAAAAAGTCAAATATAAAAATAAAGCAAGATGTGTCATTTAACCCCAAACATATCTGAAATTTGTTGTAAAATAATAACATTCTAATTTGTCGATGACTTTTGACTCTGCCCAGACTTTTCCCTGGCACTGCTGAAGTTTATTTAAGCTTTACATTCCACATCCACAAAGCAGAAATAGTGTTCAGAAGTGGATGTTTCTAACAGCCAGACTTACAATGAATTTAAAGTAAATAAGATCTTAAAAGGCCTGGATTGAAACCATTTAAATAAGCATTTTGAAATGAGATTCATATGGTCTAGTTTATTTTATAGTCTATCAACACTGGCAAAAGACTTTAGAAACCTACCCTGAACATGATGACCTCCAGGCAACTTTGGGAAGAGTCCAGTGTAAGTGCCTGCAACCTTTATCTCCTTGCCATCCCACAGAGCAATATGCCTCAGGATACGTGTTCTGTTGCCTTTTTTGTAGTCCATCATAACCACAAGCTGCCTTGGAAGAATTTTTAACTAAAAATAAAAGAAGGGAAACATATTAAATCCCAAATTCCCTGCAAAGTTAAAAACCTAAGTGTGTAACTCTGATACTGTAAAGCCCTGTGGAATCGAGCCTCAGAAATGTGTTTATAAAAGGTCTACTACAATAATTCCCCAAAGCCCACTGCTTTTGTACAAGCAGCTATTAAATTCTGCTTAACTTCAATTCTACAGTAAATCATGTTCTCACACAATGGAACATACATAAACAATAGAGTATCCCCTTTACAACAGTCCTGGCTTGTTACATATTTTCATCTTCTATCTCTCTTTTACCTCAATGAATAATTCTTACAACATCAAGAGGCCCATTGTTACAGAATGAATCCAGCAGACAGCATAAACAACAATATCTATGTAGGAAAAGAAATGTGTGGTACCTGCATAATAAAAATTGGCAATTGGTCAGTTTGTAATGTTATTTTTCTTATTTGCTATATATGTACTTTTGTCTACAGAAGGAAATATAAAATCAAACAACAGTTTATACCATTGGACACTCAACTAACCTACAGTTGAATGTTTGCTCATGCTACTGCAGAAATCAAGGGCAAAACACCTCACAGCAGCTGGAGCTGTATTTTATCTTCACTGTTTGGCAGCCAGCATCCTGAACACCACACTCTAGAAATAGGCCAGTCACAGCTTGTCTTTTGCCTTCTGAGTTGACGGTACCAACCTGGGACATTGTCTGTATTACTTCAATGACATTAGTGTAGCTGGTTCTAGTGACAGTTAGCTTAGCTGTAACATTGAAATCACTTTCTTCCATCCTGAGGTAGAGTTTGCCTTTTGCTTCACTCATATCATAATTTACCTTTTCAAGTTCCCATAAAATAATTAAAAAAAAAGAGAGAGAAAGATAAAATAAATATTGTGCTCACATTCTTTACACAGTATGTTTGTTACATTATGGTCCTCAGGACCTGAGAGATCTGATTGTATATTCATTCCCATTATATAAGACACAGCTGCAAAACAGCATAAATTGAATAAAACACATAAGAAAGTATCTTTTTATGTGAGCAGGAGTAACTGTGCCCTATTTGACTGACAAATAACCCATTCAACTTCCTTACTTATACTGCTGTTGAGCATTCCTGCACTGCAAATAGCCAATATCCAGCACTGCTGTCTGTCCAGTCTCTCTTTTCTTAGAAGCCAGAATAATTAAAATCATTCCTGGGAAGAGTCTACCAGAAGTCATAATGAAGGCAGATGCATGGAAGCAGAGTCAAATGGAGTCTTTTCCAATGGGTTTTTTTAGTCCTTTTCCAATAGGGACTGTTAGCATCTTTGAAAACATGAACCACCTCAACAACATAAAGGTCAGAGATAATAGTACTAGAAATAATACAGCTTGAGTACTAAAATGTCAGACAAATCTAATTTGTAGTGATGTATGTGACAGATAAACTTCAGACAGTTACCTTAGAAGACAGTTCTGCTGCACTGGGGAAGTACTGTAGAAAGTAGGGATGAGGCTGGAGGGCTTTTATAGTCAACTCTTCACTAAAGGGAAGAAATGTACTTTTGTTGAACAGCATTTCAGAAAGTCCACCCTCACTGACAGCCCAAGTTCATCTGAGCAATCTGAATCTGCCACAGTTACAAATTACAGTATCTCCCACTGAATGCTTGTCCAGCTCACGTTTTTTGGTGCATTTATACAAAGGTAAAGGAGACCAAACAGCAGCACCACTGTTTCTCTCTGATCCCAGTGAAAAATCTGTGTATGCATCTGCACAGCACTGCACTAGCTATCACAAAGGAGAAACATGACTGCTACTGCTGAACCCAGGACATTATCCCAATGACAGAATGTGGCTCCCTGGATCAGAAATTACTTTGGCTAGTAATTTATTAACCATAGTAAATGCATCAGCTTTTTAAAAAATAGATAGGTATTTTGGAATCTGACTTTGCAGGTATTGTCATGGTTTCCAGACACAGAATTTATTAGAGTTTGACAGAACTTAGAAGACTTTTCAGCACAAAGCTCTTTTGCTGGAAACTGAAGAAATACTGAAATACCCTAAGACTGAAAATACTACACCTCTTGAACACCCTCAAAAGCCTACAGTTTTGTTTACATGCTATACCAAACATTTCTGTTTAGATGCTGACTAGAACACACTTTCAAAGTAAAGAATTATTCTATTAATTCTTCATTTCTTTAAAGAACTTTGAAAATTTTATAAGATAGAAAAGAAACAGAGGAATTAGCACAGCAGCTATAGCCATACTGATACCAACTTAGAAAAAACTGAGAGAGTCGTCATAATTTTGCAAGGTTCAACTGTGTCAAAACGATTTACTAAGAATTTATCAGTTATGCCACATTAAGGTCTATTTTTAAGTAGTTGGCTGGCTCAGACCTAGAGCTTTCTGAATTATTTCACTGCCCATTAACTTCAATACTGTGGGGACACACAAAAAGACAAAGCATACTCCTATGAGGAGGGGAATCTCTCTGTAGCCCTTCATAAACTTCTTGAGAAACACAGACTTTCTGCTGTGACTATTCACTTTATCAAAGATTTGTTAACCATTTCACCAGTGCTTTAGTGACTAAACCAGTAACTTTTTCCATGGAAAAATAATAGCCTCATGACACTTTTACAGTTTTCAGAACGATACTTTTACCCTTGTTGGTCTTTTTTCCTACTGATGGTAAATGAGAAGTTTGTGTTTTGTTCATAGGTCAGCCTCAGAGCTCCTTTGATTTCATCTTCAGTCAGGACTTCCTGAACTGTCATCTGTTGGAGGGAGGGAGGGAGAAATAAACAATCACACACGATAGCTTCTACCCAGCATTTCACCTCAAGTGAGCACAATCTCTTGACTGACTTAAAGCCATCATCTTGACTGCACTTTTCTAGACTCAACACAAAAGCATCAAGAGCTGTCTGCCTTTTTTCCTGTGTTTTTCAATAGCTATGCATTTGCATTATTAACAAATATTAGCCTTAATATCAAGGTACCTTTATCTGGTTTAAGTCTAGACCCACTGGTTCTTGTTTATGTCTCCTCCACCCTTCTTTTTATAGACTGTAAAAAACCTGCTTTTCCTTCTTTTTTTTTTTCTTTTTTTTTTCTTTGATTAAACAGATGGTGCTCTACAAATCTTTTACTTCAGGGTATCTTCTTCCTCCCACAGCTGCTAATTCATCTACAGCTTTATGCTGAAACTGCTAGAATCCCTTCGGGGACGATGAGTGCTTTCTCCTACACTTAAATTTTAACATATTTTGTGTTTACTGAAGTCTGTGGGAACAGTAATTTCTGAAGTCCCATGGTTACACTCATACTTTATACATGAGTGAGGCACCTAAAGAATTACTATCTCTGTTTTTCTTTATTTCACCTAAACATTTAGAGAATAAAAGACATTTTGCTCAACAGTAAGGGGGAAAGAAGAAGGGGAATATATCTAATACCTTTTAATAAACTGTTGGCATTCCCTTGAAACACACTTAATATGCAGGTTTAATATTGATCTAACATCTATTTTCAGAAAAGTCTAATCTTGTATTCTAGCTAGACGTCCTCTTACTTGAAGATAAAGTGATGGATTACTTGGACACACTGTTCTGTATACCACTCTTCAAAAGGGAAGGAGACATATTTACTAACACTGCTTTCTCCCAAGGGATGAACAGGTACAGCCTTTGTTGATCCTACCAAGTGGTTTGGAATAGAAATCTATTTCTGTTTATTCAACACAAACATTTGGGGTATCTATGCTACAAATGGTTTAACTAAGTCAAAGAATTCTCTAGTTATAGAGGTGTCATGGATTAAGCCCAGCCAGGACAGAAGGACAGGGGTATTCTACCAAAAGTCCTTCCTACTTTAGTAAGCCATATCAGCTACGAAGTGACTGTAGATGAATGCCTTCCTGAAATGATCCTGAAATTTGAAATTGGGGATTTCAGGTGAAACAGACAATTAACTGTGTACTTAAGATAAACAAGGATTCAGATAAACTGGGCCAAGTCACCTCTCATCTGCACTTGTATAAATCTGGAATAATTTCACTGAAGTCACTGGAAGTACTCTGGATTCATGCTAGTATAACTCAGATGACAGCCTTAATCAAAGCACAACAAAAGATCCATGGTTTATTACCTTAAGAAAGAAGGGAAGTCCTAGATAATGGAGAAGTGATATTGAATGCTTCACCTCTGCCATGAATTCAAATATACCATAAGGCTGAAAGTCTGTGTCAATATCCAGAGACACACATATATCTTTGCCATCATACTGGATTTCACAGATAGTCTTGGCTTTGTTTTCTAAACAGCAAGAAAAAAAAATAGTGCCATTTTGAAAGGCTCATTCTCAAGAAGTTTCAGTTCCACCTGCATAAAATCAATCCAGCTAGCTTTTGGGTTAAGATATTTGTCATTGAAATGTCATCCTTTCAGGATGAAAAGAGCTTTGGCCTGTGATTGAAGGAGTGCAGAGTTCTCTGGTTGTCCCTGCACATACAAAGTCTAGAGTTAACAAAGTTGTGTACCCACATACAAGTGTTAAGTGACAAGTCAGTTCCCAACAGTAGTGTGTTTTTGCAGCTACAGCTGAGTAGCTTATAGAGCCAACTATAGCAGTTGGCAGTTAGTGGCTTTTTGTAGAGAATTTCTGAGCTGTTTTGACCTCTTCTGACTTCTTCAGTTCCAGCTACAGCAGACCAACCCTGCTCAAGCAACACAACTTGAAGATCTTTCCCCTACCTTCCTACCAGCTTTTCATATTTGAAGATGAAAATACAGACTTCTAAGAGATAAAAATGAGAGATGTGAAACCCTAAAACTCTTTACAGAGAAGATAAAATCACAGACATGTATGCAATCATACAGTGACCACTCTGGTGGGTGTCCTGAAAGCCACTTGTTGTCCTGTTGCTTTTTTCAGAATGGGTGAAAGGAGACTCTGACACTAACATTTAGTATTGATTCAATCTCTGCTAACCTCAATAATTCCTACTCTTTGGTGCTCTCACATTTGTTGCGTTTTTTTCAACATGAATATTCTCCCATGTGGGCATTGAAGGTATTTGACCACAATATGAATCAGCAGTTGAGGGATATGCAGATAGGATTTATGCCAGAGAAGTTCTGAGGACAGGCTGGCTTATTCAGACTGGGTCTGTCTCCCCTCCAGTTCAAACAACAAGAGTAATTTAGAATTATTTTCAAAACCCTTTTTAAACTACACCAGAACACCAGAACTCACACTTCTTGTGTTCTGCAACAAGGGTTTTTTTTGTCTGATACTGGGAATTTATTTAATGCAGCTAAGTTTTTTTGGGGATCATTTGTTTCAGCAGGCATTGTACCTCATGAGATCTTTCCTGGAATTAAAACCCCCCAAACAGATGTAATACAACTAATAACAGATGCAGTTAAAGAATGACAGTTTTACTTACACACAAGAAAAAGCCCTTTTTCAGGCACTACCAGCAATTCTTAGTCAGTTTGTAGATGTTGAAGGAATAGGTGAAACATCCTTAAAGAGCTATTATCTAACAAATAATTTGCAAGGAATGGTAGGTTCCTACCTGATTTCTGTAAACTGAGAATCAAGTTGATTGCCTTAGGGTAGCCAGATGCCTGTAGTTCCTCACTATTATGTACACTTTGGCATAAGATAGCCACGTGGTGACCAACATAATAGGAGTTTATTATGTACGTGATTGATGTTTCTTCAGCTGCAATGTGCACGTAACTTTCTTGAGTTGTGTTTCCCCCTTGAAAAACTACATCCACCTAAAAAATTACACGTAGATGGAAGTTCTTGAAACATTTAAATACTATTTAATTTTAAAACATAAGAAAAATGGAAGTGAAATAAAGTTCTCTCTAGTCAAAAATCTATCCATTAACAAAAAATCTTAGCCTTTTATTAATCATCTATGACTTTCCAGGATGAACCCATTCAACTGAATGAATTACAAACCACACCAGCCTCACTGGTTTATATCGAATTCTCATTAGGTTCTCTTCCATCCCACAAAAACATGACTCCCTTTATATAAAGGATCCTTGATTGATGCACACTTCCAATATCAACCAGACAGTAGGTACTCCAACACTTCCCTGAAAACAGCACTTGAAAACAGTACTTCTTTAAATATAAAATTCCCATTAAAGAACATAGGAGCAATATTCCAATTCCTGATGCAACATACTAAAACTATTTTCCTATAATTACAGTATCAATGCACACTGTGCTAACACTGATCAGAATGGCATAATCTGGTCCAGAAAGCAGCCAAAAAGAAATTTTCTATTTCAGTAGTTCACGTTTTTAATAGTTCAGCATTTTTAAATATCAAAAAATATCAGCTTCCATCCTGTACATTACAAAATGGCAGCTCTCATTCAAGCCAGGGGCTATTACATTATAATAAAGGACAATAATTTGTATTTAAAAAAAAAACAAAAACAAAAGAAACTACCTGTAAAGATGATGGGACTCTGGCTTGCAGCAGCCATGGCCATGTATGATGGAAATTCCCAGTTATGTTGGTACCTGTTCCAAACTCCTGGATTTGTCCCTTAAGAGCTGTTAGGTGAGCACCATAATGTGCTTTCATACTAAAGCTCTTGATTACATTCAGGTTCAGGATAGCCTGTGTGCAACAAAGGTAAATTGTGAAAAGGCAGCTTTGTAAATGTAAAGTTCCTGTCAGTCAGGGTTCTTTCTTTGGTTCAGGCAGTATCATCTCAAAGATGTGTCAAGAAACCTAATCTCATATAATTTTATAACACAACATAGTTACAGATGTCCTTTTGATTTTTAAATCCATCATTTTAACACACATTCTCCAAAATGGCCATACCTTAACCCTGTTCAAGGAGTTAAATGATAAATAAAGAGTAAGTGTTGTGCTGTAGGCTTGGGTATCTCAGATAAAAAAAACAGCACACCAGGCAGAGTCTGGGAGGAAACTACTATTTGGAATGTAAACCATGAAATCATCTCAGTACTCACCTCTGTCTAGTCTACACAAGGTATGCTGCAGACAGACTAGGCATATGAGCTAAAATGCATTTCCCTCCTGATGCACTGCATGCTGTAAGCTTAGCTGTGGCTTGGGCATTAGGAACTAACCTCCCATTCCTATGAAAAGTTCTGGTCCAGCCAATTCTTCTCCCAACCCCTCAAGAACAAAGCGAGCATTTGGACTCCCCTCGAGAACAAAGGGAGCTTGTGCACTCCCCTGCACCCTGAACTTTAGGGGGAAAGAGAGAAAGAAAGCAGGAAGTACAAAGTCACATCTACACCCTCTGGTGTTTGCCATCTGACTTCTACAGCTACAGCTTCCATCTTGGCATGATTCCAGGCTGGATTCATGTCTCCCCTGTCACTGTCCAATAACTTACCTGCAACTGAATCCTGTCTCTTATTTGCAAAGTCTTCAGTGCTTCTATGTTATGAGTAAGTTTGTAGTTAAGAGACACAACATCCAACTTCTGGACAAAGCTTAGTTCTTCTGTAATCTGTTCAGTCCAAATAAGACCAAAGTTAACTGTGGCATATCTCTGATACTGAGACTTCTCTGATTAATTGTAAAGATTGCACTAATTACACATTAGAGTAAAATTATGAATTCTATCAAAAACCTATGGTGAAGAATTGTCTAATTTTTTTTGTAAGTCACAACTTTGTACTGTAATAGGGAATATGCTGTACCAAGTGAAGATACTTGGCAAGAAGGGTTTGATACAGTTTGCAAATGTGATCATGGATCACTGCTCGTGTCAAATTTGTTGCTAGAAGTGACAGGGACTTGGGGGTCTCCGAGGTCAGTTGTCCCAGAGACAGGGGTTCGATTCCTTTGTTTAGTATAGAAATGAGACCATACTGCACACGAGCTGTTGACAGATACTGCTTTCATCCAGTTAAGGTCTTTACAACCAAACCAGCCCCTGCAGAGTATTCCTGTAAAGGCCTTAGCTATATCAAATGGAGAAACAGTATTTAACCAAATCAATTCATTAGTTCATTTTAACTTTTATTTCACATCTTACTCATATGGAGAAAATACTTACTTGCTTGCTGTTCACACAGAAGTGAATAAGTCTTTTATAGAAGTCACTTTTTTTTTCTGATACCACATCTATTAACATCCTCATAGGAATGCCAATGTCAGCAGCTCCTTGAATGTTATGGGTTAGCACTGCATCCAGCTCTTGTCTTTCCTGTAAATATTTCTCAACATAAACAGCAAAGCATGTGTAGAACTCAAAAGCTTGCTGCAATATACAGCTTGAAATAGAAATTTAGCAAATCTATCTGTTCTACATTTAATACTAATCAAAACCATTTGCACTGAACTTTAGGAAGTTAAGGTGGGAAAGAGGAAAACATCAAGTCTAACAGGACTAAAAAAAACACATATTTCAGCTAAGAAGGAAGAAGGTGTAAATGTTTCTCTCTGGTGGCAAAGAACTCCCCCCACTAGCTATCAGTTTACACCTCAGAAATATGCAAAAATTATAAGTTATGTCAAGAAGGCAAATGATCACAAGGAAGAAGATACTTCTCTCTGTGTGTACTCTATTCTCCTGCACTGATTACAAGAGAAGTCAAACTTGTAATTGTCAAAAGGAAAGCAAGTTGTGCTTTTGTTTTACTGAAGAAACAAACAGCAGTATCTTAATCAATTGCTGCCTATTATGCTGCATAATTACAGTGATTGCTCTATAAATCACCACCTCTTTTTCTTCTTGTGCATTGCTGTATGCTTTCATGATGAATGAACAGTGTTATCGTGGAGCACCTGTAACATATCTGGAGCAAGATCGGCATATGTGGGTTTGCATGTCTTAACATATTTGGCACATAAGGAACATAAAACAGCACAACTTTAAAAAGTACACACAGAGAGCATAACAAGGAAATTATTGAGGGAAGTGCCATAGCATGTATGCTATTATCTTATACATCTGTTTTACTGCACATTACAAGTGCCAGATTTTCAAAGATTTTATTTTTATTCTCACATTTATTACTAAAGCTTGATTATTTGTTCCAAACAAAATAATTTATAGAGTATGTTACTCAGTACTGTTTACATGCAGTCCAACAGCCTGCAGGACACTTACATCAGTGACTTTAAGTATAACGAGTCCTTGTAATTTACTTTCATCGACAGTGATCCAAGTCTGTGAATCTAGGTGCACTTTATCCATCAAAACATAGCCTGAACAATCAATTGTTACTGGTGCTCCAAGATCCTGTACAAGCAAAATAAAATCAAAAATTCACCACTTTTACACTTATCCAAAATACACTATACACCTGAAACTTTTTAGTTCTAACAAGTAGCTCTAATAGCACCTAGCTGTAAATCAAGTGTGTGAGGCAGCATATCCATATGATGTTTCAGAAATCTTGACAGCTTTTTATTGCATTTTACACATTTTGTCTTTTTTATTTTGAATAGGTCTGACATTTCTGATGAGTGAGCCAGCATAAGCAGATACAGGACAATATGCCAACCTCTTCCTGCCTAAGTGAAAAGTCAATTGATTTTCCATGCTTGGCACTGCTCCAGTGGCCCAAGACATCCACAAATCCAGTGAAACCAGACTGTATGCATAGGTTTATTATGGCAGCTCCTTTTTTGTAAGAGGGGAGGTGAATCTTGTCTTTGTATTTTCAGAGTTACCCTGATTTGCACATTGAATCCACAGATCTTTCTGTGTAACAGCTCTCAAACTTTCTGTACAATTCTGTCCTTTACATTCCTGCCCATATAGCACTGACTGGTGAGATCTGTGAGAGGCCAAGTGCCATGATACCAGGATTTCCAACAGCAACACAAATTTTCAGTAGGAAAAGTCTGCAGCTAAATTCAGAACTGTTACCTCAGGAAATCGTGCTATAGAATTTCTCCTCTTCCAGTCACCTACAACAGTCTGGCCTGGGAAAACAAACTACTGGCAAGATTTGAGGGGAAAAAGTGCCATTTTTCACTCCATCATAAGGCAAAAGGAGCTCAGTGTGTCATGCTACACGGCTGAAAGAGGTCACAGCACACTTTCGTTACTTGGGAAGCACTGAAGGGATCAGCAAGGGACCCCTTCAGAGACGGGGACCTCCCAGGTCAGTTGTCCCAGAGACAGGGCTTCAATTCCTTTGTTTTGTATAGAAATGATATATGTATGATATAGAGTGATACCCTTCCACAGAACTCCAGTTTTTGCTGTATTTTTCTACTGGCTGAATCTTTCCAACAAAGACACTACTCTTTTTCTTATCCTGCTAGCTGCTGTTCACTCAGCACCTATAGTAATGTTCCCACCAAACCCAAAGTTAGAACTCGTTAATGAAACAGGAGTGATTTGGTGGTGCTCAGTTACGACACTGTCATTGGTAAGGTTCAGCTCAAGGGCAATTATATGGCCAGCATCTGCAAGAATTACCACAGAGAAATGGCTCATCAGGGCAATCCAAAAGAGCTTGTTCAAAATGTCACTGTTTGTTTTTCAACTAAACTCCCCAGAATATTTCTCAGCTGAGGTCTTACAGGAAATCTGTTTAATGCTGGCATTTTCACTGTGTCCTCCACAGTGCTCTTCATACATTGTGTATCAGTTTGTTAGCAATTTCAGTTTTCTGTAAAGCTGAGTGAAAATATTCTGCCCTGAAATTCCCCATTTACTTACATATTTTAAACTATTTCAGAGTTTGGTTGTCAAACTGTAATCACTGACAAAGCCAAAGACAACTTTGAATGCTTTTTATTTCTAAAGATTAGAAATTCCCTGCAGATTTCTCAACCATGCTTTTAAAAAAATACATCAGAGTTAGTACAAGCAAGTCCACTAACTGTAGGCAGATTCACAGAAATTTGCCTTATGCCATAGAAAACTACACTTTTCAGACTTTTTAGACTTGCTCCAAAGGTAATGTGAAGAAAAGAAAACTGAAAGAAGAAAATTTCAGTTTCTTCAAAAACCTGAAGAAACTGAAAGAAGAGAATGTTTTTCTTGTTTCTCTGCTACCACTGAAATCATGAGAGTTTTTATTTTCTTTTGACACTAGTCTAGGAGCAAAGATCCTGGTTTACATGTATAAATTCAAGAGTAAAGTGAAGAAATTCTTTCCAATACCTGAATTGTTTGGCATTTGTTTTCTATAACCATTTTCCACTGAAGCTTCTTTTCAGGGTCAAAGTCTCCATTCATTTGAAGCTCACAGTCACCTGATTTAATTCCTATTCCCATATGATATTTTAACTGTTTTCGTGCAGTGATAGACAGCTTATTTTCCCTTGGGATTTCCCTCAGTTGAGGGAGGTCATGCCTGAACTGAATTTCCAGTGTAACCTTTGGCTTGCGCTCTGCTCTCACTTCAAGATGGGCAGTCTTGCCTTCTGTTTCAAGGACACAGAAAAGTTCTGCTTGGCACTTGTCTTTCTGAATAGATCCTGTGAGCCATGACTGAGTTGGAATACAGAGATCCTATAAGGATTTAAAAATATACATATCGTTTGGATTAGACATACACTTTAAGACAAGTCAGCATTGAGACTTTTTATTCCTCCCTTTAGCACATGGAAAAGGACATTTTAGGTTACAAGATCACAGACAAAACCTACAATCTCTGCACTGCTATTTTCCTCCAACACTAAGATGGCAATTTTGCCTGAACAAGGTCTGAGGGAAGATTTTAGGATTGCCCTGAAGAATTTACAGCTTCTGTATCTATATGAAGTTTTACATTTACAAAAATACAAAATGCCTGTTTCTTTAGAATGGCAAAGTTTACTGAACATCCTCTGTTTCATTCAGACCAGACCAATCTGTTTTTAAACAACTAACCCACAAAAACTAACAGGCCTAACAGACATTCTTGCATCTGGTGTTACAAGGATTATTTTTTTTTTAATACTAAAACTTCAAGCTTGTCTTGTGCAACATCCCAATGAAATGTTTCCTTCTATTCTTTCACAGTATTTGTAAACAACTGGAAAATTCTACTATTTTTAATATTTGAAGTGGTTTTCATTCCCTGTTCACTATGGTTGACACGCACTTTCCTGTAACTTTGGGGTTTATATTGCTACTTTGTAGTTGAAGAAATTAAAACTGACGAGTTAAAAGCAGAATATAAATGCTTCTGAACATCTGGAAGTAACCCCTAAATTTGCAATACTTATTCTTTCTAACGTCTTCAGTGAGGTTAAATGGGAAAAAAAAAACAAGGAAATTTCACAACTTTGATAAAACAGACAGACCAGAGAATGTATTTTTTGATGAATAGTTCAAACTAAAACTGCTGTTCAACCTTAGATGGCAGTCTTGGTCTGCAAAGGTAACAAGCAGCAAAGACCGAATTTGCCTCAGTCTACAGAGAACACCTATGAAAAGGACATATTCAACATTTTTTTTGCCTAATGCTGTAAGACAGGTGTGTCTCTAGAGTGGCTTTCAAGCACTCAAACACTGTAGTTTTAGCTAAAATCCTCTATGACCTGCATTTGAGCCCACATCTCTCTTTAATACCCTCCCAAGATCTACCTGCAGAAGCTGACATTCTGTTTCCGTTTCCAGTGTCCATTCAGTTTTATTCTGAATAGAGAGATCTCCTCTAGCCTTAAGTTTGCACTTGCCAGCCTGCAGCAACAAAATTCCCTCTGTGGTGGAGTCTGTGGCTGCAGATAACAAGACAGAGTTTTCAGAAGGCAGCCCAAGCTGACTCAGCCAGTGAACTGAATGCCTGAGCACCCCTTGCAGCGTATATTCCTGTTTGCAGGAAGTGTCTATCTGCACATTAACTGTTCTGCCATCACACTGGAGGTTCATTAACAAACCCACATCACAGATGTTCTGATGAAATGAGCCCCCAAAGGCTACAGCATGAGGCAATCCCATTCTCTGCAACAGAAAAGATAATACTATTTAAAGCATGCAAGGTAAAGCAACTGTCTTCTTAATTTGTTTCTAATTAATGATTAAGTATTTCTTCTTTCCAAACCAATAAGCTTTTGGAAAGAAGCATACAAGACTGCTTGTTTTAAAGAGAAATCAGAAATTTCTCAGTGAAACAAAAGAAAACAAAAATAAATGGCATGGGAAAAAAATAATCCTACAACAATCCTTTCACAAGTACTGTAGAAGAAAAAGTTCATAACCATAAAGAAAGCTTTCAAAATTTCAAACTGAAAGGACATGCTTTTCATTATATTCTAGGACAATAATTTATTTTAATTAAAAAGCTATTATTAAGCAACTATTTTATGGTAACAGCAGTAACCATTTTATATTTCCAAATTTTCATCTTCAAATACACTCCCTCTGCAAGTGCTCTGGCTCACTGCTCTACCAAAACAACCTAAATGACCAAACCTGTCCCCTCCATAAATAACTGTGTCAGGAGATTGTAACTCATAATGATATGAAACACACAGACTACAATGTCATGCAGAAAACAATCCAGGCTTACCTCTAGACTGACACACTTGTTTCTAAAAGTAAGCACCCATTCTGTATTTGTTTCATTGCTTGCTAGGCTCACTTCTCCATCAGCTTTCAAACTGCAAGGCCCAAGGACAACATCAAACATGCCCTTATACTTGTCACTTCTCATAGCTGACACCTTCACTTGGTTTTCTCCAGCAAGTCCCAGAGACTGGAGCAAAGGCAAAGAATGCTGGAAGTCAATACTTAAATGAGGCTGGATGTTAGTGGTGGCATGGAGTTGCAGGCAGGCAAACATGTTGTGAAAAGAAACATGTCCAAAGAAGATGACAGTAAAGTTGCTGGTAAACACTGACCCATTCAGTGAAACTCTTGCTGGAGTCTGGAAAATTACAGGAAAAACTGTTGTCAAGTTTGTTTTCCTGTCAGGCCATATACTGTTTTTAAATGCTCGTATTACTAAAAGAGAACTATTTGCCTACTACCCTGACACAATTTTGGTTTAATACCACGTATTTATAAATGTCTAAACAAATGGAGAGATGCCCTAAAATCTTTTGAGTTTCATAATAAAATTAACAGAGAAGAAACCACAACTCTGCAACTCCATTAAAACAATTACTAATACCAGAAAAACCAACTGCTATTGCTTTTACTATTATCACTTTTTTTTTACTATGAGTAAATAGGGCTCTAGCACTGTGGGAATATGTTCTATTCCCCTCACACCTCAGCAGGACTGACATGTGTCATGCATACTGTACCCATGTTACATTAGGGAAAAACTGAAATGCATTTGTCTTTTTTGTCATTAGAACATACATAGGAATCATAGTCCCTGTGACCTTTTTAGAGACAAATGCAACCTTTTGTACTGTCACTCACAGAAGATCTTTTAACATTCTTAAGAATATGTCAGAATATAAGGTGTATCTTTCTTGAACAGTTCAAGAGCCATAGGACTTTCACAAACAACTGGTCAGCTAGAAAGAGCAGAAAATAGAGTAAGTAGAAGGAAACTGACATTCTCAGCTTGTGCTTTCTATGCTCCCTTGTCCAGTTTATATCAGGTTGGCTGCCCAATAACACGACAAGATCATTTACACTGAGTTCAGTTCTACCTGGCAGAAGAAAGAGTCTGAAGACTTCAGTTAGAAGCATTAATGTGATTCTTGCCTTTTGCCTGGTGCATACCTCTTATCTCCTGATACTAGTTTTCTCCTAGGTGTGAACTCTTGCAATGAGCTCTGAAGCAGCACAACTCAATTCTTTGCTGTAGGACACAGGAATATCACCTTTAAAATTGCACTTGTTGAGCCCATAAATACCCCTTTTCTCCACTTTGTACTCCTCACAGCTGTGCACTAAAGACGTAAATCTGTAGCACTTGAAGCCAAGCTTGCTGACAATTCTGATTCAGAACGAACGAATTACCTGACTGGGTTTAAACCACGACAACAATCCACTGCATGAAACTGAGTGTAGACTACCTCACTGATCCAGAAGTATTCTGATCTGTTTGCGAATATTAAGGAAGTGAAAATATCTGACAGTGCGTGCAAAACTTTCAGCTAGCTCAAGTCCACTTCTACATCTCTGACACCTTCCAGTACTTAGATTCCATTACTGGTAGTTAAGACAGTATGTTGTTGACAGCAGAGTTTATAAATGAAGCCAGTACCTCAAAATGATGAAGTATAATTGCTCCATTGCAAAGGCCAGAAAGTTGCTCATTAGCAGATTCTCCACTGCAAGCAACCTGTTGGCATTATCAACAAAGCACATTCAGAACATGAAGAAAAGCACAGGGAACTAAAATAGAAATTAGCAAGCTAATAGACTTCTTTCAAGATAAAAAGCATGAAGATACTAAAACAGCTTTAAGATTAACTTTTAGAAATCAGTTTTGAAAAGATAAATGGTTTAGTGGATCTGAGGCTAATCTGAGGCTAATCTGTCTCTAATCTTGCATTATCATGCCAAAATATTATCAGCATAGATAAGGGCAAAAAAATATCTTCAAACAGTAGGAAACAGTTACTTGCTAAACAGGACTATTTTTGAAACTCTGGCTTTTGATTTTGACAAAGATAGTTGCATTTCTTAAGTTTTGGAACAGAAAATACCCCCATCACAAGCAGACATTCTGTGTTTCATATGCCATCAGCTGTGTCCTCTGTCGCAGAAAGGGAAGTCCTTGTGGATAATTGCTGGCTGCATGAAAACTGTTGCCATTAGTGTTCACTCTGCTCTCCATACCCACCTACAAACAGCCACGTCATTCACCTGCAAACCCTGTTTTAGCAATATTGCCAAGCTGGGACTGCATGTTACTGTGTCTGGGCAACACCCACCCAGCTTCATGACATGAATATTTTGTCACCCACCAAATCTTGAAAACCTGCTCTTCATTGCTAAGAAACAACTTTTAGGCTTTCTGCACGGGCCTTGTTTGACAAAAATCTCTCTCCCTCTGACCTGCTAGCTTGCTCTCAAGCAGTAAATGTGAAGAACTGAGAAGGCACAGCAGAAAACTCCATCAAATACACTATATAGCAGGATTTCTGCTAACCTCTAGTACACGTGGAACAATGTAAATCAGTCCTTCCACATCATGGTGAAGTAAAAGAGAAATTTCCATAGCACTGCCAGTGGCTTTCTTCTCTATTTCAACTTTGAGCTGTTTCATCTCCACTGTGGCTGTTATCCCTGCAGCAGTCTTTCTGGTGAAATTCTGTGCACAAGAGAAGCAAAACAATAGAAAGAAACAAACAACATCCCAACAATAACTGGCAAAGGCAGAGTATGTTTCACCATGATTACACATCACAGCCTGTGTCAGGGCAGCAGTATTAATAAAATAAAAGTGCAAAGTCAAAGTGGCTTCACTTCAGATAGAGATTTTCCTGTTATGCTAGACTGTGCTGTGCACCAATAACTTCTTCTGGCTCCAAAACATATTGAGAGCATTTAGTACCCTGGAGGATTTGAGTCCTAAGGCATAAATGATTAAACAGTGAAATTACTAGTAAGCAGGGCAAAGTGAACTGTTCAGAGCTCTTCCTCCACACACCTGTGTTTCCCTGTACCAGAGTAGCTGAACCCATCACAAATGTTAGTACGTTAGTGACTTCAGCCTTCTAGCATGTGGTAGAACAAGTCAAATGTTTGAACCCTTCTTTTATGGAAGGGTATTTTGAGATACAAAATAGCTATATGCTATTCACAGATCTATAGCAGAAATGCTGACAGAAGAGTGGCCAAGCAACACTGTACCAGGAAACATGATCTGTGATGCTTCTTTGAGTAGAGATTTCCAAATGGAAAGCCAGGCTATACAGTCTTCTGCTCTTTAGCAGACGTTCAAAGGATGCCATCAGAACTAGATAATCCAGTACTAGACACAATGCAGTACCTAGGATCGCTGACATCGCTACATATATTAGGTCTGCCAGTCCCCTTCCCATTTATAGGGGGAAAAGAAAATTGGAAAAGACTCCTGATCCTATGCAGCAAAGCACTTCACTTAAATGAGAACTGAATGTAGAATCTCATTTAGTCTAGATTCAGCTCTAAGACTTCAGATGACAGGTACACAGTATGACAAGAAGCAAGGAAACATCTTTCTTTGGAACACCTCAAAAAAACAGATGCTTTTGGAGCAAAGTGCAAAGGAATAAGTTACATTATTAGAAATGGTTCTGCCAGGAATTAAATAATCACAGGCAGAACTCACCTCATAATAGCCAGCAGCTTCCACAATAAAAGGGATCCCATGTTCCTTTATCTTTGAGATGTTGTGCTTCAAACTCACAGATACCTCAGATTTAGGATGCTCTGTGGACAGTCTGTGACTTCCAAACATAGTGGTAATCCTTTCACTGCCACTCTGCAGGACTACCGTAATGGTGTGATTTCTTGTGTCATGATTACACATGGCAGTAACAATGACATCCAAGGGCAATCCTATTGACAGGGAAGGAAGCAAAATCAAAACAATACTTCTGGGTTGTCCCTGTAAAATACAGAGCAGATGCGTTAATAAAAGATTAATAAAAGCCATCTGTTGTTTTTCATAAGAAAAGACAGACTTTTTTTAAACTGCAATCATCCAGTTAGCTGCACTTACTGCTATTTATAGTAAGAGAGTACATTACCTACCATATGAAAATCATATTAAAAAGTGACTGTTAAATTAAAATGTGGCATGGACTTCAGAAGTCAAGGATTTTTCTTTTCTCAATAACGGATATCTACCAATGGGTACTGTGCCCAATTCCAGTATTCAGCTGTGAGAAAGTTTCAAAACAGATTTCTTCAGTCCAAAAGGACAAAGGCAATTTACCCATTCAAAATTCTTGATAACTTCATGTTATGAAAACCCTCAGTTTTGCTTAGGAAACAACACTTCGCATATTTTAGTCCTCAATGTTTCAATTCTGGCTCAAATTAAAACAGCCATAAAATATGCTCAGAGGAACCTATAAGCATGCAGGAATAAAGATGTAGAAGAGAGAAATAATTTGCTTTGAAATAGTTCAGAGTTTGTAAATAGCTTTGTACCATTTTGTTGCATTTTCTCAACAATATTAAAAAGAATAGTGCTAAAACTGGATTACATTTTTCTCTTATGTGAGCAAATGCAACCTATTTCCACTGGTCTCCACACAGATGAATTCATCTTGTTACACCACACCATCAAGTCAGTTATCTTCTTACCTGCATTTTTAAAAAAGCTGATATTATGTGTGAAAGTCCCACTGAGGCTGCTGTGCCCATGACTCATGATATTGGAAAAATCTACAAAAAGGGCTTTCTCATCCACCTGGAAGCTAGCTAGCACCCTTTTCATCTCTTTGCTCAGCTCCAGGCGTCCTTTCAGTTTTGCCTCCACAGGGATTGCCTGACTGCCGTTCTGAAACATAGCAAAAGTGATACTGTGTACGGTGGTATTCCCAAACACATTTCTGTTCCTGAGATGGAGCCCATACAGTGTTTTGTTGACCATCACATTGATGTTACCTGTAACAGGCAGAAATGGTTACTGTGGGGAGAGTTCTTCAGGGCAGAAATAACCAGATTTTTATAAGCAACTCGTAAAATAGCCATTAATTTAATAGCAGGAGGAAATAAAAGAATTTTCATTTATTATAATAGATCATTTAGCCTACTCTAGAGAGCAAATCAGTTTATTGTTGAGAATTTCTCTACTACTATAAGCATCTGTGCTTTAAACAAATTATGTAATATTAATTCTGGCAGCTGTTTCTTTTTCTTCACCAAGCTGCTTGTGCCTTTAGGCGATGGACTGCACCACACTGCCTTCTGAAGGAAAATTTACAGTGCAACTATGACCTAATACTTGCATGACTCCAGGTTAAACAATCCCTCTAGAGCTCTGCAGTGACCTACTCCACCTATGGAGCCATTCAGAAGACGAAGGGCCTGAAGCTTCCTCTACCCCCCACCCTCAACTTTAGAAGAGCTGGACAGGAAAGATGCCACCCACCACTTCCTTCAATCAGTGAAAAAATAAAAATTATAGATCTATGATGTTAGTTCACTGAAAAGTAGTATCAACACATGGACTAAGAGTTCATTTTTCATGCTAATTATTCTCTTCTGTATTACATATATAGAATGGTTTGGGTTGGAAGGGACCTTAAAGCTCATCCAGTTCCAACTGCTACCACAGGCAGGGACATATTCCACTAGACCAGGTTGCTCCAAGCCCGGTCCAGCCTGACCTTGAACACTGCCAGGGATGGGGCAGCCACAGTTTCTCTGGGCACCCTGTGCCAGTGCCTCAGCACCCTAACAGGGAAGAACTTCTGCCTTATATCCAATAAAAATCTCCCTTCTGTCGGTTTAAAGCCATTCCCCCTTGTCTTGTCCCTACAGGTCCCTATCCAAAGCCCTTCTCCAGCTTTCTTAACCCCATTAGGCACTAGCAGCTGCTCTAAGGTCTTCCTGGAGCCTTCTCTTCTCCAGGCTGAACAAGCCCAGTTCTCTCAGCCTGTCTCCAGAGCAGAGGTGCTCCAGCCCTTGCAGCACCTCTGTAGCCTACTCTGGACTCACCCCAACAGGTCCACCTTCTTCTTATGTTGGGGGCCCCAGAGCTGAATGCAGTATGCAGTTCAGTAAGGAAATATATTGAAGAAGCTTCCTCAGACAGCTGCAGACTTAATAGCAAAAGATAAAGTAAAAAAGTACCATCACGAATGTTGGTTTTGCAATTCAGGAATCCATTCAGAGAAAGATGATGAGGTACAGCCTTTAATCCAGCAAATGTGTGTTGGACTTTTCCATATAGGGACAAAACAAGACCGACTTTCTGCTCCCTCGCTCCCATGAAATCCATGTGAAGCTTATTTTCATTAAGCTTCATCTCAGAAGATATCAAAAGTCTAAAAAGAGATAAAAATATTAAAATATTATTATTATGGTTAATTCATTATTGTGAAGACAACCCCTATCTCACTCAAAGCAGGATCAATGAAAGCAGGGTAATCAGGAGTGTGTGTGGCCAAGTTTTGAGTATCTCCCAGTATGGAGACTCCACAGACTTTCTGGGCACTTGTTCTGGTGTTGGGAATCAGTGAATCACATGCCTTGCAACGAATATATGTTATTCATCAGGTGTTTATAAAACTACTCAGTAAAGCCTCACTTGTTGGCAGACTGATTTTTCTTCAAATTTCTTGGATGCTTTTCTCATCCCTAATAAAAGAAAAAAATAAGAGTTGGACAGAGTTAAGAGTTGAAAATGAACTCTTCTCTGTCACAATATCAAAACTCTCTTCACTGCTGATTTAAAAGCAGGACTGAGAATTCAGCTCAAACAATAATTTTAAAAGCCACCACCGCCTTGAGTATGGCAAATGAACCAACAATTATTTCTTTGTATCTTGGCCATGAGTTGAACAATGCTGGAGAAACACAGTATAGGTTTTTAGGGAAACTTGATGGAGCAACAAGAAACTCAGCTTTCAGTGTTTCAAGAATAAGACTGAGACACAATTTTTACATTGCCTTCAACAAACTACACTGAAATGTCTGACTTTCTAGGCTCAAGTATACCGCACAAAATACCTACAAGTGAGGGAATCATACTTTCATACTGTTAGACATCCCTCCTAGAAACTTGAACGCTCTTGAAAGACTGATGACAAGTAAAATCTCAGTGAGAATCCACTTGACAGGAAGAACTGAACTACAAAATTCAGGGAAGTAAGATTCATTTCATCAGTCAGTGACTGAAGTTTGTATAGACTGCATGTTTATAGCAATTCCCCAGAAATAGTCGAACTTTTATTCTTCTCTCTTTTCTCCCTGTAAAATAAATCTAAGTAAATCATTCCAGAAATTTTAAGTGTTCTATTTTACTTTCTGAAGTAAGCTGTAATAAATTGCTCTGTTACAGCTTACTCTGGTATTTAAACAAATTAATTTACTATTGGAAGCTCAGAACTGCAAGTAAGCTGCAGAAATACATGAAATATCTTTCTTGGATCTTTTATTTTTCATTTTGCTAATCTAATTTTAATATTTTATTAAATCTAACTTCAACAGGACGAGGGGTGATGGTTTTAAACTAAAAGAGGGAAGATTTAGGCTGGATGAGAGGAAAAAAATCTTTGCAATGAGGATGGTAACACACTGGCACAGGTTGCACAGAGAGTGGTGGATGTGCCATTCCTGGAGACATTCAAGGCCAGGCTGGATGTGGTTGAACTAGATGACCTTTGAAGTTTCCTTTCAACCCAAACTATTCTATGATTCTAATGAGCTTCTACAGAATTGTAATAACTTCTTATTTCTTTGTCTCCTCATTCTCTTTATCCCATCCAACTCCTAAACTGCTAAACACTGAGACCTCCACAAAAACATCAGCTCCTTCATTGCACACTTTCATATTCATGAAATTTGAAAAATAGCTGAAAGACAGCTGAAACTTGGGAGGGCCAAATTTCTATTTCCCACCCCTGCCATCTCAGAGCTTTCCACAATACTTAGTGAAACTTTGTACTAAACACTGGCATAGCTTGTAAATATTAGTTCCTTACTTCTGAGAGGACAAACCTCTGGGGGTGGGGTGAAGGGAGAAACAACTGTTGATCTAAAATGAGTATTACAGTACCAACTGTTCAAGTGATCTCCATACAAAGTCCTAGGAAAGCAACTAGAAAACATGAACACAACTTATTATACCAACTTATGAAACAAAGAGCAAAAGTATTTCAGTAACACAAGTAACACATGAAATAGCATTTCCCCAGTGGCTTCTGTTGCAGCTACATGAAAGTAGCTACTTCCAAATACATATTACAAAAAACACTAGCTCCTCTATTGAATAAGATTCTGATATCTCTACCTTGAAGGAAATACTTTGCCTATGAGCTGGAATTGTATTGATTCTGGATTTGTCAGGATTGCCTGATGAAGGAAAGCCCTCAGTTCAACAGCTCTGCTTTTTCGCCTGTTTTCCGTGGTCATATCAACCTCCAGCATCAGCATGCCCCTTCCATTGTAATGAAGGTAAAAAGAGCTATTGAAACTGCTCTCACCATAACTCTTTAGGGATGCCTGGGCCTACACAGAGAAAAAGAACAGGACATTAAGTTTGAGGAATAAGACTGCAGACAAGTTGGGCTTGGGAAAAAGCAGGGAGTAGCCGAGGGGAAAAGGTGCTTTTATTTCTCGTCTTTGTTTCTCACATTTAACATCATTATTAAAGTTAATTTTTCCAAGTTGAGTCTGCTTTGTCTGTGAAGGTAACAGGTAAGTGATGTCCCTGTCTTTACTTCAGCCCACCACACAGTACAGAGTTAATCCTAGAGAAAGAACCTTCTGAATTGATAACAAAAGCTACAGATGGCAGCTGATTTTGCACATCAGCCTGACACCATGCTAGAACTTTCAACAAGAAATTACAAACTACGCTGAGTTTTAAGTACATTTTAACTTGACTTTCAGAGTTTTCTGAATTTCAGCCAGAACGCAAGCCACCTACTCCAGCTGGATGTAGCCATGTAGCCAGAACAATCTCTAACCGTAAAAGGTTAACTGTTTCCCTAACAATTTACACCTCTCCACTACACTCACTGAACTCTGTATGAGTTGACTAGCTCTGTAGTATACAGATACATTTGTGCTCCCATGCTTGAAAGTAGTTGCAGAGCAATTTAAAGCACAAACTTAAACAGTTGAACATTCCTAATGCATGCTACTCAAGATTCAACATGGGTCTGAGTGTATGAGCTGCAAAAGCCACAACTTCAAGCAACAAAACTGTAATAATCAGGGAACTGACCTGTGAAGACATGTTCTTGTTGATGATGGCTTTTACACTCACACTGTAGTCAAAGTGTTCCAGTTTAGTCTGCCTGGAAAACAGCTCCCCACTTAGGCCCATTGCTCGTGGAAACTCTAGCTATTTGACAAAGCAAAATGCAAACATAATCACTGCGTTCCCATCAACTGCCTCTTGTGATTTGATTTTTGAACTTTTAGTATTAAGTGAAGGATGCGTATAAGCAAATGTGTGAACAGAACGTCACCAATTTTACTCAAGGACACTGAAAAACAAACTACAGTAAAAAAGTATGAAAATGAAAGTTCAGTGTCTTTCTTACAAGACAGATTGATACAAATTATGATTTGATCTGCTGAAATACTTTGTCAGGGCCAGGACTTTATTGAACTAGGAAATTTAAAAGCATAAAACAATTACTATTCTAAAGACAATGCAGTAAACCAACCACCAATAAAATGCCATAAATGAAAAGCATGAATACCTGGAACGAATGTGTCACATCCATGTATAAAAGATGCCTAAGAGCTGCCTCATTGGATTTGTCCTCATATCTCCCCAGAAAGCTGAGAACATCTTCCTTATTGATCTTCAAGGCAGTCTCAAGCTCATGCTTCAACTATGTGTTAAGAATAAGCAAATTACATTGACTAGTAACCTTATATATCATGAAAGATGAGAGAAGTCATCCCTACATATTATGAAAAATTAGTGTTGCAAGCTATTATATTGTGGGTTGTCAGAACAAAAAACGAGCAAAGCAGGGAAAAAAACCCTGTGTTTGGTAAGGAAGATGAATAGATACACCTATATAAGGATGAAAATCCTGAATCCATTCCTTTCCCATACTTGATAATATTAATGCATAATAGTATTTAATACATTAAATATTCTTATAATATATTAGCACACAGTGTATAATTATATATTATCATACAAAACATTGTATTAGGGAGGCATCAACCGCATCACTGCTCTTTGGACCTTTTGGGTGCAGCATTTGTGTGGAGACAGTGTTCTCATGGGAGAATGGATAACTGGTACATAAACTCTGAATAATCCTGAAAGATACAGCAAGGCCATGAGAGGCCCGAGGAAGCTTAAGCAAGCAAGATAAGAAGCGGCTGGAATTCACTGAATTAATGAGAACTGTGGACTGTTGGCAAGCTTTCGAGGTCAAGTTCTCACACCTGTGCTTAACCAATTACATATTAGTCACTAAGGGTCTTCAGGACATGTATCCAATCATAATATGCCAAATCACTGTAGGTGCATGTAAGAAATAGTATATAAGGAGTTAAGGCTTTGTAATAAATTTGGCAATTGCTTGATCACATTGATCGTCTCTGCGTTGTCCGTGACTCCTGCGTCAACACATTTACATGGTGAGAAGCTAAAGAGAAGCAAGATAGGTCTGAAAAGACAATACACTGTAAATTAATAAGTAATGAATGTCCCCTACTAACTGAATTTAATGGGAAATTTACTTACATTTTGATGATTTCGAGTTAATATGCATATTTCAACTTCTTTGGGCAACAACTTGTAGTTATATGGATGAACTAAGCTAGCACAAATCTAAAAAAAGTTTGAGAGGAAATGCAAGGAATATAAGATATACACAGTAAATCACTCATTTGCTGACTTTTTTATATGCCAGATTAAAGGAAATTGTTGTATAACTCACATAGGGGTTTTCAGGTTGGTAACCAAGTGTAAGAGTTTGAACTGTTTCCTCCAGCCCATTTATCAGAATATTTGTTTCCATTAAATAGTGCTTTTGCTTTTTGTCAACACTAAATGTCTCCTGCAGAAGGAAGCTCTGCAAAATGGGCACTGTGAAAGGGTGCCTGGAACAGAACAAGAATTAAGCAGTATAAAAGATCTTGATAGACAACTACAGAAAGAAACCATATAGAGTTCAACCTGAACTGCTAAATTTCAGCTGCAGATACCATCAGGGTGTTATATACAGAAGAGAAACACACAGGACTAGAACATCTAAGAAATTACTAGAGCATAACTGTAACTTCATACAAGCCACACGCACTTACCAGAATTTCTGATAAAGAGTTTCCATCCTAGATTCAGGAAAGGCTTGGAAGGGCATGGAAGAGGGTGATGCTCTAAAATTCTGATATGTATTACCAGTATATACACTTTATATACCTGCATTGCCAAGACATTTCAGACAGGGATAGTGCCCAAAAGCTCATGGCAGCTTTGAAAAATCTCACCATCAACCACATTTTATACTCTCTGTGGAAACAGTACCTGCATGCTAAGAATCCTATGCAACAGATGTTCAGCCACTACATAGTTCTTGGAGTAGTTTCATGTAATGTTTAATGGACTTTATTGAAAAATTCTGCACATATAACTTAGTTGGGTTTCTTGGAAAAAATGTATTAACTTTTATAAGCAGGCCTTCATACATGTTAGGGTATCTGGTACAGCCTTCATTCTTTATTTAGGTAATTTTTCCACTACTGAAAAGGCATCTCACATTATTTTTTAGCTATCTCCAAGATGTACAGTGGCTCCTGAGGGAACCCATGCACTCTTGTTGACCCTACTATGACTTAAGAAAGCTGAAATGTCCTCAGAGAGGATCCAGATGTCCCAAGTCTGATCATATGTTTTCACCAAGGCCTTCAAGCTGTATTTTGATAATGGGTAATGAAGAGAGAAATTTCAGAACCAGTCAATATCTAGAAGCAGTGCATTCATTCTCATCAGGAAATGGAAATGTTCCAAATTCTAAATAAGAGCATTTGTTGTGGTTTAAGATCATTTGTTGTGTCTTTAGAATTACTGTCTTATTCCTAAGAACTAGGAAAAAAGGCATCTGGATGGCACAAAGGATCAGATCTGAATTTTGGAACTTCTCACCATTTCAAAGTTTGAATACACTGTAAGTCCTGTTGCTTTCATGAAAGGAGGCTAGATGCCTAATAGAGTTGCCAACATACACGTTGCCACAGCATACATAGCCTGTTGCCTTTGACAACTTTACTCACTATCTTTTCAGTAAAGAGGGCAAAAAATAATCATAGAATCATAGAATAGTTAGGGTTGGAAAGGACCTTAAGATCATCTAGTTCCAACCCCCCTGCCGTGGGCAGGGACACCTTACGCTAAATCATATCACCCAAGGCCTCGTCCAACCTGGTCTTGAACACTGCCAGGGATGGAGCATTCACAACCTCGCTGGGCAACCTATTCCAGTGCCTCACCACCCTCACAGGAAAGAATTTCCTTCTTATATCCAATCTAAACTTCCCCTGTTTAAGTTTTAACCCGTTACCCCTTGTCCTGTCACTACAGTCTCTAATGAAGAGTCCCTCTCCAGCTATGAGGTCTCCACGCAGCCTTCTCTTCTCCAGGCTGAACAGCCCCAATTCCCACAGCCTGTCTTCATACGTGAGGTGCTCCAGTCCCCTGATCATCCTCGTGGCCCTTCTCTGGACTTCCAGCAGTTCCATGTCCTTTTTATGTTGAGGACACCAGAACTGCACACAATACTCCAGGTGAGGTCTCACGAGAGCAGAGTAGAGGGGCAGGATCACCTCCTTCAACCTGCTGGTCACGCTTCTTTTGATGCAGCCCAGGATACGGTTGGCTTTCTGGGCTGCAAGTACACACTGAAGCCGGCTCATGTTCATTTTCTCATCAACCAACACCCCCAAGTCCTTCTCTGCAGGGATGCTCTGAATCTCTTCTCTGCCCAACCTGTAACTGTGCCTGGGATTGCTCCAACCCAGGTGTAGGACCTTGCACTTGGCATGGTTAAATTTCATGAGGTTGGCATCAGCCCACCTCACAAGTGTGTCAAGGTCCCTCTGGATGGCATTCCTTCCCTCCAGCGTATCAACTGAACCACACAGCTTGGTGCCATCGGCAAACTTGCTGAGGGCGCACTCAATCCCACTGTCCATGTCACCAACAAAGATGTTAAACAAGACCAGTCCCAACACCGATCCCTGAGGGACGCCACTTGTTACTGGTCTCCAGATGGACATTGAGCCATTGACCACAACTCTGTGTGCGGCCATCCAGCCAGTTCTTTATCCACCGAGTGGTCCATCCATCAAATTGATGTCTCTCCAATTTAGAGACAAGGATGTCATGTGGGACAGTGTTGAACGCTTTACACAAGTCCAGGTAGATGACATCAGCTGCTCTAGCCCTGTCCATCAGTTCTGTAGCCCCATCATAGAAGGCCACCAAATTGGTCAGGCAGGATTTCCCCTTAGTGAAGCCATGCTGGCTGTCACCAAGGACCTTGTTGTTTTTCATGTGCCTTAGCATGCCTTCCAGGAGAATCTGCTCCAAGATTTTGCCAGGCAGAGGTGAGACTGACTGGTCTGTAATTTAGCTTCAGGACCCGTGGATGGATCTCATCAGGACCCATGGACTTGTGCACGTTCAGATTTTTAAGATGGTCTCGAACCAGTTCCTCTCCTACAGTGGACGCAAGGTCTTCATTCTCACAGTCCCTGCATCTACCTTCCAAGACTTGGGTGGTTTCGTCAGAGCCTTTGCCAGTGAAGACCGAGGCAAAGAAGTCATTCAGAACCTCAGCCTTCTCCAAATCCAGGGTACCCAGTTCTCCTGAGAGCTTCCTGAGGGGGCCTACATTCTCCCTAGTCTGTTTTTTACTTGCTATGTACCTGTAGAATCCCTTCCTGTTGTCTTTAATACCTCTAGCTAAGTTTAATTCTAACTGGGCCTTAGCTTTCCTAACCTGGTCCCTAGCTTCTCGGACAACATCCCTGTACTCTTCCCATGCCACCTGTCCTTGCTTCCACTTATTATAAGCCTCTTTTTTCAATTGAATTTTCCTCAGGAGCTCCTTATCCATCCAAGAAGGTCTCCTGGCCCTCCTGCTGCACTTCCTTCTGGTTGGGATGCAACACTCCTGAGCTTGCAGCAGGTGATCCTTGAATATCAACCAACAGTCTTGGGCCCCTCTGCCCTCTAGGGCTGTATCCCATGGAACCTTCTGAAGCAGGTTCCTGAAGAGGCCAAAGTCTGCTCTTCTGAAGTCCAGGGCAGTCAGCTTGCTGCACGCTCTTCTCACTGTCCTGAGGACCTCAAACTCGACCATCTCATGATCGCTGCATCCAAGGTTGCCCTGGAGCGTCACATTTCCAACCAGCCCTTCTCTGTTGGTGAGCACGAGGTCAAGCAGGGCACCTCTCCTTGTCAGCTCCTCTATTACTTGCAGAAGGAAGGTGTCTTCCACACAATCAAGGAACCTCCTGGATTGCTTGTGCCAGGCTACACAATCGAGGAACCTCCTGGATTGCTTGCGCCGGGCCGTACCGTCCTTCCAACAGATGTCAGGGTGGTTGAAGTCACCCATGAGAACAAGGGCCTGCGAGCATGAGGCTTTTCCTATCTGTCTATGGAGTGCTTCATCCGCAGGTTCTCCTTGATCAGGCGGTCTGTAACAGATCCCCACAGTAATGTCTCCCATAGCTATATTCCCTTTAACCCTGATCCACAAACTCTGTGCACTGCTCACCTGTCCCCAGACAGAGTTCCATACTCTCCAGACTATCCCTAACATAAAGGGCAACTCCCCCTCCCCGTCTGCTGGGCCTGTCTTTTCTAAAGAGCCTGTAACCTTCCATTCCAACACTCCAGTCATAGGAGCCATCCCACCATGTTTCTGTGATGCCTATTATATCATACCCCCATAGACGTGCACACATCTCTTAATTCCTCTTGTCTGTTCCCCATGCTACGGGCATTTGTATAGAGGCATCTGAGCCGAGCTCCAACTGAAGCCGGCTCATTGGCTGGAGCGGCTGGGATATCTCTACATTGCTCCAAGCATTTATTATAATGGATGCAAGCAACTAGCCCATGAAGTCCCTGTGCTCAAGCAAGCCTTGACAGACAGATGGGAGGAAGCACAGGCTTTGTGTATGTGGCATTTCCACTTTGTAAAACCCAGGACATTTCCCAAGGGCATAAAATTTAGGCCAAAACAATCTTCAGAGATAAAAATAATTCAACTACTGAACCTGAAATAGAATGTTCCACGTTTTTGATAGAGCATCTTCTCCTTCTTCAGCTCTTCTATCTGGCCTTCAAACTGTAGCACAACAGGCAGCCTTTTATAATCTCTCCATACAGTCTTTACTGAGAAGTTTGTCTTCTTAGGCTGCACTCATATCATAAAACCAAAAGAAGAAAGGATAATTGCATCAGATTTAATTCATTCATACTCAGGAACATCAATATACAAGCCACGTTGTTCAACAGGCTGCAGCAAGGCTATCAGTTCACAGATCAACCCCTTTCTGCTTCAGTTTAAATGCTGATCTGCATTTATACAGAATTAGAGTACATTGAAAACTGACTTCAGCAAAAGACAAATGCCCTATAATGTATCACTTAAGTGCAACCTACCTCCAGTATGAGCAAGCTCTAGCTGTGGTACTAGTACATTTACATACAAAAAATAATTGGATTTGCAAAGCATGGAACCTTACGACTTGAAAAACGCTTTTTGTTTTAATATGTCCTGCAAGGAACTCACCAAAGTAACTGATCAAACTATCTCTTTGAAGAACAAATTGCTGATTATCCTTCCTGTGCTGCAGACATCAAGCAAGAAAAAATGATTTTAAGATTGGAGAGGATGTAAAGGCTTAAACTGCATATAAACCAAGGCTGGTGCTATGTTTACTAGCAGGCAAGATATTTTGATCCTCCAAGACAATAGAATTTTCCACACCTGCCACGCATCTGCATCAACGTTAAGTAACCGCATCTATATATCACTATCTAGCAATGTGGTCTCTTGTTGTCCTCTCCTCCCTTTCTGTCTGTAGTTGGCCTCCCAAACAGGTGAGTACTTAAAAATACACAAGTGTCTGTCCCTTTTCTTTTTGAACCTAGTTTTACACAGCAGATTGCTAAAACAGGGAGAAACAGAAACAACACTAGAAGCGTTTAAGTTTCAACACCAGCAATAACATCTCCAGAAAGGTGGCAGACCTGAAAAACACAGTGCTGAGTCAAAGAAATTGCATTTGTATTTCTGTCTTACCACTGCCAGATTCTGATAGCTGGCTGTGAAGTTAAATTCCTGTTTTGGACTCTTTATCTTAAAGCAGAGAAACTTGGCTCGCTCATTATTCTCCAAATGAATCTCATTCTTCACAAGCTGATTCCACAGAGATACCATTTCACTATAGCTATGCAGAACATTCCTCCCAAGATGATTAAATGTTGATGCCTGAAAAACAAAGGCAAACACATTAGTCTGGCTGAGTTAAGACAGAAAGCAGCACAGCACAGAAGTGAAATTAATGCATTTTCTTGGCAATGATGATTACAAGAACTGTTAGAGTGCAGCTCTTCAATTACCAAAATACTCTGAACTGCCATAAAGACCTCAAAGTTTATTTTATCCCCTCTAAGCAAAGGAGAAAGGAAAATCTAAATAGTTTAAAAGAAAACAGTTGATAAGCATTTTTTTCCTCATTCAAAAATGTTTCTCACAATCCTTCACACTGTGTATGAACCAGCGGTGATACAAGAGGAAAAGCTGCAGCTCAGAATAAAGGAACACCTTAAACATAAACCTAAGTGAAAGATTTAGATGATTGCAGTGGATTCTAAAAGAAAGGCAAAGATTCCAAGCTCTCATGTCATTTATACAGAAGCACGTAAGAAATTTCTTCAAGACAACTCTACACTTTGCATAGTGACAGGTTTATCATATTGCTTAATGCACAGCAAGTGTGACGAAATCAGTCTTAAACCTCAGTTGCATAGAACAGTCTAAAATAAATTAGGAGGAAGCTTAGAATCACAGACTGGTTTAGGTTGGAAGGAACCTTGTAGCTCATCTAGGTCCAACCCCCTGCCATGGGCAGGGACACCTTCCACTAGATCAAGATGCTCCAAGACCTGTCCAACCTGCCTTGAAACACTACCAGGGATGGGGAAGCCACAGCTTCTCTGTGCCAGGGCCTCACCACCCTCACAGGGAAGAACTTCTGCCTAAGTTACCATTTCAATCTCCCCTCTGACAGTGTAAAGTCACCCCCCCCTGTCCTGCCACTACATGTCCTTATCCAAAGCCCCTCTCCAGCTTTCTTGTTGGCCCCTTAAAGCGCTTGAAGCTGCTCTAAGGTCTCCCCAGAGCCTTCTCTTCTCCAGGCTGAATAAGACAGCCTGTCTCCAGAGCAGAGGTGCTCCAGCCCTTGCAGCACCTACGTGGCCTCCTCTGGTCTCACTCCAACAGGTCCACATGCCTCTTGTGTTGCTGCACCGGAGCTGGATGCAGGACTGCAGGGGGGTCTCCCCAGAGCCCAGTAGAGGGGAGAATCCCCTCCCTTGTCCTGCTGCTCATGCTCTGGGGTCCCAGTTTCTAGGCTCAGACTCTCAGAGCTGCCTCCAAGTCCTTCTCCTCAGGGTTTTTTTCAAAGCTAATAAAAAGACCCTGGCTGTGCCGATTTATCTGCCCCAGAGTAAGCTGCTCATAATTCAAGCACAGAGAACAGATGACCATAAACATTTCAAGATCCTTTCTTATGAGATGGCACATAATGCATGAGTTTCTCAAACAAGCTACTTCACACAGCATGCCAAACAAGCGTTAGTTTAGCATGATGACAATTCTGGCTGGTACCTGTCACAAAGCTCTATCATAAAAGCCATATACTATAGGAAGCATCATGTTCTTTACCTGTAGGTATGTGGTAGCTGGTGTGTAAATGTGAATTTTCCCTTCCTTTTCATTGCCTTGATCTTTATATAATAGTTCCACTACAAGATTCTTAATGGAGAGAGATTTTCCAGTTGTCAGCTCCATAGTCAACAAATAAGCAGAATGCTGAGGCTGATGTAGTTTGTGAGCTGCATGCAGATATAGCCATGGGGTGTCTATATTTAATAGACCTGGAAGGAACACATATTAAAGCTGGCAGAAAAGTGAGATTTCAGGCTTCCTGGATTCTAACTCTGCAACAAAGCTGGTAAGACACTGGGGTTTAGAAATAAGGATAAAATGCTCCTCTCAACCTATTCTCTTCCTGGATGGTATATAATGAAATGTATGTCCTTCACTAGCATAACATGCCTCATAGTGTAGCACATAGAGAGGTTTGTTAATAAATGGAAATTTGTGAAGTCCAGTCTCTAACTGGCACCAGGAACAGGTTCTACTGCATGATCTGCAACAAAATGTGAAATCTTTACCTGAACTGTAAGTCTGTAACCGTTATTTGCATAATTACAATGGCCTTAATCAAAACTGTTCTGACATGGGCAAACACTGAAATTCAATCCTGCAACACATACATTTCGAACAAGATTTCATGCTGCATTAAGTTCAGTAAGATGTTTCTGTATGCATATTTTTTAGGGCTTTACTGTATCTTTGGCCATAAGCTTTTTAACTGCCATGTGAAGAAATGTGAAATGAAATTCAATAAGAAATATTTTTTTTGTCATTTGGCTTTATGTGATGCAGTGTTTTTCAGATAATGGAGTCAATGCTGGTTCCATGTTTTGACAGTAAAGAATTTTTTTAAAACATGGTTCCTTCTTGGTCAGGTATCTCACTCAAAAGCTACAGGACATGACTGGTCTACATTAGGAGTACAGCTATCAGACAGCCCACTCTGCACAGCATAGGAGAGGTTATGTCTGCAGCACTAATCTGGTTTGGGAGCACCCAGATCGAGGCAGATGGTGAGAAACCAGAAAAGCTACAGCAGAAGGCTGCTCTGATGCGAAAGGGGCTAAACAAGACCTGTGACAAGAAGAGAGGGAGCAGACTTGTTTAGTCTGCCAAAAGACCAGGGGAATCTGTAGCTGCCTACAGCTAACTTAAAAGTAAATGGCAAAGATGAGGAACACAAACTCTTTGAAAGAGGCAGCAATGGACAATGGCTACAAACTGCATTTTGAGAGGCTAAGGCTCTTGCTGAAAGAGGCTAGCCAGCTAGGCTGTGGAAAGTTGGAGGTTCCAAAACCTCTGCTAGGCAAACCCACAGGAGATGCGATCTAATACTAGGAACAGTCATGATGGAGCAAGAGGCTGGTCTTGATAGCTTCCAGGGTTTGTCTCTTCCAACCATTATTTCTATGACTGACACCCACACAAAACTTGCTCACAGAATCCCAGCAGCAACTTTCAATGCTTGCTTTTCTAATCACAGACTTGAAATGGTTTGTGGTACTTCACCTTCCCACTTCTTCAGGCCATTTCTGGATGCATCTTTCCACTGCAGCCCAGCCACAAATGGCACGTGATCATTGTACTGCACCTCAAAGTTGGTGCTGCTCTGCAAATAAACCTGAGAGGCATGCGAGTGCTGGAGCTGGGTTCTATAATTCACCTGTTTCTCCAGGACTTGCATGGTAAACTGGAAAACAAGTTAAGCACATTTAAATAAAAGCAGGATTCTATCTTCAGGGCTGTCTAAGCTAACACACACACACAGAGTAGCAGAAACGTCATGAGTAGCATCTCTGCTCTGCACATTTGCCATTCACTTTACAGCTTTTCATGAATGCTGAGCAATTACAGATAGGGGTTTCTTTAATATGCATTTGTTACACCTACTTGGGATTCAAAAAGGAAAATTCCCATTAATTTTTAGATAATTTACTTTGTTGGAAAAGAACAAACCAAAATCTAGGTCTATGCTGGAATCACAGACAAATTCTATGCTTACAAGTACTCCATATAGAAAGAGAATAATGATTCAGAAAACTATTACCTAATCTAAGAAAATAACAGAGAAGACCTGCAACTTCTAATACCACAGAAATTTTTGGAACGTCTGTAAGAACATCTGTAAGAACTTTTTACAAATAAAAGATAAGAGGGCATGCCAATATAAATAATTGTTTTCTTTTTGTAGCTCACAGAATGTGCCTCCAAAAGAAGGCATAAACTCTCTGAGGTTTTTAATTATACCTTACTACATGGGAAAACTTTTTACTGATCCAGAATAGAAATCAACTTATTAAAAACCCCAAAAAAGCGACAAAACCCAGGTCCATACAAACTTCCAGCTAAATGCTGTAATATTCAGAGTTACTATAACCTGTACTTTCCTTCCACATTGTGTGAGAAAAGCAACCTTCACAAATCTCTACAAAGCCTACAAAAACTTTAGACCACATTACACCCAAACACTTTTAGTACTTGAAAAATCCATCTACCAGCTTTCTCTTGCTCCTTTCAAACGTCAGAGATCTCTACAAGCCTCGGTTAAGATTGTACCTAATTCAAACTTAGCAGATTTGGATATCTGACTTATTAATACATAACACAAAAGTCTTAATAAATAAATTTATCCCAAATTTTCTCTTACTTTGTCTGCTAAACATTTGAAGTGAAGGTCTTACTCTTCAATACATGATTACCTCCATGAAATAGTTGACTAGAGATGAACTGGAACTGTTCTTAAATGCTTGGCTAATCAGCAGTTTCTTCCTGTTGTTTATTTGATTCCAGTGTTTCCCATAGCTAATTTCCATCTGGGAGGAAAGCCAAGATGCACTTGTTTCATGTTTCAGGTTAACCTAAAGAACAAAAAAACACCTTCTTCCTGTAAACCAGGCTCTTTTACTCACTGCTGTTAAGTGTGTGTAGAAATAGTTCCAAGTAGCAAGCAAGACTAAAGCAGAAAGGGTTGCAAACTTTCCAAAGAGAAATCATATTCCATCAGAAGAAAGAAATTCAGTGTACAAAGCCCCAGACTATGGGCTTCCAGTCAAATTGATTTTCTCAAAAGCTAAGGCAACTGGACTCAGGTACTGGATGGACTGGCCCACAGGGATTCACTGGGCAGCTGCAAAGCCTGGCAAGATCCTCCTTATGGGAAACCCTAACACTTCCTGGCTTCAGTCCAATTTGGACCAAAAGCAAATCTGAAAGGATACAAAATTTCCCTTTAATTCAGAAGCTTATTCTTCAGCCAGCTCTCTGTTCTGAAGTAAATACCCAGTTTTCATGGTGATTTGCCTTTAAATTAACCTTTGTGCCGTCTGTAAAGGATGAAACTTTAAACATATCTGCTTTTCTGCATGAAAGGGATGCACACACTGAAATTTGTGAGAAAGCACACAAATCTGAACAAGAAAATTAATACAGAACATGTCTAAATGTCTTATTTGCCAGACATATAGCTTCTGAAGAATAAGCAAACTCACTTCTAGTTACAAGGGTAGAAACAAGATAAATCATAAACTTAAATTTTTCACACATTCTGCATTAATTGCAAATTAATACATTAACATCACTGGAGAGTTCCGCCACTTACAGCTGTAATGGACTGCATAAATTAGAAGCAAGTTACTGGACTGGCTATCTTTGTCTACGTAGAAAGCAAAGAGAAACACGATGAGTAGAAAAAGACTGATCCAAAAAAGGCATCTTGGGCATTGCTCTGTTTAAGCCCCTCTATGTGAGTTACACCAAGATACTTGGCACACAAGTACTAAGTGCTTCAGTCAGTATCTCTACCTTGTGATTATAGGTTGGAGTCTGCATACAGTGAAATTCATGCCCAATATCAAGTTCGTACACGCCATGTGCACCTGTCTCCACTTTCATCTTTTGCCGCACACTGCATTCATGATGAAGATTCTTTGCCTCTCCTGTTCAAGTTAAACCACAAAGTTACCTATTTAAATAAATCAAAAGTAAACTCTCAAAATGTTAATTGCATATATCTAGTTCTGGCTTCAAGGTTTCTGTTTTTTCAAAAACATTAAAGTGAGATGTGTCAATTTTTACAGGTATCTTTTCATTGATTTACCTTATGAATCCAAAGGAAAGCACACATTTAATGAATCTGCATTTAAGAACAGTTACTTTGTATTTGCTAAATAAGTGATTTACACCCATGAAAATGAAAACATTATTAGAGTAAAAAGTATAAGACAAGTAGATATTTAATTCATGTAAAAGGTCTGGCAGTCTAAAGGTGCTGACCAAAGTTTGTGCAGTTTGGTACCAATAATGGCATAACTGCATTAAAATGAAGTTCAGCTCAAGAATTACTTCCACTAACTGCTCAAGATCTAGACACATTTTACTACAGTGTTGTTGTCAAAACACTGTTTCTTAACACCTGAACTTATTAATAACTAAACTTAACCAATGAGTAGGATTACTTCTACAAGGGATCACTTGCTGACCACATCAGGCAGAAGAGATACCAAACTGGGTTTGCATATATATGGCTTAGGATCTAAGTATGCAAATTCATACTTGTATAGCTATAGCTATATATCATCCAATACTGTTGTATGTGTACAGGTATGTTTCTGTTTGTGTGTATAAAAAACTCTGATCAGCATGTCATTTTCTGCAAAATTATGGGCTCATACTGGTGTAGGTTTAAGAAAGCTTTACTACTTATATTGCTATAGGCTTTCTGAATGTGCAACATACTTTACACATACAACTACCCTACAATGTTTATCATGACTAGCTACTATAAGCATTCGATACCTTGATATAAGTACACTGATATTCACCTGCTTTGTCCAATAAAATTAATGCACAGTTCATACACTGCAGCTTGGAGGGCACAGCCCACTCTTTCCTACAAAGAGTCCCTCATTTTTTTTTTTTGTGTATGTATGCAACAATTCATTTTGTATTAACACTTGAGAACACAAATTAACTAGGAGCAATTCCCATTAAAAAAGCCAAGTATTGGACATGCTTGTGAAAAGCACATTAGAAAATTAATTCTCTTTTTTATATGCAGAATCAAAGAGTAAAGTTTATCCACGTGAAAAGAGAATCTCACCCTAGGCCTCAAATCACAGTTTAAAAATCAAGTGAAATCTTTCCTGTTAAGAGTGTCCCAATCATGCAGCCAAATAACTTGCAGAAAAATGACACAAACAGAATGCTTTTACTTTCCCTCTTTTTCACTGTACCTAGGAGTCCATATTTCATCCTCAAACCATGAGACCACAAGCCTTCAGTTTGCTTGAGAAGACTGATGACATGAACTCCAACAACACCTGGAAGGTAAGTCTCCCCTTCCAATGAGTACTGTCTCAGCTTATCATCAACCTTCTTCTCCAGAAACACTACAAAAAGAGTAGAAGTGATTACGCAGTGGTAGAACACAGAGTTAACTTTAACCAGAAAAGTAATGCTGCAGTGCGAAAAAACGAATGCATTCAGGCTCACCCTGTCTAATCCATGCTGTACTCCTTGTGTAGTAAACAAAAAGACAGAGCTGAATGTCCAGTGTCTTCCTCTGACTACGTATACAGCCTGTAAACCATATTTCTCAGCTACTGCTTAAAGTTTAGTGAAATGAATGCAGTCAAAGCTGCTTCTAAAAGGAAATAAAATCTAACAGACTGATCTTTTAATTAATTAAGGCCTAATAAATGAACATGTGCATATTTCCTTCTACACAGGTCAGAGCAAGGTTGTGGTTTTGTAACAGAATTGGTGCATTCTAGGTCTAGAAGAGTTTAAAATCAGACCAGATCAGACTGGCAATCCATGTGAAAGCTAAAGATGAAAATTTCACCTAAAGTTAACCTCGCATAAACCAAACTGATATTTTGAATTCCTTAAAAGCTAGTTTTACTTGGAAACATTGCATAATCCTATGACATCTCAATGTCTTTGCCACATGGAGACTAGAGTAAGAAATACTATGGAAAAAATGAGAGCCTTACATTAAATTATTGGTTTATTCCACTGTATTAATTTACCTTTAAAAAAAAATTACATCATACAAACAGTAAAGCCCTCTTTCTGATACTTTCATTTCCCTCTTAGTGTATTTGTAAGAAAAAAAAATTAAAGATTTTTAGAACAGGTTTAAGAGACATTTAGCTACATGTATGTCTCTGCAGTTTTGTACTAACAAAAGTGAAAATGAGAAAATATTTTAAGACCCGTTATTGTTTTGGCATTTTTTGTTAGGTGGGATTCCTTACATCTTATTTCCTCTACCCTCTTCCACAGTTATTAAAAAAAGACTTAAACAACAAGGTGTTTTACAATTCCTATTATCCTGAAATACGTATTCGTACAAATTTATGAAAGATAGTAATCTTAAAAGGCAGTTTTACCGATTTGAAAGGAGTTTTAGAAATGCATGTCCAAAACCAGGCAAACATAATATATAAGAGCTCCAGAACTTACATTTATATGGCAAATACTTATTGTCCTCTAACCTGAAAGAAATGCAGCATCCTTCAATAAATTATTCAGGGATACTGAAAAAGTTATCTTCTTGCCAAGTTGTTTAGTGATGTTTCCTGACAGAATGATAGGACTGCTTTCCTTTATCAGCTTTACCTCCAGCTGGGTCACATATCTCTGCTCTCCACCCAGCATCTGCAAATCTGTCATTCCCTACAATAAACAAACAAATAAAAAAACAAAACCAAAACCCAAGCCACTCAACAGTACAAACTGATTTGAGAAAACAACAGTATACACTTGGGCATTTCAGGAATGAGAGGAGGAAGAAAAGAGAGGTTTTTTCTATACACTCAACAACCCCCTCTTCTACCTCCCAAACTACAGAACTTATTGTAGGTAAATAATGGGGAGGAAGAATGGATGTGTTTTTCCAGTTACACAAAAATCACAGTGGTGTGAGATGCTATTTCCTTCACCTTTTGCTGGCTTCAGTAGTGACTGAAGTCATCAAGAATATTACGATACTGGGCCAAAAAGTAATATGGTGTTACTGAAAATACTGGCAGTCTCACAGAGGTAACTAGATTTAAGTTGGACTAGATGCAAACAATCTGAAATGCTAATTAGTGTTTGGGTTAATGAGAAACATCCAAAAAATCTTTGCTGAAATATTACTCTAGAAAAAAAAAACAAAAAACTTTTAAATAATGTGTTCACTGTAGGAAAATGCAGTGTTTGAAACTGACTGGCTTAGGAGGCCCTCATAAGACATGGCATCCTGCTATGGGTATCAACTGCATAATGAAAAAATTGTTCAAGTCCTGGAATAGAAACAAAAATGTCAGTAGAGTTTCAGTGACAAACTCCCACCTGCATTTTTATTTGCTTTTTAATTTCAGAGTTCAAATACTGTAATTCTCATGCTTACTACCCAGTGCTTTAAAAAGAAAATAACTTCCTGTGATATAAACAATAGTATCTTAGAGATTCCTACAATTGTAGAGTCCACACACGTGAAGAAATGGGCCTAGGCTTACTCAGAGTGTCTTTATGCATGGTCAGAACATGGCTCTGAAAAACTGTGTGCTCCATATGCACATAATGAGACCAATGTGATCTTCTCTACTGATGTAACACTGGAAGCAACCCAAGAGCTTTGAGTATATCTGAATGTGAAAAAATTGCTTTAGATTACTTGTAGAAGCCATGCCTTAAAAGCTTTTGAAACACAATTTAGCACTGAGTGTATCTCAAAAATATGTAATAAAGAGAACTGGTCGTTTCTCTGGTGGACTGCTGGCAGAACTATTTTTCAGTATGTGTAGTTTTCATTGCCTTTCTTTTCTGTGCTTTCATCTCACTATTCATCCTAGTACGAGAGTTCATGACTTGATAACGTACCTTAATGTAATATACATCTTGATCATCTACTATCAGCTCCAGGTGTCCAACTCGTGAACTTCTAGAAAACTCAATTCTCCCTTGGAGAAAAATAGAAGTGTTTACTTTTTCTGGACATGTACTGTTCAATGATGCTTCATAAAACTGCACCCAAGATGATAGCTGCCATGGTTGTGAACAATACGTTTACAGAGTGAAAACAAATATCAGAGCAAAGGAAAAAGTTAGGAATAGTTTGCAAAAATGTCCTCAGAGTACATATTTTGTTTTGAAAGGATATTTTGAGGACACCAATTGAAAAGAGGCAAAGAAGCTGTCTCCAACAAAACAGCTGAGCTCTCGAACGGATTTATACACTTCCTTTAGGCCTGTGCTGAAGTGTCATAAGCTTGGAACACTGCACGCAAAGCTTTGCACCATAAAGGTAAATCCTCCATGCAATCCATTTGAAAATAACCAAGGTAAAAAAAAAAAAAAAATCTGTAAGGACAAATTCTAACTATGTGATATGGTAGAATAAATCAAACCAAAATAGCACTTGACCAGCATGTCAGGGAAGTTGAAAGATGTAATTATGTTGTCATACCATTACCACATATTTATCAGTTTATATTTCATCAATGTATTTGCTTTTGTTCTATGTTACACTGTGATTGAAATGGTTTTTATTATAATGCATAAAAATATCATGGTCAGTACTTAATTGATTTGGCAGCAAGTAATTTCATACCATAACTAACAGTATACAGTAAACTAAAATTCAGCAATAGTAAAGCCAGTTCAGCTTATGTAAAAATTTACAGAACAATCCACTGTGCTCCTTAGCCTTAACTTCATCTATACTAGTATCAGCTTTCCTCTTTAACCTGGGCTTCTGAGCCAGGCACTGAACCTCTGACTGCGCAGAATAGTCTTAACCAAGATGCAAATACCACTGGGAATGGGGCGTTTCCTAAAGCAGTAAAATGACTGTCTATTACACAGTAATGTAGTTTTAGCACCGGATTATTGATTGAAACATATTGGCATTTCTCTTCTAATTCTAATGAAGTTCTAACTGACATTAACTGATGATCTGGTTCTCAGCTGAAAAACCTACCATCAATCGCAATTTTTTTCTTAGGTTGCATAAATTGGATTCTGAATTGCTTCTGTGGGACACTAAAATTTAGGTCAATGCCAACATCCCTTTTCAAGTCTGACTTTGGAGTCCCAATGAAGAGGTGAAGGACAGCTTCATTTGGGATCCATGAATTCTCCTGGAAGGAAAAAAGGATAACTGCATTTGCAATTGGCAAAGCATTCACAAACCAATATATCACACTGAGTTACACGATAGGATCACAGCCACCTTCACTGCTACAATTTTTCACCTATCTGCTTTTCAAAATTTCCCCCCCCAGAAAATCTGTTTTTTTCCATTCCCTGTCCAATGCTTGTCTCAGAAAATCTTACCTAAACACCTTTCATTTCACAGCATACCCACCTTCTCTTGAAATTGTGCTGAATCCTGCCAAATGGAAAATCAGATCACCCTTCCAGTTACAAATTCAAGCTGTTATCACTCAGGCCTAAGTGACTACAGGTTGGCAGAGTTGCCTTAAGCCCTTACATTCTGGCGTCAGCAGTGGGATATGGTGCACAGCGCCATGACCCTGCAGTGGGTGCCTTAGGTGCCAATTTGCAGCTTGCCCTGCCTACAGACGTCAGATTCTCTGGCAGGGGAAAATACCTGTTCCCTTTCCTGCTTTTATTAGAGATAGTCAAGAAAACAACACCACAAAGGAAAACTTACTCTGCTTATTGCTGTTATCTTGCTGTCTTACAGATACCGAGCAGTGATCAAATATAACCAAAGCCCAAATTATCTCCCAGTAAAAAGACTTAGCTTAAGCTCAGCGGCATACTTGGTCTGTGACAGAAGGTGAGACACCACCCATCTTAAATACCTATACTATCATTTTAGAAAAAGCCATGAATTCTAATTGTCCTCTGAAGAAGCTGAAAGCCATTCCTTCCCCAGGATTGCCTAAACATGTTAAGAAACTGACAGCCTTCTGGAGTGGATTTACTGGAGCCTAACTTCTGCTTTTGAATAATGTGCTTAATGTAAACAAACAATTTGGGGTTTGAGGTTTTTTTGTCACAAACAGAAACAAGTCATTGAAGTGAGGCCAGGTTGTCTAGTACTGGGCACCAAGTCAGAAATCCTGGTCTCTAATTCCAGCACTATCACTCTTACCTAACAAAATGGCTTAATACTCATGTGTGCAGGTTTGTATATGGAAATACACACCCATATATGTATTCACATGTGTGATTTCATATATATTTTCCCACTATAATGGGAATAGAAATAATAACAATGTAGACCCTGAAAGCCAGTTAAGCTGAGTATGTGGTACTGAGATACATCATTCTTTCATCAGCATAATAAACTAAACCAAAGTAAAGCATGCCATAATGGTACCTGAGCAATATAGTTATATGCAGCTTCCACAATGTACTGCTGCAGGCCTCTGTCTTGCTTAGTTAATGTGACAGCCACTCTCAAAGGTCCAGTAAGAGGGAAAACCAAACCACTGGCTGCGGCAGGATATGACATTTCAGAACACAGCTGCCAGCCAATAATCTTAGACACTGGTGGAAGACAACAGTTGACCATTCAGTTAGAACAACAAAGAAAACATGCAAATGAACTTTGCACTGAAGACATTAGAATTAGTATGCAAACAAGAACTTTTACTAAACAAAATGATCTGTTATGAATATTTCAGAATGATAAAGCTTTCTAAGACAAACATAGTATCTATCTATCTAGACTCACCTTCCTCTCTAGTGCAAGATCTGGTTTCTGTGTGGTGCTGGAAAACATCTGTATCTTCCATCTCGTCCACCATTTTGAAGTATAGCTTAGAGCTACAACCAAGAATTTCAGTCAGTCACCTTAAAACAATTATGCTAAAGTTACTGCAATATTTAAACAAAATTCTCAGTTATATGCCCCCTTCTCCCAAATGGGAAAACAAGAAAGATAAAGTTCTGCTAAGATCAGTCTACATTTCTACTAATTAGCACTGATTTTTACCCACAATTTTCCATGTTCAATCTGTCACTACCTTGAGATTCCTCCGCAGTTCTTCACAGCCAAAATTAGATTTCTCTGTTTTGTGCAATTTGTATGGTCATCTTATTGCAACTCCACTCACTTCCTGGCTTCTAGACTTTATTCCCTTCCCCCACCCCATCCCACCTTAGGCTATGTATGGACATTAGTTCTGTCTTAGTCTCGAAGTTCTTCCAGAACATCACTAAACTGCTCATACAAGAATCATGGTGTCTGCACTTGATGGGAGCAAGAGAGTTAAGGCAGCATCTCATAGACTCTACAGTCAGTCTTTTGTTCAAATAATACACAATACCGGTCTGTAATTACTTGGACTTTCACTTTGGCCTGTTATCCATCCTGGCTGACAGAAACAGAACTATGTTAGTAATTTCCCAGACTCCTAAGGGAATGGATGGTTAAAATGTGAAGTCTAGAGCATTTTAGCTCTTTTCTGAGCTGCATATCCTATGGTACCACAATGTCCAAAATTAAGGAATGACAATCCACATACTATAAATACTTCATTCATCTGTTGTCATGTCTAAAAGGCATGTAGTTGACATATCATTTACAATATGTGCCTTCTACCTGGACTTCTATCAAATCTAAGAGTTCAAAGAAAAGAGAAAGCCAGCAGAAAAAAAAATAAGCCCAAAAGCCTCACTTGCATTAACGCAATTAATCTGCTTAACATCTGACAGCTGTTGAGGTGGTGTTTCATAATGTAAATATTGTAATATTAAATATTAATATTTAATATTAAATAACCTAACTAAAAATTCACCAGAAGGTTATGAGCATACCTTGCTAGCACTATACTCCAAATAACTCCAGTGTCTTGCTAAATACCGTTCTGCACCCATTTTCACTAAATACCATCAGCTTTTCCTCCACAACTTTAATACACTAAACTAGATTCTTTGGACACTAAAAGTTCCAGAAACAGCACTGATATTAGGTAGGAAAAAACAGGGGAGTATGAAAACTTCATTTACACCTTTTATTATCAGGCTCTGATTCAAAAATACGTTTTTATGGTAAAACAATGTAAAATGCACAGAATAATTTTCCCTTTTCTTCTGGACTGTAAGTCAGACTGAAACAGTTTGTTTTCTGACAAAATATATTTCCACTCTACTAATGAGCCTGCCAGTTACATTCTGATTCAAGGAAGTTATCACAGTTACTAAGAAGTCCTTGCTTAATCTTACCTGAAATTCATTATCTCCATAGATTCTTCTGGAGTGTTCAAAAAAACTTTGAGCTCTTGCCCTTTTTTTACCTGGATTCCCCCATCAAGACTAGAAGATGTCCTCATTCCTATTACCCAGTTTAGGCCAGCTTGTCCCAGAATCCCCACAGTTCCCATTTGAGCAGAAAGCTGGACAAATGCACTGTTAAAAGATTCAGATACATATTATTCTATGAAAAGCAGTTTCTTTTTAAAGCACTTAATTTAAACCATAGGTTGTTCATTCTCCTCTATAAATACAAAGCACTTGATGCTGTAACACAGTATATTCTAACATTAAAATCATGACTATTTTGTTTCAGGAAACAACTGAAAAAATTGTAGGTACACAAATATACACCTTCTAACGTGACTTAAAGTATAGTTTTACTGTATCTCCTAAGGGATTCAGCATGAAATATCAGGAAAGGGAAAGTGATGCAGACTGAGTGCAACTTTATCTCTGTCTATATCATGGTGTAAGTTTATTTCTGTCTATACAGCACCTAGTGAAGTTTAGCAAATGTATTCAGTATGTATAAAAAACTAAAATAGAAAGGCAAGGGTTAAATCACCCATTGGTTGTAGATAACCTGTAACTACATGTCTGATCCTGAGAAAAATCCAAAATGTTATCCCTGGAACAGGTGAAATATTCAAAACATCATCTGCATGCCCGCATTTAGGAATCTGATTTAGAGATAATGAGGAACGGTCAGCTCAAAACAGTACTGGAAAAGCACAGCAATAGAGTTCAAAATCAAATAGGCAGGATAAGAAACCACTGTTATCCTTATAGTATAGCAGCAATTCCATAACATAATGCTGACGACTGCTTGAGTTCTTCAGGAATCTCCTAGTCAATCACCACAAACATTCACACAAAACTTTCACATCAGGAACTGCTACTTGACAGACATCAGGAATATGTGAAAGTGGCATATTTGAAGCAGTTATTACCTTGGCTTGATATACCCACTTAGAAAGAAATTTGACTGTTGTTTGAAATCCGCATTCCCTTTGATTTTTATGTTCACTGCTGCTGAGGCATTGACTGCCAGCTGAACAGGAAAGCCTGAAATTGCTGGGAATTGCAATCCTTCAGTGGCCAAACTCATCCTTTTATTAAACTGGACCTCTTGCCCCTACAGTGAAAAAACCCAAACTAACAAATGTCAAAATTTTACTTTGCATAGTAAAGTCAGCATTCAAGCATTTTTCCACATATAACTCTCCACTGCATTTGCTTGCTGTGAAAGTGGGTTTTTAATTGAGCTGATTTGGGAAATAAGGTAGAAAGCAGCCTAAAGCTTGCATCTGGTCAGGGCATGAGTTAGACATTAGTCCTAACCCAGTTAAAGAAAAAATTATTTGAATGAGAAGGATTTGAATGAGAAGTAAGAACAACAGAACAAGCTCTTGCCTAATGTATTGTATAAACATTATCTAAACAACAATGTTTAAGACAAATATATACTGGTGTCTTTTAGAGTTCAATTTAGGGAAACAGTAACTAATATTTTGTATCTTTTACATATCTGTAAGAAAGTAGTTTCTCAAGGCATTTACTTTCAATAGAAGAAAGGTTCATATTACCTTCAGAAGTTTGACAGCCAACGCAGCCAGATTTAAAGAATAATGTTTCCTTTTTTTTCTTAAATCTTCACAATTCCAGAAGCTAAGTTCATTTCCAAAGATTTTCATGCTTAGCTCACATTTCAGTGCCTCCTTTCCCATCCTTGTCTCAGTAAACTGACATGTCATGAAGAAATAAATCAGGAAGAGAATTATGTTTATATTAATTTCCTTTCAAAGACATAATAAACAATTCCTCAGTGCAGGTTATGCTCTTACTAAACAGTCATCAGGCTCCCTTTTATAAATATTTCAAGACCACTTAAGACCCTAGATTAGTACCTGTTCTTCCCAGCTAAACTTCACCTCCATACTGCACAAGCTGACTTTCACTGTGAACACAGGTAATGTCTAGCCCTAAGGTGAATGAGCAAAAGAAGTATTGCAATATATACCCAAAACCAGATGAGGCTTTGAAAAACACAATCTCAAATAATACAGCATTATGGATGCCGTAATTGCTAAATAAGCTGCTAAGAAGTAAAAAAGTTTACATTTTCCCTTTTTATGAACCAATAAAAGAGCAACAAAACATGAACATGAGCTTACACAGTAGTAAGAAACTCCCAGAGTCCCAAGAAGAGAGATGTTTTAAGACTAAATAAATCATGGTCCCCAAGTTTTCCAGGTAATATATCAACAACTGAAGTCAATTCCCAAAGCTTTCCTGTTACATACATAAAACATAACTTTCTCCAAACAAATTCACAAAGGCTCAATGTGACATCTGACATCAAACTGGGAAGTCAGACTGCAAACAGCATGACTCAAGAACTTAACATCAGCAGCTGTTTATAGTGCTACAGAAGTCAACAGATGAAAGCACATCAGTATAAAGAGAATCAGAGCTCAAAACAACAAGAGGAAACTCAAAGTACAGGCAACACATTCCCCTGCATGAGAGTCATTGTTTTGAGACAATAAATCTCAAAAAACTTAAGATCTGACTCTTTGTTGATCTGTAGGGTTTAAGTTCTATGCAACAGGTTACATACACTTTATGCACAACAGTCAGTAGCACAGAACAGCTGTCCAATCCTAGATGGGGCCCTAAGTTTAACTGGGGAAAATCATTAATTTTTCCAAGTGTCAGTACCTTTTTGACTATCTCACTCATCTTACTGTACTTTCTACTAGGACAATTCTGGTTAGCTTTCCTCAACTTTGGCTTGCCAGACTTGGTCACAAGATGATCAGTGGAGCCATACTGCTTCAAAGTCAGCTTCCTCTGCTTGACTTTTCCTGTTGTTTTCACTGGATTTTCTGATTTGTGGTTTCTTTCATTAGTGTTTGCAAAAAAGTAGTCACTGAAAGTAGCAGATTTCTGCCCAAAGGTCTTCTGCACGAGAGCTTCAGCATTCTCTAATCGTACACCAATCTAGGGGAAAGTACATGTCAGTGAAAAGCCTGACAGTGATATGCATAAGCTACATCCAGCACTACAGGCAAAAAATTAACAAAATATAACCAGATGCAACCTTTAGGTTTTTGTACAAAGGAAGATTTGTCATACAAGTTTGAGCTACTGCTATTTTCACATGTTACAAACAGTATTTTGGTTGGAAAACAGTAACATACCCTTTCAATGCTCCTGAAATAAGATCTGTTTGGAAGTTTGTCTAAAATAGTATCACTAACGCATAAATTCAGGGTATATGATGCTGAAAAAATATTTTGTTCCTTTGATAGTGTACCCAAACCAATCCATCTTCCACTGTAAGTGGTAAAACAGAAACTGTAATACTGTTAACAGAACTATTTTCCCACTGTAAATGGAAATTTTTTCTTTTTACTTTAATACACCAAGTATCCCTTGAGGAGGGAGACTAAAACCAAAACCAAACCAAAAATCCATAAACTTGCCTCCAGCAGATTTACAGCCTGCCCCATAAGGTGAACAGTCAAATTTGTCATGACTGATCGTGGTAGAAAAGATGCAGGAGAAAAGACCACTGATGCTTCCATATTTGCACCTGCACCAGCTGCAACAGAAAATATCAGATGCCTGTCATTTGGAGATCATCTGTTCTCATATACTTTGCAAATCTCATCATTCTTTGGCAAACTGCGACTCTGCTCATTAAGAAGATGGTGAATAAAACATTAAGTCAACAGGTGAAGTGGTTTAACTTTTTAGTATAATAAAGACTTTAATGGACATTACTGAAAGTCTATCGTTTGGAAAACACTAAAAGAGCATTTACAGTATGTGTATTACACAATTGCATTGGAAGAGATAGACAGAAAATCAAAACATTACTCTGAAAAACATTATCTAGCATTTTTGCTAAAAGCAAATGAGGAACAGATAGCAAGACTGGAAGGAATTAGTCTGTATCATTTCATACACCAAGGAAACAGCATAAATCAGAAGAAAAAATACATCCCAATCCCCTGTTGCAGCAAAGGAAGCTCACTAAGGAAGGAGTCAAAGTTGATATTCACAAAAATAATCTAAAAAGTTCACTGCTTCTTACTCTCTCTCTCACTAAAGGCAAGCTGCATGGTATCTGGCTTGCTGGAATTACACTGGATATACTTCAATTAAGGTCAGATCAGAATCAGCCTACGTTGGGTACTATTAAGCCATAAAAAAAGAAAATTCTCTGGAACAAGATGTAAAGGACCAGAAACCATGCGAGGTTTTAACAATCCATATGCTACAAAGCATTACCGGAGTGGAATGTGGCATCAGAATATGAGGAGTATTTCCATGTCTCCCGATCAAAATCTCTGCTCAGGATTTCATCAGGAATAGAATCTCGAAGGTGCTCCTTCAGTGGGTCATCTGTCTCCAGGAGCTGAGAGAGATGACTCCAAACAAAGGAGCCCACTTAAATCAAACAAAGAAAAGCATTTTAAATTAGAGAAAAACTAAAACAGTTTTAAGAACTGATACAGGGAACCTTCTTATTTATTTATAGAAAAATTAATCCTAAACCATTCCCCTGGCCACAACAGAATTCATTCATTTTCAGCACCATTCAAATCAGTCTGACACACCTCTCTTTACCATGGTCAACTTATTGAAATACTGTCTCATTCTGTCCAATACAGCATGTGAGAGGCCATTCACTGCCCAGTTTCATTTATGCTTCTCAGCTAACCTAAGCAGGCAAGAAGGTAAGGTTAACCTACTGACTCACTGTTTGCAAAGGATCTTCTATACTAAACTCAAAGGAATGTTGGAAAAAAGAGATACAACTCTAATACAGACATGAAGGACCAAGCTGTGCAGCTCAAATAATATTGGTCTGTTCCTGTTCCTTCTTCAAAGAACAGATGCAACAGAATTATTTAGAAGATGGTTTTAAACTTCAACTTTGGCAGAATCACTCATTTTGTTCTTGAAAAAATCACTGACCCAGCATACTGAAATATTAAAAAAAGTATTTAAGTCTGGGATTGACTGCAAGCGTATGAAAACCTTAAAATACAAAAACACTAACCTTAAAAACTATAAGCAGGAATAAACAAAGCCCTTTAAAGGCAAGCATTGAGCAACTTTAAATACAGGGATGGCTACTAACCAGACACCCTGCACAAACACTGGCAATGACACTGGTGAACTTGTAAGGGAAAACTGGCAAGTTTCTTCACATACAGCAAACTCACCACTCCTATACAAAGAATCTTTCTATGCTGTGCAATGTACAACAGTAAAAAAAAAAAGCTCATACAGTTAAACAGCTGGGATTCAAAATTAGTATTTCTGCATGACACTATACTGATTCATGGTCTAGCCATATATGTGCTGCATGGGGGGGGGACAAACAGATTCCATGTGTTCTGGAGTCTGGTTCTTAAACAGAGGCGCTTTTTTCTCCTGCAGATATAAGAGACATTAGGCTCCAGTGCTAGTGCAATGTACGACCCTGAACACTGACAGAACTACATTTTTCACAATACAACTTCTTTTTTTCATATTGCTTTTTCTGAATGTGGCAACTAAAAACTAGTATGTGCTCTATGCCTTCAAAGCACTTGCTAATCAAAAGCCTATTACATGAATTATTTAGGTGTTACATCAACCAAAGTCAAAGGAAGGAAAAGAATGAAATTCAGAAGTACTGCATTAAATTGTTTAAAACATAAAACCTTTTGGATGGACTTGCAGAGCTCCTTCATAAATCAGACAATTCGTTTTTTCTGCATGGAGCCATGGGCAGAAGGGTCACTGACGGTAGACCTTGACAGTATTTTGGAGGATGATGCAATTTGTCTCTGTCTGAACTCTAAACACAGTTGAACAAGTCAACTCTCAACCACTAGACACATCATCACGTGAACAAAATGCTGGGCCTGAACTCAATCATTGCAGAATACACCTGCCTGGATATAAAACTTCTGATAAAACAGATAGGATACACTGCTTCAAGTTCAGAGCTGGGTATGATCCAGATGTAGAGTACAGACAGAGCCTGCTTTCACCTGCCTGCAACCAACCTTATATATACCCCTTTCATATTTGCTCCTTCCTGACAGATTTAAAAGCAAAGAATTAGTCCAGAGGTATTCTTTGTTGAATGTGGCAAAACCATTTAGAAAAAAAATCCCTGCTTCATCCAAATAATGGGATCATCTTAAAACTCTGTGTGCTCTGGTAATGAAGAGCTGATAGGATTCTGTGCTCTTACAGAACTTACAGTTTCATTTTGTACCAGCCCAAACAGCTTCTCCTTTGGGTAAGCTACCTCATAAAATATATTTTTATGCATAGTATAGAAGATTTTCTACTCAGCTTCAGTTCCCGGTTCAGTAAACAATAATTTAGGTAAAACAATAATTGATCATGGAACCACAGAAGCAGGAAGCATAACTCAGAAGAAACTATCAAGACATTATACTCACACTAACCTTTTCCCCAGATGACTGCTAGACTGTTGGCCAGCTATCATACATTTGGATACATGATTAACACTCCTAAAAGTCCTTTTCACAACATTCCTAACACAGCATGTGCTAGTATCCAAGTTTTACTTTTTCCCTGTGTTACAAACAGGTTTTTGATGCCATTTGTTTGCCATTAGATCCACAGTTCTCCAACTGTGATCCTTAGAGGACTCTCAATTGACCCGAAGAACCGATTCTAGCTCAGTGACAAAGCACCTCCCACTTAGCCTTGATGCTAACAGCAGGAAGCCTGAAAGTTCCTAGATGTCTGAAATAATCTAAATGAAAATCAACAGGCCTTCCTTTGCAGTCGTCAGATCTACTCAGTTTTTGTCTCATGCTATTTTTAAAATACTGTGCTCAATATTAAAATGACATCAAAATTGATGTAAAATAACTGCAAAAGAGCAATAAGAAGGAAGCGCAGCAGGAGGGCCAGGAGACCTCCTTGGATGGATAAGGAGCTCCTGAGGAAAATTCAAATGAAAAAAAGAGGCTTATAATAAGTGGAAGCAAGGACAGGTGGCACGGGAAGAGTACAGGGATGTTGTCTGGGAAGCTAGGGACCAGGTTAGGAAAGCTAAAGCCCAGTTAGAATTAAACTTAGCTAGAGGTATTAAAGATAACAGGAAGGGATTCTACAGGTACATAGCAAATAAGAAACAGACTAGGGAGAATGTAGGCCCCCTCAGGAAGCTCTCAGGAGAACTGGCTACCCTGGATTTGGAGAAGGCTGAGGTTCTGAATGACTTCTTTGCCTCGGTCTTCACTGGCAAAGGCTCTGACCACACCACCCAAGTCTTGGAAGGTAGATGCAGGGACTGTGAGAATGAAGACCTTGCGCCCACTGTAGGAGAGGATCTGGTTCGAGACCATCTTAAAAATCTGAATGTGCACAAGTCCATGGGACCTGATGAGATCCATCCATGGGTCCTGAAGGAGCTGGCAAATGAAGTTGCGAAGCCGCTGGCCATCATATTTGAAAAATCATGGCAGTCAGGTGAAGTTCCCGATGACTGGAAAAAGGGAAATATAACCCCCATTTTCAAGAAGGGGAAAATGGATGACCCGGGGAATTACACACCAGTCAGTCTCACCTCTGTGCCTGGCAAAATCTTGGAGCAGATTCTCCTGGAAGGCATGCTAAGGTACATGAAAAACAACAAGGTGCATGGTGACAGCCAGCATGGCTTCGCTAAGGGGAAATCCTGCCTCACCAATTTGGTGGCCTTCTATGATGGGGCTACAGAACTGATGGACAGGGGTAGAGCAGTTGATGTCATCTACCTGGACTTGTGTAAAGCGTTCGACACTGTCCCACACAACATCCAGAGGGACCTTGACACACTTCTGAGGTGGGCTGATGCCAACCTCATGAAGTTTAACCATGCCAAGTGCAAGGTCCTACACCTGGATTGGAGCAATCCCAGGCACAGTTACAGGTTGGGCAGAGAAGAGATTCAGAGCAGCCCTGCAGAAAAGGACTTGGGAGTGTTGGTTGATGATAAAATGAACATGAGCCGGCTTCAGTGTGCGCTTGCAGCCCAGAAAGCCAACCGTATCCTGGGCTGCATCAAAAGGAGCGTGGCCAGAAGGTCGAAGGAGGTGATCCTGCCCCTCTACTCTGCTCTCGTGAGACCTCACCTGGAGTATTGTGTGCAGTTCTGCTGTCCTCAACATAAAAAGGACATGGAACTGCTGGAACAAGTCCAGAGAAGGGCCATGAGGGTGATCAGGGGGCTGGAGCACCTCACGTATGAAGACAGGCTGAGAAAGTTGGGGCTGTTCAGCCTGGAGAAGAGAAGGCTGCATGGAGACCTCATAGCAGGCTTCCAGTATCTTGAAGGGGGCCTATATAGGGATGCTGGAGAGGGACTCTTCATTAGAGACTGTAGTGACAGGACAAGGGGTAACGGGTTAAAACTTAAACAGGGGAAGTTTAGATTGGATATAAGAAGGAAATTCTTTCCTGTTAGGGTGGTGAGGCACTGGAATGGGTTGCCCAGGGAGGTTGTGAATGCTCCATCCCTGGCAGTGTTCAAGACGAGGCCTTGGGTGATATGATTTAGCGTAAGGTGTCCCTGCCCACGGCAGGGGGGTTGGAACTAGATTATCTTAAGGTCCTTTCCAACCCTAACTATTCTATGATTCTATTCTAAATGAGAAATAGCTTACTTTATATCTGCAGCTTGCAATATTCTTTTCTGCTACTTGCTTCTTTCTCAAACAAATGTAATTTGCAGTTACTCATTTGTATTTCCAATGCACTAAACATCAAAGACATTCCATACATCTATTTGTCAAGAGTTCTCAGCTAATTCAATGTTGCCACTAGAGGGACCTAATTCTATGAAGTGTCACTCCTTACTGACTATTGCGAAAATAACAGTATCAAGACTGCAAAACAAACTGTGGCAATCATACAATCTTTTGCAAACAATCTCAAAGTAAAAAATAAAAATATTATATAAAAAATATAAAATTGATATAATTTATATAATTTGTTTAAATATTCATATAGATTGGTACCATTACACCTGTAAAGTAAATGTTACATTAAAGTATCCTTTAGGAATGTGCAAGACTTCAGTAGCCCTTTGGCTAACCTTGACTGGATGTTTCTTTCAGCAAAGTCTTTTGTACTTGTTTAAATAACTCTCCATGAGGACATTTCATTGCTATATAATAGGCAGCAATCCTTATTTCCACATCTTCACTGGTTTCTTGATACAGCCGAACTAATACAGTATCCTAAGAGAGAAAGATAACAAAAAAAAAAAAAAATTATGATTTACTCTCCTAAAACACCCCATGTATGCACATTCAAGTACAGGTGGGTTTTCTTTTTGCAACACACAGTTACTGCTTTATACCTGAAAAAGTAATTTAAAATAACATATATACAAATGTGCATACGTATTCTCTATACTACCTTACCTACAAATCTTCAGAACAGTGTCATTATGACCTGAATCCTATCCCTAATTTATAATACACCAATTTATAATATTTTATAATATATAATAACTGTATAATATATACAGGACTATGCAATACAGAGGCTCACTCACTAGCACTACTGTTAATGATGCTTTTATAGACCACAGGAGAGATCTGCTCTATTGTATTTAACAAATGTACCACAGCTAATAAAGACAACAATGGCTACATTTTTGTCACCAGGCTATTAGATTACTTCTGGTCTCAAAGGGTAGGACTGTTACGAATTTGTTCTGTTTATTACTTCCCTGGTATCAACAAATACAAGTTGTTTTGTGAACTGCCAGGAATCAAGACATTGGTGACTGGTGTTAATAACATTTAACACTCCCTGTTCTCCCACACTGTGTCAGTTTAGCAGTTCATTTGCTAGACAATGATGGGGTATATGACAACATATAGACTTCATAATTTAACAGGTCCCAGAAGCAACATTGAGCTTCATAACTACAGAACAAGCAGGTTACACCAGTCCATGCTGTGATTAAATTTTAAAAAGCCAGAGAAAATGCTTCTCCAAGTAAAGTCCATGTAGAACCTCTTGTTCTTCTGGAGCAGGACTGCCAACTTTCCCAGGCTAACACTCCTGGATTTGCATTTAATAGAAGAAAACACAAAAAAAACCCAAAGTTTTGTGGTTTCTTCCATGAGACCATTAACAGAATATACCAACTATAAGTGTATTCCCAATCACAAGCTTCTCACATTGACACTTAGCATTTCAGAGGATACAGTGGAACAGACTACAGGAAAAATCAAGTACTGTGGGTTTTCAGCCATAACCCAGACAACTGAAGTAACTTCTTAAGAAGTCATGAACATTATCTCAGTCACTGGATGTGTTACCTCAACTATAGTAAAGCATATTATACGACCATTCACCAGGGTGGTACTACCAACCTCTCCAAAAGCAGAGGAACTCTGCTGGAAGACATGTTTATGACTGTTCCTTGTTTGCTTGAACTGTTCCTTGTTTGCTTGAATGTTTTGTAAGTATTCCAGAAAGTCAAAACTCTAGGGCAGTGCCAGGAAGCCATCAGTCACCTGCTGGCAATAAATCACTTACCCTGCCAGAACAAGGAATGCGCCTGAAGGCCTGGATAGCAGCTAAACGAATGTCGACTGGATTGCTTTTCAGGGAAGCACACAAGCTCAGAGCAGGAGCTAGTGAAGCTGCTGCCAGGCCTGCGTTTCCAATGGCTTTTAACACCAGCTGCATCTGTAAATACAAAGCAAGTTGGAATAAAAAGTTCTTTAAATGCTGTCAGCTGTATGTGAGATTTTATTGCATTAACATTTTCTGTGCAAATTCTCTGTTTAAAATGATCACTGATCATTTGGGGGGAGTACTGAAGCCCCTATTGAACCAGCTATTCTCCAGCTGTAGTGTGAGGACAAGACTTATATGAATACGGACAGCCGTTTTAAAGCCATGTAGCACTTGTAAGTAAAATCTGGCTTAGACCTGGAGAAAAAAAAAAAACATTTAAAAAAAGCTTCACTGCAATGGAAAAGCTTAAGTCATGGATTTGATGTACAGTAAAAGTTTTTCAATTACTTTAATACTTTGTCCCTTTTGATCACAGACATTTTGACTTTTTAGTTATTCAATATGGAGTTCTGAACACAATAACCAGTTTTAAAAAGTGATTTGTCAGTAGATGCCATAGTTTTCTTTGCTAAACACACAGGAACCTTGTGCAGCCTTAGAAGCCAGAAAACATGCTACTGCTGGCAATCAATGAATTTTTAATTAAAAGCTCTGTATTAACATTCAGAACCCAGAGATTTCCAATGCAATATGGTGGCTGATTTCCCTTGTACTGACAGTCCCATAGAAACAACTACAACTTCACTAAAGCCAGTACAGTTAAGATGTCCAAAAAACCTTCCACAACTCCCATTCACAGCTGGTTTGAGACATCAGGTGGGAAGTCTCTCCTCTTCTGCTCTGCATATTCAGTAATGTTGTCATAGCCATCTGGTACACTGCCACTGTTTTCTAAGCATGACAGTAAGAAGCGGTTCTTTAAGCAGATCATCAGACAGAAGATACAAAGATACTTCTTCAGCAGCAAGTATCAGTTAAAGTCTCCCAGTATCATGACTATGTTACCTCAGTAACACTAACTCAGCAGAACTTACTGGCCAGCAATATCATCCAACACTAACTGTACATGAATTTGAGGCAATAAAGGAATAGCTGATCAGCAGTATGAAGTTTCCTTCATCACAAGACCCAAACTTTTCCTTACTTAAATACAGAAGAACACACATGCTGCTGGTTATACTTGATAGCTTACAAAATTTTATTTGCCTATTTGACCAAAGAATATTAATTTATAAAGCTTGCATTCATGGCTTTTGGGAAATCCACTCAATGTCTTTTTCATCAAACAAGTTCTAGGTCATAAAGGGAACAGGAAAGTGAAGTACTGTATCATATGCTTCTGACTGATACCTTGCTGAGTTGTTCTGTATCTTGCACGGTACAATTTCCTCCCAAAAATTTCCCAAGAGTCCTCATCACACTCTGCACAGCAGGTACACCATCACAGGAGTTGTAAGCTGAACAAAATCTGTGTAAGAGAGCAGTTACTCCTAAGAAACAGCTCTGGCTTGCTCCTGGTGACTTTAGCAATGGCTGGAAACAAGCACAAAAAGAACAGGGTGCTTCAGGGAAGTCATTCTCATGATTACTGTAACACATGATAGAAAACAAATGTACCAAAATATTTACATACTACCTCAATCTCAACAACGCGCATTTTCAAACAGCTCTTAAAGGATTTAAACAGATATACAATGTGAAGTTTTTCTATCTTCCTATGTAAACACATGGGCTATTTTAGTGCCAACACAATACAGACCTCAGTTCTTTCCACAAGAAATCATGCCCTGCGTGCTTAGGATATGGAGTAAACAAATCTAAACCATTTTCCAGGACCCTCAAAAGAGTAAAACCCTCACCAGCACAGAGTTTCTCTAAGTCCTACCTCATTACTTAGCAAAAAGCACTGACAGCTCAGAAAGTTACAGGTATTTTACCCATTTTTAGAATGAAAATCAGTTTTTCTGTCCCATAAATCTGCAAATTCCACATTTCTGCATCCTCTGAAGCAAGCCTGTTACTGCTGAAAATCCCACCACTTCAAAAAGCATTTGCGAACCTGTGGAAAGCCTGCTAACACTGAGAGCTGGTATTCGTAATCCTGATCAGAACCTGTATGATTGGGCACAGGAGCTGTGATATACGCTGCAAGATTGTTCATGGCCATTCATTAGAACACAAGCCAAGCAGGCATAACATTTGACTTAACTAAAAAATATTCTTAAGGCTTATCCTACAAGACTATCTCTGATTTTACCACCTGGAACATAGCAAGTCCAACTTCAGCCTCTAAGAGCATGATAGATTGCCCTGTACAAACTCAGCAGAACCACAGATTTTTAAAGGAAAAATAAACGGAAAAATGGAGCCAGTATTAACTCTCCATACAATTGACTTAGTTAAGGAAAAATGTCAAAAGCTGCAATAGCACTGTGTCTCCATACAATTGACTTAGTTAAGGAAAAGTGTCAAAAGCTGCAATAGCACTGCATATACAAAAGACGTCATGCCCAGGAAATGTTCTGGGAGACGGCAGGTACTAAATACAGAAGTATTCTCTTCCCTTGTTATTTCCTTTATCATTATTATCATTGGTGGTAGCAGTAGTGACTGTGTTATACCTTAGTTACTAAACTGTTCTTATCAAAGTTGCATTCTATTCTCCTCTCCGTCCCTCCGAGAGCAGGGGGAGGGCAAGAAAAGGGGGGGAAGTGAGCGAACGAATTACCTGACTGGGTTTAAACCACGACACACTGCATATACAAAAGACTGAAATGTCTCCAGGTACTAAATACAAAGCAACATACCAAACTGGAGAATAAAGCTCTATCCAAAGCAGGGAGAAGATGCAACAGCATCAGTCTCCTCACATTGACCTGACTTTGACCCTCACAACCAATTAGCCCAAACCAGTCTCTGGAATCCACAGGGTAGGGTTTTTTTCAGAAGTCTTTTTTCTTAAATGCAAATTAAACTCCAGTCGCCAAACATGACTGCATCCTCTTTTGAAATCAAGATTAAAACAGACAGTAGTTTCATCACCAAAATTACCTAGTCATTTTGGTAAAGTTTTGGATAAATCTGTGAAAAAAACTACTAATGTAAAACACAAAAATTACAAGCCAGCTAGACCAATGATAAGAAAGAAAAAACAATATCCACTCACAGCAAAAGATTCAATCATGCCTGAGGTGGGTTTAGGAATGAATGACAAAGACCAGAAGAAATACTCCTTTTTGTCTTCCTCGACTTCTCCAGAAGCTATGATTTCTTTCATTAGGATAACACATGCTTCTGTAGCACAAGATGGGAGAGCATCTATTAGTGGCTGCCTGTAACACAAGAAAAAAGTACAGCAGTGACCAGAATACTCAGGAATCAAACAACAGACACTCTGAGACTGGGCTTATTTCAAAGTAAATACAAGTCCACCGGTTTAGCAAATGCCAGATTCTGCAGAAATCAGTATTACCCTTTGGTTTAGTGATAGTAAGTATATATGCCTCAGCCAAGATGTCAAGAAGTGTATTGTTGTTTCAAGAACTGCAGGTAGCCAGGCTTTCAAGAAAATTTTCAGCTGCCTTCTCTGAAAATGAAGCCACAACATATCCCAGGTATGACATCTAAAGACTGAGGTACCTTAAAGCACTAATTTTTTATTTAGGTGTTTTTTTTCCTTTCATTTCACCAATAACAAATTAAAATACTAAAACTGAATTGAGTAGCTTTTATTTCCTCTGTTTTTCTAGACCTTATTTAAGTAGAAAAGTTACAGCAGCACGACAGACAATACACATTTCAGCTCTTAAGAGTCCCTCTGTAAACATTCTGTACCTACCTCCAATACTTGTGAATGGACATTTTTGCATTAACTAGAAAGCAGTTAAAACTAAACTGGATAAAAGCACCTGCATCAAAGTAGGAGAGTAGTCTACATGGGATTCATTTTAGCTCCCAAAGTTAATAACCTTGTCCTGAGTAAAATTAGCCTGAAGGTATTGCATAAAGAAGAAGGGTAGTTAGATTCTAATATAGAAGAATGCTAGCATGACTAATTGTCAACAGGTGAGAATCAACAAAAGCCAACAAAATTTGCACTTTTTACATTAAGATACTGTTTCAGACATAAAACCTGGCATTAAATTAACTTCAAAGAGGCTGATGACATTTTGTAGTGAAGCCATGTAAAAAATTGTTTCTTTGTTCACACTTTTCAGACTATTGATTTCAGAGGGAGAAATAAACTGTATAGATTTTAATAATACCGGATTAGTATTTCTGACAGTCTCAAACTGCTGGATCAGAGCTACTCCTGACTGCAGAGGAGTGAGGCCCCTGATCTTTAAAGCTGCTGTTCAGTGATTGGTATAAACCATCCTGAGATCAGGCTGCTACTGAAAGGTGTGGCTGTACCACGTCTATACTCCCAGCCTAACATTTGTCTCCTCTTGTGTACCAATGGCACTGAAGGTACAGACCTAGGTAAGCTTTTTCACAACAAATGGAGTAGCAGCATTGTTTTCCATCTAACCCATGACTCAAGTTTCCTTTTCACATTGTTTCTGAAAGAAGAATTCTGTCTGTAGGAACAAGCATGGGATAAGAAAGTCTATTTTGCACACAACATACATTCAGTAAGGAGAGAATAACATCCTCCTGTCACATAAACAAGATTTGCAATACATATTCTTCCTTTACAGTGCTGCAAATTCAAAGCCAACATTTGGGCATGGATTTAAAACATTCATCCATTTTAAATATTTACAAGAAAAAATCTTTTCTATTTTTTTTTTAAATACAGTTACTGACAGGGCCTTACCAGTTGTCTCTGCATTTAAACGAAGATCTTTGCCATACTGCTTTTAAGGCTTCAAGAGAAAGATGTCGAAGCTCAAACACAAGAGTCATGAAAAGGTCTGCAGTCTGCACAAGAGCACAACAACAAATACAATATTACTGGATCTTTTGTCTTTTTTTAAGATTATTTTCATTTGCCCATACACTATCAATCACATTCTTATTTTGGCCTCAGTACAAGCTTTCTGGAAAACGGTACTTTAAAGGCTAAATAGTAGATGTGTTCCTCTGAGACCTGATCCAAAGTTCAAGGGAGATAGATCTTACTACTTGAAAAATTAGCAGAATGTTAAAAACAGTAGCTTGTATGTTCATTTTAACCTAACTTTATGGTGTACAAGTTTTAATCATGGTCTATGCCATATAGATTAACTTCAATTCTTTATTCACTTCAGATGTTAAAAGCTTAGGCATAGGACTACCGCTCTGCTTCCAAAGAAAACATTTTTTGTCATGTAAAAATCATGCAAATACAGTATAATTCCACTAAGTCACATTTCCAAAGATCTGGAGAGAGACTTAGTTTGACTTCCTGACCTTCCAGGAGCTGTTTCCAAAAGCAATGAAAAATTGGAACAACTCAGTGCCAGTATTTGGTATTAATTCAAGACAGCCAAGATATTTTCAGGAAAAAGAAGCCGTCTTTCAGTAAGAAGATGGAGTAATTTCTTATCATGTTGTTAGACAGGCTGAGGGAATAACTTGTCAGATCCAATGCAAACACACTTTATATTTTTGGTTTTTTAGGACTTCTTTCTTCACCAAATTGAAATTTATTCTCGTACATAAAGCCCTACCTAGGTATTAATTCCAGTAACATTTATAATTGCATAGTTAAAATTTAGTTAGATCCACATGTATTCCATCCCATCCCAACATTACTTTTAAGGTCTATTTTAAAAATACCCTCTGGGCAGCATGATTAGGTGAGCTGAGGAGGATCACAGATGCTATCACAAGGAGCTGCATGTGAGCTGCGGCTGAGCTCAGGTGGCTCATCAGTGCAAGACCACAGCACAGTTCAAGATAAAACTGCCAGATTGATCTATTTCCAGGTGATATAATTTTAGACTGTAGACTGAATGACTTCATTCTGCTTTATTCCTTTGACCAGACAAGCTCCTGTCTAATAACTCAGTGCAAAATGTTGCAGAAAACCAGCTGGTTTTACTTCCTAACAATAAAACTTCTGAATGAACTGTCTAGTTAGAAGGGCTGTTGCACTGAAATCGAGCTGTCAGATAAACAATAACCTCATTGCAAATTCCTCCATTTGTAGTATCATAACAACAAACTCTATGCAAATTTGGTTCCCATTCCAACCATATCGTGGTTTAAACCCAGTCAGCCATAAATCACACAGTCACTCTCTCACTCCCCCCCCTTTTCTTCCCCCCACTTGAAAGAATGTAACTCTCACCGGTTGAGATAAGAAGAGTTTAGTAACTAAGGTATAACACAAATCACTACTGCTACCACCAACAATAATAATGATAAAGGAGATAACAAGGGAAGAGAATACACCCACCGACCGATAATACCCAGCCCGACTGAGCACCGACCGATACCTAGTCCAACCCTGCAGTGAACTAGCCCTTCCGGGTAACTCTTAGTTACATCCTGGGCATGACGTGCTGTGGTATGGAATACTTCTTTGGCTAGTTTGGGTCAGGTGTCCCGTCTCTGCTTCCTCCTGGCTTCCCCTCCTCCCTGGCAGAGCATGAGACTAACAAAGTCCTTGGTCAGACCAAACAGCAGTGTTATCAGCGCTGTTCCCAGGCCGAAAGTCAAAAACACAGCACTGCACCAGCTACTAAGAAGGAGAAAAAAATGACTGCTACTGCTGAACCCAGGACAAACCACTAAATGAAACATAAGGAAGCCTGGGTTTTATTCTACATAGAAGCTTGTTTTTCCTTCTATCTGCATGACTTACCATAGCTCTGTTTAAAAACATATAAACAAACAAAACCTCTGAAAGCATAAACATGGTATAGTTTAGATTGGGGAAGGTAAAACAGCGAAATGCTTCCCAACAAAAGTGTTTCTATTTATGATACATTTAAACAGTCTTCGAAAGTTTGACATTTTATTTGCTGCCAAGTATAACTCGATGTAATTGTAAGGGAGGTTGCTTTGAAAATGTGTTCAAATGTACATCTTTGGTTTTGCCTATTGATTTATGTTCTCAATGAAAGTGTGAGGCCTTCTCTCCTGTAAATTTATTATATCTCTTTGGAATTACATAGCCATCTCTTCTGTATGGAACTTCTGGTTTTCAGCTGTCTGATTTCTTTTTTCAATTATACATATAATAAACAACAAGTGACTTCCTTGAATTGAAGACCAAGTGTGAAATCAGATGGAGGTGACATACTCTTCTCTCTTAAGTCTACTGGTTGAACAGCTGTGGTTATTCTCTCCCTGTCATGGCATAACTTTCCTTCTTCCTGATCCTCATTGGTTCTTTCTTGTTTGGTGTCTTACTTTGTCAGTCAACCTTATTTCACCCACAATTTCAGGAAGGATGTAATTGTGCCTGGTTATCGACCAGGTTTAAGTGAACTAAGAGGACATTCCCAGCATTATCTTCTAAGGCTTTCCAGTTCAAAGCAGACAAAGACCTCTGTTCCTGGTAAAGTTATTATACAGAAAAAGAAGAGCTCAATTTCAAAAAGCAAAATCATCATGTAACTACAGTATCTTAATTCATCTTGATAATCAGAACATCTTTCTTACCTGGGAAATTCTGTTATATACTTCCTATACCACAAGTTTGAAATGCAGACATCGTAACACCCACCTAGGTAGTACCTAGCAATTAGAATGACTTGTGAGAAAAACAGCTGGTGAAACCATGCCCTCTTTTGGGTCTGACTGTGACACAGGAGTTGGGCAGAGTGAATCTGACATACTCTTGCCCACATAAGGCATTATACACAGCCACATTCACCAGAGCTTCCAATACAGCATTAAAATCCAGAGACACAAAGGTAAATGCAGGCCCCAATAGAAGCTGTGTGACAGGCTTCCTTCAAGCTTCTCCCCATCCCTTTGACCATTCTTTGTCAGTATGCAGCTTGTTCACTTAATGGTCCATTAGCTAATCTACATTCACATTGAAATTCAATCTTGTCTCATAATAGCATTAAAAAATTAAACAACAACTTTGCTTCCTTGGAAATGACACAGTCTCCACCTCCATTTTCTCATCCCTTCACTGTTTTTCCTGGAGTTGAGGATTTTCCCTTCCATTTATTCTTGGGTTTATGTCCTGAAAGAAATGCATAATCTCACCTCATTCAGAGGCAACAATAAAAGGACAAACAAGCTATACATGCATAACAGTGGAGCTGTCTCCCAGGCAACGATGTGGGCATTCCCACAACTTTTTTCCTGGCCCAAAGGGCATTTTATCGGTTGGAATGAGGGATACTAAAGATCCCCTTTGAAATGTCTCATCAAACAGAAGGAACACACTGAAACAGTGAAAATGGCTGACAATCAATTGAACTCTGTGCTGGGACCCACATATGATGAATAATTCACCTCTGGTTTAGGCAGTGTCACGGACAGCAGCCACTTGTGCTAATCTTAGTAATTTACAAAACAAATTTCCCACACATGAAGTCAGTGGGCCTCTCTGGTGACAGAAGTGACATCCCACTGGTACTGGGAAAAATTATCTACTGCTCTTTCAAAGAATTGTTCAAAAGAAAGCAGGATTTAGAGAAAGTTTCCCAGGTCCACTACAGTCATTAATTTTTCTCAACATTTTCCAAGCAGTATGTATCCCTCTAGTCCACCCAAAGAGTCTGCTTTTATTCTACATTAGCAAGAACCATTGTGTTTATGGCTCTGTTAGCTCTCTGCAGCCCAAGTCTCCCTAGCATGCACCTAGAGAAGATGGCAGACATGCTCATAAATCAGAGAAACCTATTGCATATGCTACCACCCAGAAAGGCCACCTGCTTTCTCCTCAGCCCTGTGCTGAGGTCTTTGTCAAGCTGTGATACCAGGTCAGTCTGATGATCACAATTTAATAGGTTGGGAGTAACTGCTAACGGTTGTGATTTATCACAGCTCACTGAAGTTGCCCACTTCAGCTTTTGTGACTATGATCCTCTTCCACTCTGTGCCTTTGCCTTAAGTCTCACACCACATTACACAAACACTTACTTGTGCTTACTAATCACAGCTAACATTAGGAGAAAGGTGAATATCCATAGTATTTTAATTTCTAAATAGGCATCACTGGCCTGTAGAGCTGTAACCCAGCATTATACTCTTCTTTAGTCCCATAAAGCCTGTACTCCATCTCCCTGTATCTGTGTCCCCCCTGAGGAACAGACAAGGCAAAGCTTTTTATTTTTGCATGGGACTTAACCTAGAAAAGGAAGGTGATGTGCATCTGAAGCTTTTTGTTAACATCACTTGTACCTAAGTGGGTTTACAGGAGCAACCACAGCCCTGTTGCACATGAAATAACCTTGCTCGAAATGACGAACGACCTAACAAGACAAGAACATCAGAGGACAGGGAATAGATCAGGAATGAGTTGACTAAACTAATCAGTGGCAAATTCATGGAGGCACGAGTTCAGTGTCTTCCCCATTAGACCATACGTATTTTCTGGTAATATCCTGACCATGACTGACTTAAACGCAAAGTAGGCTCTTCTATTTGCAAAACTGACTTTTTTTTGTTCAAGATAGGAACTTCACTACTAGCAAGAATCACTCCATCTGAAGGATAATAGGATACGAAGCACCCTTTCTTTTAGGTCACTGCCCTCAGTTCAACTTGGGTCAGCAATGATGAAGTACCACCATCTGTTGGTCCTTCTGCACTGTATATAATAGGTGTTCTTGATAATCTCCAAACTTCACAGAAGATGGGGTGTTCATTGCAAAGGCAGTGATAAATTCTAACTGATCCAGCTGCTGTCAGCTATCAAGAGAAATTACAAGACCTAAGCGAGCTAAGGAGACAGGCAGACCCTCATCTAGAATTATGGTCATTACAGAAAAAAAGTTAAGCCACTGGTCAGTTCCACATGACCAGAATATTCCACCCTATCTTAGTAGCATTCACCCATGAAAATTATTTAGATCAGAAGAGATTCTCTCTGGACCCAAGCAGCATCCCCAAAAAACACAGTGGTCATTTCTAGAATTCATCAGCAACACATGGAACCAACCAGCCAACATACAGAGGCAAGGGTTTCATGTGCAAAGGGGAGGGGATGAGGCAACAGCAGGTCTGCAGAACTCAAATAAACATGGAAAAAACAACACTACCAAGGGTAGTATCCCACACTAAAGCTGCAGAAAAGGGTTTTTACAATTAAGCATCAGTGATAAGCCACACTAGACACTTTTTTTGTTTGATTTTCCAGAGCAAAACAAAAAAAAACCCAAACATTTTCTTTCCAGTTAATTTAGAATACAGTTCAAAATTTCTTTTGCACAGTATTCCAGGGCCATGTGACATTTTGACTCTTCAGTTTATTTTTATATAGGAAAAAAAAGTATATTCAATATATTTTTATATAGGACACTTCAAAGCATTATATCTTCCTGCAATACCACATCAAAAAATGCCCCAAACAATGGAAGGCTTCAGTATTCACAGCTTGCTGTCCTCCTAGTCACTTCTTACCTGTGTAGGAGAACCCTCAGACCACAAGGGGCCTGATAAGGAAATGGAGGTTATGTGTAAAAGCTTACCTCAAAACTTGTACTATGTGCTAAGCAAAGCTTCCACACTAGTTCAGTCACTTCCCCGCCAGTGACCTCCCTCTCAGTTTCTTCTCTTTCATAGAGCATGTTGGTCACATACAGATCCTCAGAGTCCACTGGAAAGACATAATGAAAAATAGTGGTTCCTGCCTATTAAGGTTAACTGTAAATGCTAGGAGAAAGTTTCTCTCTGAGCCTTTATTTCTACATGTAAAAATCTGTCTGGTCTCAGTAAAGCCAAAGGATGAATATGAATGCCTGCAGTCAGGATGAATTTAAGAACTGAAGAAAGGCCTAAGGACAAGTATGACCTGAAAGAAACAGAGAGACAAGACAGAGGTGCCTGAAAAAAAGTGTCACTTTACATCAATATCCATCTTTTAATGGACATACTACTTCATATTCATCACCTTTTCCAGTTTTATTACCTCTCTTGCTCCCTTCCACACTTCAACCTCCCAAAAAATCAACAGGAGATATAGATGCCAAGGAAAATAAATGGCTCAGCTCTTAACCTCTTCCTGAGGAAGAATTCTGTCATCTTATGCCACATAACTATAAAGAAGAAGTCCTGGAAATTTGGATTTTCCTTTTAAGAAACCACTATTTGGAAGCAGTCAAAAAAAAACAAAACAAAACAAAACAACACAACAACAGAACAAACTAAACCAACCCTACAAACCCCAAAATGTTTCTCAACATCTAGAGCTCAACTTTAACATTTTTCATCAGAGAAGCATCCACTGACTTCAGTAAGATCACCCTCCCATGATAGTTCTAGGAAGTAAATTTACTTTATTTTAGCAGAAACATGTTACCTTTTCTATACAATGTTTCTGTTTCCACTTGAAAGAGTGTCAGTGAAGACTGTGTCTGTGTCTTTGCCCCACCACTCTTCTGTGAGGACAGCGTAAGCAGGTTGGACTCAGTACATTTGGCCTCTGCCAGGACTCCATCCTTAATGCTCTGAACACACTCCAGTTTGGAGGACAGGATCTTCTGCTCAGACTGTGAAGAACAGATACTTCAGATAAAGTCCTGATGACCTATTTCAGCCTGCCCAGTTCTTTCTCTCCTAATTTCACAGAGGATTCCAGTTCTGTCATACAGTCTCTTGCCTAGACCTTTGGCAGCACCCACCCTGTGAAGGTTAATACATTATTTTCAGTCTAGTTCCTCCACCACTAAAATGCAATTGCTAGTAACTTCCAGCATCAGATGGTCCCAATTCAGTTCACAAAGCATCAGTGTTAAGCAAATGTTTTTGGTCAGCAGAGCTAAGAAAAGCAAAAGGCTGGTAAATTGTAACTAGCTAGTACAATGCAAGAAACTAGTAATATTCACCTAACAAGAATGACACAAGATAGAAACATTGACTGTATTTGCTGTGGACAGTGGAAAGCTGCAAGTCTGGCTTTTAGATAAGCTTCAATCTTTTCCAAAGTTTTCTGCAAACACAATTTTCTCTGCATAATGTATTTTTCCTATCTACATCTCTCTATTTCTCTTTCATGATCTACTTTCAGTTTACAACTCTAATACATTTTAATGACAGAGTTTGACCCAGGCACGTAACAACTTGCATTTCTACTATGATGTTCATCAACTACAATGCAAATTTGCAATAAAAAACAAAATCTATGAATAATAGGCATTAAAGGGGCAATGATATTCATCATTTCTTTGATGGGAATTCATGTTTGGGCACACACAAATATAATTTGAGCATAAATGACTATTCAAAAAATGTTTTCATTTACATTTTGACTCTTCAGAGAAATTAAAAGTCCTTGTGGAAGAATCAGTGTCATTCCCCAACACTTACATGAGGAAGAACCACAGATTGCACAGAAGTAAAGCCAGAATACCGATGCGAGCAGAGGTTTAAGTCCCTTGTCTTGACAAAAACAGAACCTTTCCGCTGATACCTGGTTGGGCATATTCCCAGAACATCCACCTAGTAACAAATGTAGTGTTGAATCACACATACTGCACACACACAATACAAGCATGAATTATGGCCTATTACAATTGATTTTAATAATTGCTTTTTTGTAATAACAATACAACAGAGACCTAAGTTCTCCCTTGCAGGACACTGGCTCTGCCACAAAAGACATGGAAAGGCAAATAATGTTAAAGACCTTGGTCAGACTTTATAATAGCCAGGGTTTGAGGATTTGTTTAACTTCACTGTGTTATCTTGCATTGGATAATTTATAGACATGAGCTTTTTTCATTTAAGATTCTGTTGGTTTGCAGGGAAGCATTACTTCAGAAGAACATTTCTACTCAGAAAAGAAGTACATATGGGTGTCCCAAACCTGACTGCGTAACATCCATTTAAGCACTGATAAGTACCATAGCCTGAGAATGAGGAGGTGCACATCACACTGAAAGTCAATCTAGAGACTGCTCTTCATAACAGAAGTAGTGCAGGCACTGAGCTATCTCAGCTGCACTCATGTCAACACAAGGGCAGCAATGTGGTACTCTGGACTATTCCTTCAGTGTAACACAGCAGAATTTGAGCTTCAGTATGGAAAAAAATGCAAAGAGCTCTTGAGAAGCCTGCTCTTAAAACCTCCTAAAATTAATGAAAAAATCACAATGAATCATTATGAACAATGAATACTGTATCTTCCCCAGAGAACAAGTAAGGCTCTGATGTCACTGCTCCTCAACCCTCAACATGATTGCAAATTGTAGATCATTTCTAACATTCACTATAAAAAACCATCAACTACCACCACTGGTTGCTGACCAGTCACCGAGTGGCAAAAACCTTTAGTTATTTTGCAAAGGGAATATACTTAACGTATCCAAAGGCTAACAACCACCCTAGAACATGACCTCTACCAGTGGTCTCACCTCTTCAACAACTGTACTAGCAGTGGATGCTTGTGATGTCTGCAGGACACTGAGAATGCCTCGCTTTATGTTCAGAGCCCAGGTCTGTTCACTCCTCACAGGACAGAGCTTCATAACTTTCCCATCATGGAAAGAAAAATGAAGAGGATGCTGTTCTAGTACTTCCCTGCAATAAAACAGTTTTTAGTTTCTTACTTCAAACAGTGGCTGCAAGTCAGTTCATGGCATTAGATTCAGATTTTCTGAACAGAGCTGTTCTTAGAAAAGGGATCTGTCTTATTTTCTACCTCCATTCTTTATAATAAGCAGCTCAATCCGACACCAGGAGCCTTTAAAAACCCACACAGACAAAAAAAAACAAACCCAACCCTGTCAAGACAATCACTGCATCTTTGACATAACTGTAACACTTAAAGCAAACTCCTTACAAGTAATTATACTTAATGGCAATAATTCTTGTTTAATATGAGAGAAATTCCATTTTATGATTTAGCATTGGTAAGCATGTCTCAGTTGCAAAGCAACTGCATGTAATCTTTATCATTACTCTTCAGCTGTGACACACACAAGAACAACTGCTTTCCAATCAACCCATATCTTCCTGCTCTCTAGGTGCTCTATCCCAAAGTTATTTGTTGTAAGTACACTCCCTGATTGCTTTTGCTATGCCAGATTAAGAGTAGTCTTTTCTACTTCTGCATAAGGTAATTTAAAAACAGATCTTCACTCCTAATATAACGTACTTTAATCATATATTTCCCCTTCAAATGGGGAAAAACAAGGCATCCAAAGGAAGAATTCTACAGTAGCCCAAAGGTCAGCTCCCATACAGCTAGAAACAGAGTTCATATGAACACTAACTGTGGAACTAACTGCTCATCTAATCAACTGGTGAACAAAGACAGTGTAAGAGAAAAACATGTAATGCACCAACACCTGGATAAAGTCTTTCAAGGAGAAGAGGCCGTGCACATGGGATAATGGCTTCTGGACTCCTAGGCAACTGTGATTGCTTTTGCTACTATTTGTGGAAATTACATGCATGTTTAGAGGACAAGCTAGACCACCGTATATTCACAATAGGCTGAGGCAAATGCTAATAAGGTTCACTCATCTGAATAATTATTTTCAACAACCAAGCTTCACTGGATGCTTTCTTTGCTACCTCTGATTGGCTTCTCTGCAGAGAACAAGACACAACTGCTCTTACATCTGTGAAAATCCTGCAAAGAATTTCACAGATGTGCATTTCCTCTGATTTGACCCTAATACCACTACCCACACTGTGGAATCTAAAGCTTTTCCTGATTAATATAAAAAGCAATGCATTTATTCCAAATTTGCTCTTTTCAATCCTTCAAGTTGAGTCAATTACCACAGCTCTCAGTGTCTTTAAATGTTGAGAATCCAAGTGATAGGACAAAGAGGAAGATTACAAGGGTTAGCTTAATCAGACAACAGAACTCCCTTTTTCTGATGACACAAGAGCCATCAGCTCTCTGGGAAAATACCAAAGCTCCACAGTTTGAAGAGACCTTTTTGTGCAGGCATCTTCACTAGAGTCTATACCTTTGCAAGTCAGAAGAAAACACACTGACATATGTTGTGAATGAGCAACTAAACCCAGAAACATAAATGGAAGAAAATTACATTAGATGAAAAATGCAGTTTAAATAAAAAAAAAAAAAAACTAAAAAAAAAAACAACAAAAAAAACACCCAACCCCACAATGTTTTGCATCATGAGAATCCTCCAAACCAAGAACTTCTGAAAGGTACTTCAAAACTCAACAGCCTGTACAAGTAACAATTGCTGCTCAGAACTGGAGAGCTATTCATGCCCATGGCATGGGGGTTGGAATTAGTTGATCTTAAGGTCGTTTCCAACCCTAACTATTCTATGATTCTATGACTTATACACACTGCTGGCCAGCTAGAGGCTTGATAACTTGTACCCAGAAAAATTATAATTGTTTACTCACCAAATCTTTTTTACATAAAAAAGGATCAAAATTAGGTTAAAAAAAACCTTTTTGGACCAAATGCTGCTAAGCCATAAAGCTTCAAAAATCCAAGAACTAGACCAGATTAGACATTTTTCTACCTTAGACTGTCCATTTGCTTCAGAGGCTCCTCTCTGGATGCAAGGTTTTTCTTAATCTGTACATCTTGCACCTAGGAATCAAGATTATAGAGCAACAAATACCATTGTCAACAGGAACTTGTGGACTTTGCCACATTAGGATATCTACACAGAGCGTCACAGACTATGAAAAACCATTCAGTGTGGCAAGCAACACAACTGAAACAGCCACATCTTCAGGTTGCATATCCAAGGTAGTTTCCAGAAATTTCTTCTACAAAGAAGTTTCACTCACTATTAAATACATTTTATACAGCACTATTATATCCTTTTCATTTTCAATACAGAAGCAATCATCCGCTATGGGGTACAGCAGATAGACATAAGTCCTTTCTACTCCAAATGAGAAGCAAAATGACTAGCCACGTCAGTGGACTCTTGCGACTATGCCTGGTGAAGTTCCTCAGTGGTCAGTAGCTTTCACAGCTTGCTTACACTGAATTCAGAGGAGAAAATGCATACCTAAGTACATTACAGAATTTCCTAACGTACTTCCAGTTTGGCTGGTTGCGGTAAGGAAGAACTGTTCTCAAAGGGTAGATTAGAAATGGTGGCTATCTGCCCCATTTTAAGAACAGCACAGACTGCAACTATTAGCCCTTCTTTTTTCTTAATATCTTCTACTTTTATTTATAAAGACAAGCATTCAACTACACACCATCTTGCACATCTTAGGACGCTTCATATTAAGATAACATGTTAGAAGTTGGGGAATCCTGCCACTGATATTTCAAGGCAGAAGAAAGTGATTCAATCTGAAGACAATATACTCAAATTCTCATTTTTCATGTAAAGTCACAGGACCACAGACCAGTTAATTTTATCCATATGGCCATGTTAGGACAGGGATAACTATCCTATTCTTTATTGGCCTCATGTGTATGTGTATACAGTACACACGTCAATCCCTGGAGAACCTATGTATTATCCCTTCTGTTAACCTGGGGGAAAACCAAAGTAGATGGGAGAAGTTTATTTTCCATGCTCCCCCTGATAAACCACGATGGTTCTCAAACTGGCCTACCACAGGGGTCACCCCCGAAAAGTCCTGTAATCTGAAACTGCTCTGATCTCCTGTTGAGATCAACAGAGTGTTACAAGACTGGATTTGACACCAGGTTAGGAATGGCACCAATCCAGCACATCACCCAAGTTTCTCAAGTTCTTTTTGAAACACCTGCTATATTTAAATTACTGCCACAGATCTGAAAGTGCTTAAAAATAAACAAAGTTCCTTTCAAAGGGCCTAGCTTCATCTCCAGTTCTGCCTTCATGTAACAAAACAGTGAAACTGCCATGCCACTTAGGAAATTAAAGATCAATTTACTTAATCTGCCCTTTCAAAACTGGCAAATATTTAATTTGAAGCCATATCACATTAAAGCAATTCTGCAACTCTAATTAGGAGATCCAGAATTGAACTTGCTTTTAATTACAAGAAAAAAAAAAAGTTTGTAATGTAGCAGTCAGTAATTGCAACAAACAATACAGCTCCACGTCAGTTCATCCCCATCACTCAAGCGATTATGACAATACTCACTTTCAAAACCAGCTGGCAATTCCCCAATACCTCAATGATCACTGTGCTCTCCAAAGAGATGCCACTGCTTCTGTAAATATTTCCCTGCAAGAATGTGTTGGTGACTGCTGTATACCTGTAGCTGTATCTAGCCCTTCTGGGGAAGTATGATGTACTGTGTCCTAGGAAATAAATGAATGGAGTTTTAGTCTAATAGGCTTCCCCATGCTCCCCCACTCCCATCTTTTTTTTTTTTTTCTACTTTTAAATCTTTTGGACACTGAAATCAGCTAAACAAGGGGCTGGATATTCAGAACGTTCCCTTCCCACTTGGACTTACAACTGAAAGGTTTCCAAAAGCACCATGCATGCTACAATTAGCTCTTGTATGGGATGGGAAAAGAATTTCTAAGAGCAGAAAAACAATGCAATGCATTTACGGCATGATGCTCTTTTGATGCCTTTCGGCAGCAAAGCAGGACCTTTGCAACAGCAAGATGAAAAAGATCTGCTGATGCATTCAGTGCTTTTCATGCCCATGCTCTGAGCTATATGTAGGCAGACGAACTAAACTGTGGCTTTTAAAAAGCTTTGGTTTTTAAAGCCTGCCCAGTAAGATCTGGGCTGAGCAAGAGAAAGCATGAGAAGACAAGGATTATTTGTATGCATATGAAGACATTGGTAATGACTTGGCAAGTGTTCATGGGTAACACTGTCATCTAGTAAATATAGCATCAGACACCCTCATATATCGCTGTATTCCTCTAATAAAAGGATATTCTCTTTCAGACCAGGTGATAAGAATTAACCTTGAAAGGATGAGAAGATAAGTCATAATACCTTCACACCATATGGGCAAGATTTTAACACAGGGTCCCTAAAAAATAAGGCATCATGGTATAACCCTAAGTGGGACCACTGAAGTGCAGAAGAGGGGAAATGTTAAAGGAAATACGCTCCCTTCCCTCAGATACAGAGGGCAACACCTAGGAAAAGTGACCACTGTGGCTCCTATAATAGTTTTTTCTCTGCCTCACAGAAGCAGTGCAACACTTAAGCGCTTTCAATGACAAAGCCACACAGAGATGAAGTAATGTTGAATAAACTAAGAGTCTCTGAGCCACACTGTCTGTGTATGTAGCTACGAGGCCAGGGCAAGATCTTCTTGGAGGCAGAATATCCATGTGCTCCCTTTGCTGTTACACTGAAAACCACTTTGCACATTCAATTACCTGCTGGCAATGCAAATGAGAACCATAAGTCATAAACTACATCTCAAGAAGTTCAATCAAACCTTTCCAAGTCAGTTCAATATCCTGTCTACCCATTTGCTCCTCCTTTCCAGAATGTAAGTTTTGTGCCCACTTACTGAAGGAGAAGGCTTTCTTCATGCCTCTTTCAGTATGAAAGGAGCCAACACTGGGTACTAGTAACAAAGACACTCATACATGGCTGGGGTTTGTCCTGCACTTGTTTAGTAGTGTGCACTTGTTTAGTAGCTTCTGAACTCACAGAATGTGAACTTTGAGCAGGTCTGGGCCTCGGAAAGCTTAGTGGAACTTCTCCACTACTTCCATGAGTGCTAATCATTCAGACTTAAGTATTGCTCTTCTAAAAACACAACATCCCTCATGAAGAAGAGTTTTCAAATCCCTCCTTCCTTATCACATACAAGGCCTGAATACTGTCTTGTTTTACTCACCTACACACTCCACAAAACAGGAAGCTCCATAACTTAAACTCTTCAAGGAGCCTGCAATGACAAGTAAGATAATAGAAAAACACTGAAAATTTGTGTGTGGCTCAGGACAGACCTGCTGCTTTTCAATGACAATGAAATTAACTGAAACCAAAGCACGGCCCTCAAAATCAAAAGCCCATGAGAGTTTTGCTACTGAGTATCCAGGAACAAGACTTCGCTCTCGCCCCTTTTCACATGCCTATACCACACGAGCACATACATAAAGGAATGACATGCCTTAGTGTATTTATTGAGGTAGGTATGGAAATGCAACAATACCACAGATTACCAAGCAAATATAAAAAAAGGGGTCTTAATCCAATTAAAAAAGGCCTGATCCTGTACTGACAGCACTCCCTGGCACTCAACTCTGCAAATTACCTGAAGTCCTAGATATTGATAGGAACGTGCATAATGGCAAGATCAGTCAGATCCCAGGTGCTCATATGCACTGCAGTGATATGTGAGAACAGCCAGTATCAAGTATGTGATCCTGCTGCATTTCAACACATAGCACTTGTATCATTGCAAAAGAAACGCTTCTTTATTAAAAAACATATATTGCATAATTTAATTAGTACTAGAACCATTCAGTCCTAAACTTGCCAGTATTAATAAATTCCTTAAAAAGAAATTCCACAGGAAGTCCAACAACAGTACAACAGCCCCCAACCTCTATGCTGGTCTATACGCTAATGTACCTCTCTGTTAAGCAGTAACTAACATCCCTGTGTTGCTCACCTTCATCTCCCACTGGAGATAGAAGCTAAAAGAGCCTCTTTATTCTGGTCCATGATTCTGGATGTTTTATATATGCTCTATGCCTGAAGAAAATGCTCTTGTTAAACTGCAACATTTAAAATCCACATTTGTATTATTTATTGGAACCATATTTTGGCAGGAGAAAAGAAGTGAATTCACTGGTTTTGGAACAAAAAAAAAAGGAAGGGTTTGTTTCTTCAGCTCAAGCTTATATGCACTTTTATTCCCAAGTTAAAATTTAAGTTTCTGGAGACCAGAATTACATTTTTCTTGAAAAGACCTTATCCCCACATTCATATTTTCTTCCCAACAAATGCTCCTTTTTACTTTGCAGAATCAATTCTCTGTACAAAAATTCAGATTTTACCTTTATAAAGTACACACAAAAATAACACGGTATTCAAGCAAACTAGTGCTATGGCTATCTGCAAAAGTATCAAACTTTCTAGCATAAAGAGACCAGATCATGTTACATATGAGAATTATCAGTTGACTATTAATTTTTATAAATATACCTATCTATACATAGAACATACGCATTAACTTTAAAATTCCAAACACACTGCATGTGGGGAGAAAGAAATACACTAATTTCTTTCCTTGGACAGAAAAAAAATCATCCCTAAGTATCTTGTGGATCACAAAAGAAAAGAGCTATTCTTTCAAACAGTGAGAAATGGCAGTGTTCAATTAATGGGTTTTAAAAAAGAAATGAGTACAACTTATTCAAGAACCTTAACATAAATATGGTAAGACAAACCTGGAAAATTCATCTCTGTTCCATAGCATCAGATTTTCAAGAGGTTGAACTCGGCAGGACCAGATTTAAGAGCTCTCTCAGATCCTGTGTGGATACCTAAAATCCATGCTCAGGATTTTTGAATGTGTTTATCACAGTCAGACAGTGTGACAGGCTGAGCACTCTGGACAATCAGGCACTTTGTTAACATCGTTAAGGTGCCCAAGTTCAGAGTTTCTGCTCTTTTAAAATTTTACATTTTCCTCCCTAATTTATTTCTGTTTTAGAAACAGCATGTGTTTAGCTCTTTTCAGTTGACAAGAGGAACAAAGGACCACACCATTGACATTTCATGATCTAATCACACTTTCCAGAATCCTTCATCTGCCAAGTACCAAAGTGAGCACAGTTTCAGAATATGATACTAATATGTTATTTTCAGGAGAGATACTGAACTGACTGGCACAGTCTCACTGTTCCTGTTGCTTTCCCTAGTAATGCCAAAGGAAGAGGCAATATTTAACTGCACTCCTCTGTAGGTAAGGTGCCCTCCCACCTGTCCTGTACCACCCAGTGAGCTCAGTACAGTGAATTGCTATACCACACTGAAAAGCAAGACAAAGCTTCTACAGCAATTACTGCAAACCTACAACTTGTAACATCACTTACAGGACCTTCAAGTTTTGACAGTAAGATCATTTCTCAACAGAAGTATTTTGCATTGAGAGAGATCAATCTTAGCAGAGAAAAAAGTTTGTTCTACTTACTGCCTGAAGCTCCTATGACCACAGCACAGAGTAAAATGATGGCATGCAGCCCCATGGCCTTTGAAATCACCTCCTCAGTCCAGAAGTTAACAAAACATCAGTTTTCCTCTCAAAGGCACCTCTGAGCAAGGCAGTGAAAGAAAATTTCCTTCACAAAGCAGGAGCTCACTATTTCAACTCCCCTCTTCCAGCCAGAGGAGGGGCTCTGGCAGAGCAGTCTGCAAAGGGGAGGGTGAGCGTGTGTAGTAGGAGGGAGAGAAAGACACACACAAGCATTTACCGAACCTCATTTTAGCCTTTTTGCTAAAAAGGGAAAGAAATTCACAGCTCAGGTCTGAAACTAAATTTAAAAAGCAAACATCTTGCAGATTTCATACAGCAGCTCAGATTTCCTTTGATCAACCCAAAGTAGTAACTGAGAAAGCCCTCTTCTGCCCACAGATATTTTTCCCAATATTCTAATTCTGAAATAGCTTCAAAAGATTTAATCGTGGAAAACTTGCAGCTTGCTGGGTTTGACATTTTTAATCAGTCCTGTAGTAATTCTAACTTTCAATATTAAGATTAGAGCTTATCTGGGCATAGTACATGCTCTGTACGTTATCCTGCAGTCATTCAGCTCTCGAATTGCTAATTATGCCTGTTCTCCACCGCAGTCTGACTTTTAACTATCTATATAGTAATATTTTTCAATATATTTCACACAGCTATTGCAAAATAACCTAAAAGCATAAAACATACTGGTCAGTGGGAATATCAAAATTGGAATTAGAAGGACTTTTTGCCTTATCACAACTCTCTTACATAACCCAAGAGCAACAAGCTACAAGCAGTGTTTGTGTGCTGAGCATTTGTAGCTCTACTCTCTTACTAATAAATCTGACACTTTACAGTAAGTTTTCCCCTTAGTTTACGTTACCCTCATGTATGGCACCAATGTCTGGAGTCAGCAGAGTACATGAATAGGTCCTTAACTTTAAGCATAAGCACACCCCAAAAAATAAGTATGTGCTCAAATCTAAATGCCATCTTGGAACAAGACTGGTTTTAGTAATTTCTTCCCCCACTCAAACACCAAAAACTCTTCCAGAAACCTCCTGGCCTCTAAAATAGCCAGACTTCCCTTAGAGAGCTGTGAGCAGGTTTCTCAAAAAAAAAAAAAAAAAATCTTTCTCAGTTACATTTTAATTTTCACCCAGAATAATTCTTGCAGGTTACAGGCAACTCCTTTTTCACAAGGAAGGAGCTTTAGGAAAGAGGTGTCCAGGAAAGATTGTATGAACTATGCTGACAGCCTGTATCCAAAGTCCCTGAAACAGAGCTGAGTCTAACCAGATGGACCAAAAATGTCAGACCTGTTCACAAGACTGCAGCACATCAGATTCTGAGACACCTCAAGGGTGCTGCACATGTGGAGACAAACAGCACTGCATGTATGTCTTAAGATGTGGCAAAACAGCCTGTTTCTAGAAGGTTACACAACAGGCATCACACTGAAAAAATGGTCTCTTCTGACAAGCTTTTTGATAAGATGCCATAGTGCATAGACATGTTTTACAGCTTCAAGACAAATACTGTAGCTACTACAGATATCAGCATTTCAATCACAATTTCTAAAGTAACATCTTCACGCTAAAATAGCTGATGTGTCCTAGAAGAAGGGTTCTCTTTAAAGTTTAAAAATAAACTTTCTCAAAAAATTCAAACAGGGAGCTACAGTTTTCATTTGTAAACACTGGACATTAATGCAGTTATATATACTTAATTTTAAGCACAAGCACTCGTTTTAAACATGAAGGGTCAAATAAATACAGACATATAACACATGCTTGAGCAGAGTTAAGAGAAATTCAACTATCTGTAAGAACAGAGCAGCAACTACTCAGAGGTCTCCATCAGAAGTCACCAGTGACCTCTGTGTCTGAAAACTGGAAAAATCCAGCTTCAGACATCAGCACGATCAGAGAGTAGGTGAGTATCTCCCTTTCTTATACCAAACGGAAGATCAACAGCCAGTAATAGCACTGTGAGCCAAAGACTGAATATTAACATCATAGAATCACAGAATAGTTAGGGTTGGAAAGGACCTTAAGATCACCTAGTTCCAACCCCCCTGCCGTGGGCAGAGACACCTCACACTAAACAATGTCACCCAAGGCCTCGTCCAACCTGGTCTTGAACACTGCCAGGGATGGAGCATTCACAACCTCCCTGGGCAACCCATTCCAGTGCCTCACAACCCTAACAGGAAAGAATTTCCTTCTTATATCCAATCTAAACTTCCCCTGTTTAAGTTTTAACCCGTTACCCCTTGCCCTATCACTACAGTCCCTAATGAAGAGTCCCTCCCCAGCATCTTTAGAGCCCGCTTCAAATACTAGAAGCCTGCTATGAGGTCTCCATGCAGCCTTCTCTTCTCCAGGCTGAACAGCCCCAACTTCCTCAGCCTGTCTTCATACAGGAGGTGCTCCAATCCCCTGATCATCCTCGAGGCCCTTCTCTGGACTTGTTCCAGCAGTTCCATGTCTTTTTTATGTTGAGGACACCAGAACTGCACACAATACTCCAGGTGAGGTCTCACGAGAGCAGAGTAGAGGGGCAGAATCACCTCCTTCGACCTTCTGGTCAAGCTCCTTTTGATGCAGCCCAGGATACGGTTGGCTTTCTGGGCTGCAAGCACACACTGAAGCCGGCTCATGTTCATTTTCTCATCAACCAACACCCCCAAGTCCTTCTCCACA